GACTCTGAGGCGAGGATGCTATCAACTGAACCAGGCTGATGCTTGTATCTTTATAGCTCCCCAAGCCTATTATGTTTCCTTGACCTGGGTGACACTCGCGCTATTTAACTTCAGGAAGCGTTAAATGAATGTGTCTTCCATGGAGCTATCTGGCCATTGTTAGCACTGACTGATGGCAGCACCTCCCACTCTGAACCGAGTGGAAATCTACTACTTGTTTTTCCTGTTCATTGGCATCTAATTCCCTGCACTGAGCAGTGAGAGAAACCAGATGGGAGCTTGACAGACAGGCAGCCCAAACCCCAAATTTTGTATTCTGAATAAACTTTTTCATGGTGGAGGGAGGGGGAGAGGAGGCGAGATTAATTATTTCACCACAAGCGCAGACACAGCAGCGCGCGGCAGCCTTTAGCTCTTGAGGTGAAGTGTTTGCTGTGGACCGTGACACGTGAATGGAAAAACGCAAAGGAAATGGTTTTACGGAGTCATGTAGACCTCTGAGAAACAGGTCATTCAGCCCAAATAAAGTGATCTCGCAGGTTAAGGCTTGGTTGGAACGGCAGACTTTAGAGCTCTCGTCGCATGGCAAAGAAAGATCGCCGGTGTTTATACTCCACACAAGCCCAGGCCTCTCTTAGGACCCCTCCTATTGCTTTACATCTCGTATACCTGGAGCCACGGTCACTGATTGATTTCCGGTCACCGATAGATTGCTGGGCATTGATTTAGCGATTGATTCCCGTGGTCAGTGGTAACACTTTTAGTCTGACTGTCCTCAGGCTGAGCTCAGATTTTCCATTGTCCTTGACATTCTCCCTCCATCTCTTTATGGCTACAACATGTCCACTTCACTCTGTGTGTTTCCCTCGCCCCCGCAGTCTACAATACAAACTTGGAGTGTACAATAGAGACTGACGCACACCAGTGCCCATCCCTTCACAAATAAATTCACTACAGAAAGCAACTTAATAAAGAATAGTTCTCAGCAATTTGGGTTCGAAGCTTGATAACATGACGAAATCCTACAAAAATGCAGGATCTTTATTCACTTACTACTCACTGGCTTCAGTATGTTATAATAATAATAATAATCATCCGTGCATTTGATGTAACCCCTTATCACGTTGAGACGTCTGAAAGCGCTTCAGAGGATATACTGTAGAGGGATTGACTGTGTTTTGTGAGTGAATCACAGCAGGCTGTTTGCGGTCAGCAATGTCCATGGAGTGAGTGACCAATTTCATTTGGACACTGGGAGAAAGTCCCTCCAAACAGCGCTATGGGATCTTTACCATCCACCCGAACATGCAGACGGGACCTAGTCTTAATGTGTCATCCGAAGGACAGCACCGTCGACAATGCAGCGGCACCCCCAGCACAGCATTGGAGATTAGGAGCTATTTCAAATACAAGTATTATTATTATCATCATCATCATTATTATTACATTTTCCATTTTCTTTCTATTTGTTTTTTTTCTCTTTCCCTGTATGTGTGTGTGTGTGCGATCACACCCCAACCTCCTTAACTCTCTCGCAGCGCCCTTTAGTTTAGCTGCAAGACACGTGCCCTGTAAAGCGAGGACATTCTTATAAAAAGAACCACAATAATTTCAGTGAGGGGAGCAGTGGTTTGAACACCAATCAAGTTGGCAGCCACCTCCGCATGTAGGATAGCCATCTCCCTCTCAGAGGAGGGTTTGTTTGGAAAGCTGCAGTGTCCGTCCGGGCAGGACTTGAAATGCGAGCTGCTTTCGTCTTGCCCAGGGGAGCCACTGGGCAGAGATTAAAGAGGCTGTTGGTTTCTCGAAGGCTTTCTCTTTGAACGCTCGAGGCACACTTAGCAGGACAGAGCCGCTCTCATGTGAAGCGGGGTCTCGGAGGGATATCGGGTTACGCTGGCCTGAGCCGGCTGGCAGCCCGTCAGAACCTCCTCTGAGGACGTCTCTCATGGAAGCCTTCCCAAGACAGTGTGAGCTCTAGCTGAGCAGAGCAGACACACGAGCCTCAGCCCAGTCCTTACCTGCCTGCCATTAATCAGAGAGTGCTCATCACTGCCACGCGAAAATCAATATGAATCATATAATTTCTCCAGAAAATAACAGCGCGTTGCTTAAATATTTAACGTTGGGGTTTTTAATAGTTGATGCCTCACCCAGTCAGCAGCTTCTCCTGTTTTTTTTTAACAGTGAAGTCTTATTCGCAAAAAAAAGATGATTCGCATATCATCCACCCGCCCGATCAATATTGATTATAATAATCATAATTTGGTCACTTGATCCACGGCTGCTTGTGGGACGCTGCTGTGCGCAATTGGCTGCCGCGTTTCGCCCACAAAATATACGGTCAATTCACGTTACTGTATATTCTGTGAAGCGCTTTGAGACGTCTCGAAGACATGATAAGGGGCTATATCAAATGCAAGGATTATTATTATTAGCAGCAGAGCTCAGCTACCAGGAGATAAGCTGCCTGAATGGGATGGGATGGGGGGGGGGGGGCTGGAGTTTTTTGCAGGGATTCTGAGGAAGGGTACTTACTTACATAGAGGCTGTCAGTCAGACAGACTGTCATAGCAACTGTGATACCATCACTCCCTTATCCGTCTGAAGCCAGAGTCTGCTCACTGTTTAAGAGCTCGCTCACTCTCATTTTCTCTCTCTTTCTCTCTCTTTATCTCTTTTTCTTTATCTGATTTTCTTCACTACAGACACTCACTGCTTGGCACTCACTCACTCACTCACTCACTGCACGGTAAAATTCTGCAAGGTGCTTTGAGACATTTCGTCGACGTGATAAGGTGCTATATCAAGTGGAAGCATTATATGTATATGCACAGCATATACACACACTTATTTTAACAGACACAGTGATGATGTGAGCTCAGGACAGTTTTGAGTCTAGCAGCACGGACACGAGCAGCGATGAGGAATTTTTTCCCCTTTAGCCTCTGGTGGGCTGTTTGCCCCCAGGGATCTGAACCACGAAGGGACAAGTCATCTACTCACCTGACACACACAGACGCTCTCTCCAGCAGGAGTTATTGCATTAGCAGCAGGCACCCACCTGACCTTCGACCCTGTCCCTAACCCAGGGTTCAAAGATTAATGACATCCCCAGCCCTGGCTCACCATCTGCACTTGAACGGTTTTCAAAATCTGAGTTGTTTTTATTTCCCGTGACCTTTTGTTTTCATTTTGGGGAAAAAAGTGAATCATTTGTAATTATTAATTTTTTTGCAATCCGTCCTGGATTCCCGGAATTCCCGATCAGGTGAAACACGTGAAGCTAAACGTCTCTGTGCCAAACCAGTGACCTGTGCGGTCACAAGGTGATTCCACTTGTTTTGGCACGTGGAGGCAGAAAATTGGAGTATGAATCCTGTGTGCAGGTGTGTGTGTGTGTGTGTTTGAGGCCAATCCTCTCATGTGGCCTCTCGTCACTGCCCCAGCAGTTAGTAGGATGCTGAGAAAGGAAGGCATCACAGACCCCGAAGTTCTCTTCCTTCCATGGGTACCATGGTGATGTGTTTGCATTACACCTCGTGCTGTACAGAGGACGATCTGTTTTGCTCTGTCTCAGTTTCTCCCGTGCTGTCTGATGAAGAGAACTGACCTGTTCGTTCAAGGGGTGTAAGCTCATGTGGTGCAACGGACTGGGAAGGTGCCAAGCTCTGCAACTGCCACTGTGGATAAGATAACTGCGGAGATTAAAGTCTTATGCAACCAGGCTCATTAAATAGCTTCCTATTAGCTCAGTTGAAAGAGCTCTCACCTCTGGGTCAGATGGTTGTGAGTTCAAGCCCCTCATTAGGACTTGATTGAGCAATAGTCCATATCGCTCTGCACAAATTGGCTGCATGTTTGCCCACACAATACACAGGCTTTACACGACACAATCAACCCTGCAAAGTGTATTTAAGACCTCCTCTCAACGGGAAAGGCGCTAGATCAAATCTGAGGATTATTATGAATCCCCAGATCAGAGACAGTGTTCCCATTGTTGGGAATAGTCAGGAATAAAGTTCACTTCAAGTGACGCCCAAATACCCCCCCCCTCCCCACCCACCTGGGTATTGAACTCAGAACAGGGCTCGGAGTTGGGTGCGACTCCACCACTGAAGCCTCATGGATTGTGAATGACAAACCTCTGTCTGAGGAATGCACGACAATCTTTGCTGAGTCAGATGACAGGAAGCCCGATGAGTCATTGGAATATTTGTTCCCTGAATCAGCTTCATTCACCTGTCGCACGTTCAACATTCCAGCCTCTGTCTTGCTCATTGTGCTTCTTACTGGAACTGTGTGCTGACGTGAACAAGCACCTATACTCACAGAGCGGGGTCAGGGAGGAGAGGTTATACAGTTATACAGTGGGATCCTGTAGTGTAGTGGTTAGCTCGCTCATCTCGCTAGTGAGAGGACTCCTGGGCGGGGTGAAACCTTAGAGAAGTTTCCTAACTCCACATGTCTCTGTTCACCTAGTAGTAAGTTGGAACCCGGTTGTTAGCCAATTGGCGGATCGCTTTTCGGGGGTAATAATCCCTCAAAAAAAATTGGTCACTCAATCCACGACTGTTTGTGGGACACTGGTGAGCGCAATCAACTGTCACGTTTCACCCACAAATCCAGTCAATCCACATTACGATATATGTTCTGTGAAGCGCTTTGAGACATCTCAACGACATGATAGGGTGCTATATCAACCACAACAACAACAACAACTTATATTTATATAACACGCTTCACACTGGGTAGTGTCCCAGAGCGCTTGAACGCACCAGTTATTATTATGATTATTATCTATAATGGAACTATGACGTCTATTCCTTGCAGTTTTCTTTACCTGGAAGGGGATTACACCCGAGCTGGGGGATTGGAATCGAGAGGGATGGAAGGTAGAGGGGGTGGGAGTGTGGGCGATGGCACGGCCTGGGTTGAGAGACTGATTGACTGACTGATTGACAGACTGGCTGATGGGCTGTCCTCTTGCTGTGTCCTAGATATCTGGAGCCTGGGGGTGATTCTGTACATGCTGGTGTGTGGCTACCCACCCTTCCACGAGGTCAACGACAGCGAGACCCTGACCATGATCATGGATTGCCGCTACACAGTTCCACAGCACGTTTCCACCGCCTGCCAGAGGTGAGTCCAGTTTTAACATTAAAGTTAATATTTTTATTTTCAGATGCATGGAATACTTTGTGCATTTGGCATTGTTTTCATTGGGACTCACTAACAACGCAGTTCTATCCCTCCTTCCTCTTGTCTTTTTGATCGTGCTCGAGTATGCCACTAGGTTTGCTAATACATACAAGACAGCCTGGGTCGGATCTAATAAGGAGTTTAAGAGAAACTTCTTCACTCAGAAAGAGAGGGTGGAACTCACTGCTAGAAGCTGTGTTTGAAGCAAAGAACCTCAGTGTATTTAAGAGGGAGCAGATACGAGGGAGAAGGAAATAGTGTTTTGTCTACAAAACACTTTACGGTATATCCTGTGAAGCGCTTTGAGATGATTCGAAGTCATGATAAGGCGCAATATCAAATGCAAGACTTATTATTATTATTATAGAGGAGTAGAGGAGGGTGAGGGCAGAGTATAAACACCGACTAGTTGGGTTGATTGCCCTGTTTCCATGCAGAATTGCTGCATGTAATTCTGTGAACGTGTAGAGATGTGCCTCAACCCAGCCTCTCCACCCTATACACAGCGAGTGTTGGCTGTCAGCCAGAGCATTGTACCGACACCGAGAGAGACAGAGGGAAGCTGGTTACCAGCTCAGTCCTGCTCTGGCACAAACACCCCAGGAAATGTGTCACTCCGACTGGCACCCGGTTGGAGTGGAGACTTCCTGTTCCTGTCAGTGTGACTCGGAGGTGATTAGAAACAATTTGGGATTCGAGCCTGAGCCCGTGATGTGGGAGGCCTGATAGAGACCAGCTGTCGAACAAACACGATGGAAGATAAACATATGCAAAGCTTCAAAGGCAGCCCACCCCACCCCCATCCTCCTCCCAGCCCCGTGCCTACAACATACTTAGCGCTGCGTGGTGGCGGATTATTAGACCGTATTAAGTCCAAATATTGTCAATTAGCTTGCTGAGGACTCGGGAAGGATTGTCATTAGCGATGCCTCTGAGATCGCATGACTGTGGATCTCGTTGCCAGAGCAATTTTGAGTATTAATAAAACCTCTGTACGTGCCCGGCAATGTTGCTGCCTTGTTGTCGTGGTAACGGGGGCTCTCTCTTTCACCGAGCGTGGTTGTCCGCTCTCTGCGTGTAGATTTCAGTGGCCGGACGTTTAGTCTGGGGAGAGCAGCGAGGCTGATACCCAGGGTTAGAGCGATGAGCTTGGAGGAACAAGGAGCATCCAGACAAGCAGCATTAATTAATAGTAATCCTTGCATTAGGATGTAGCATCTGATCACATCGCTGAGAAGTCTCAAAGCGCTTCGCAGGACACACCGCCTCACTGCTCCTGTGAGATGAGCTCACGTTGTTTTGATCCAGGAAACGCTCGAAGCTTCTGCTTCTTGCAGTGATTGCCCACATGGCAGAGCCGGCCCTCGGCACCGCGCTCAGTCCTCTCCGCTTCAGTGATGGGCTGCGCTGGAGCACGGCCCTGACCCACTCTGCTTTCAAGGCCAGCCGTTCGGGCCAGGTCATCCAACGTCACAGTTGGATCATCAGTCAGGGTCTGACATCAGTATGGTCGCTCGCATATCCTTGGTCAAAGCTGGGAATCCGAGAGAAAGTGACACAGTGCCAGGGATTGTAGCAATGTGGGAGTGCTCGCTCACTCGCTCGCTCACTCATTCACGCACTCACCCACCCACCCACTCCCTCACTCACCCACCACCCATTCACTCACTCATTCATTCACTCACTCACCGACCCATTCACTCACTCACCCACACATTCACTCACTCAACCATTCACACACCCACGCACTCACTCACCCACCCACTCACCGACCCATTCACTCACTAGCTGATTCGCACACCCGCTTGGCAGCAGTTTTTAATTTGAACAGGAATGTTTTGGATGTCGTACAGTAGAGCAGATTGTTTATTATACAACCGGGCAGGAAAACCACAATATTTGGGGAGTTGTATTATTCTCAGGCAAACCAGGACCTTTTTGGAGGGCCTATGTTAAAAATAGGTTACACTTTCCACTAGTATTCTGTTTATCTTGTTCCCCCGGGGCTCCATTAGTTTGAGATGTTTGGAGCTGGTCCCTGAGCACAGTGGGGGTAGGGGTTGATTCCCAGCCCCCACGGCCTGTATGAGCTTGTCTCTCACTCACCTCCCTGCCAGGCATGTGTGCCTGCTGTAAACAACAACAACAACAACAGACATTTGTTTAGCACCTTTCACGTCAGGAGGAGATCCTGAAGTCCCTAAACCCTGGCTGTGGCTCAGGCGATAGCGCTCTCGCCTCTGGTTGAGGGCTTGAACCTTGCAATGAGATTACAATCTGAGAGATATCAGAGCGAGGCGGGGGTGCGGGGGGAAGAGAAAGGTGGGGGGGGGGGTAAGAGGGGGACTTTTCATCGTAATTCTAAGCGAACGTGAGTTACGACGCAGTGTGTGGCGACAGCACAGAGCCAATCTCATTCTCAAACCAGGCGTGTGAGGGTGCTGATCTGCGGTGGCTTGAAATGGCATTGAGTTAAATACGCAGAGACAGAAGGAGAATTGCTAATCCATGTTATTCGCAGTGACATCTAATTAAACTGTTGCTGGCTGAATTCGACTCTGGGCCACAGGGTGGATCGGGGCTGTAGTGACAGGAGAACCCAGCGATCTGCTCCCAGCTGCTGTCTCAGGTCCTGAAATGCCTGGAGGGGCACTTATTGAGCCTGAGGCCGGGGGACTCGCTGCCTCAATCTGTACACGCTCGCTGGGCAGCCCCTTTCACGGTACATCGCCTGCCTGATGTCCTATCTAAACGCCACATCTCATCTCGGGAGCCACAGCATTTCACAGAATTTTGTTAATAATAATTATAATTCTAGTATTTGATATAATGTCTTATCACATGGTTGAGATGTCCCAAGGTGCTTCATAGGATATACCGTAAAGTAGAGGGGACTGTGTGTTTTGTGGCCGAAATGCAGCGGCCAGTTTGCCCACAGCAGTGTCCCACAAACAACCATGGAGTGAGTGACAGTTTTATAATGGAGGATTTGTTGACCAGGGAGAGAGAGAAACTCCTTTCTTTTTCCAAATAATCTTCGAATAGTCTGCGGGATATTTAAAGTCCACCTGAACAGGCAGGGTTTAATGTCTCATCTGAAGGATGACTTCTCCCAACAATGCAGCACATCTCCAGCACTGCATTGGAGCGTCAACCGAGACGGTTGAGTTCCAAGTCCCAACACAGGGGCTTGAACCCACAACCTTCTGACTCGGAGGTACTACCAACTGAGCCAGACTCACATTAAATTGCTTCAGGGAGGAGGGATTAGTGCGTACGAATAATTTATAACGTAGCTTGTATTTATGCAGCGCCTTTCACGGAAAATCAACAGCTTGAAGCGCTTTGCAAAATCAAATTAAAAATGAATTGATCGGAAAGTGAATATTATTACAGAGGCAAACGTGACAGTTAAACCACAATGTTGATATTCCATAAGCAGTGGCGAGGGGAGCACCTCACTTGTTTGAATTTGGGATAAAGGAGAGGAAATTAAGCCAGAAAACTGGAAGAAAGATTCCACGTTACTTTCAGATAAGAGACGGTAAACCTTCCCTTTAGATCCACCTGAGTTGCAAGGCTGACAGAATGTACAATTCATAACACCATCTCAAAGTATAGGATGAACTGGGAATTAATGATGCAATTTGTATTTAATATAAAAAATTAATAATAACCCTTTTATTTGATATAATCCCTGTGCCATCATAATGTCTCAAAGCGCTTCTCAAAGTTAATAACAATAATGATCCTTACATTTGATATAGCGCCTTTCAAATATATCTCAAGATAAACACTTTTAAAAGGAGTCAGCTCTAGGGGTATGTGGAAAAGATCAGAAAAATGGGATTGAAAGGTTTGCAATAGAAGGAGCTCTCAGACATGATTCGGCGAATGGTCTTTTTCTGTGCTGTAAATTTCTATGGTTCAATGTCAGGAGGATGCGCTTTGCATGATTTTACTGCGAAGCATAGTAACTGTGTGTTGTGCAGGCAGGTGCAGCAGCCAAGTTGCGTCGAGCCATGTTCCTCAAACAGGCGTGAAATGAGTGAACCATGGAAGGAAATGTCGGCCAGGACACTGGGAGAAATTCCTAGTGTTTTCCGTTAGTCTCACGGGATCTTTAACGTCCCCCCCATCAGACAGACAGGAGCTTGATTTAACAATAGAATGATGTTCTGTGGACAAACCTAGCAGCCAACGTGTGCCAGCAACTATGAGTGAAATTCATTTGAATGCATGAGATCAGGACTAAAGGAACTACCCGCAGCACTGAGATAAGCAATAGGCTGTGGTTGCCAGCTGTTCGCCTGTGTTCAGATCTCTTCTGACTGACTGGAGCAGGGCATCTGTGCTGGAACACAGCCTGTTGTGCGTGTGTGTGTGATGTTGTGTGGTTGGCTCCACTGCAGATCCCTGACCTATAAGGATTGGGACAGGCAGGACTCGCTAATGCTATAATAATAATAATAATAATAATAATAATAATAATAATAATAATAATCCTTGCATTTGATATAGCGCTTTTCACGTCAGGAGGACGTCCCAAAGCGCTTCACAGAACACACTGTAAAGTGAATTGACTGTATATTTGTGGGCGAACACGGCAGCCAATTGCGCACAGCAATGTCCCACAAACAGTCGTAGATTGAAAATGACCAATTTATTATTGTTTTTGGTTTTGGAGGGATTATTATTAGGCTCTGTGTGGAGTAAGGAAACTTGCCCAAGGTTTCGCCCTCTGCCTGGAATTGAACTCAGGTCTCTCACTTGCAAAGCGAGTGCTCTAACCACTGAGCTACAGGACTCCACTATGTACAACAGGGAAGGACTTAAAGGTGGGATGGGGTCAGGGGAGGAAATGGAGATACTAAACTTGAACCACAGGGATAAAAGTGGTGAATTGGTGACACCCACTGAATCCTTGAGTTCTTGTCTGTTCTTTTTCGTCACTAAGTGAGTCCTACCACCAACAACGCCGTGAGGCTTCTACCTTTAAACACCGGTGACTTGTACAGTGAAGCAGACTTGATGGGCTGAATGGCCTCCTCCTATTCCTGTTTTCCTAATGCTACTCGGTCATTAATTAGTTATTGTGACATCTGATGTAGCTTGCAACATTGGTCAAACCGCGTCTGTAAAGTGTAGTGACTGTGTATTGTGCAATCAGTTGCACCCAGTAATGTCCCACAAACAGCCATGGAGTGAGTGACTAATTTTACTTGGCGGTGGGGGGGAGTTGTTGGCCAGGTCACAGGGAGACAGAAACTCCTGTCTCTTATCAAATGTGATTTTAACATCCATCTGAACAGGCAGATGGGATGCCAGTTTAATGTCTCACATGAAGGACGGTACCTCTTAACAATCCAATGCTCCCCCAGAACTGCACTGGAGCATCAGTCCAGATGATGAATCTCAAGTCGGGGCATGAGACAGGAGAGAGTGATCCAGTTTGATGCCTTTTAGTTTAGTTTAACACTGTCACCTGTCGAATTAAAGTCCCTGTCTGTCTGCTACCCTGTGGCGAGAGAGTCCGAGTTGGCCTACGCCTTTAAGGAACCTGAGTGGGAGACAGCTGCTTTTAAGTTGTTGATCTGCACAGAGCTTCGAGGGAATATAGGAATCGCCGAGACTGGGAGCCTTGTGTTGAGAGTGTTGTGGAAACAGGATAAAAACATCAAAGGCAGGGCTTAGCTGTCTGCTCGCTGGCTTGACACCTCTTGCGGGTTGGAGCCTCAGATCACTTGGATTTCCAACAGCACTGACCCCTTATTGCAAAGTATTCCCAGGCGCTCGGAGCAGAGGGTTCACTGCAATCCTCAGAGATTTATTTAGACCGGGCTGATTCGCATCTCGGAGGTAAAGGATACATATTAAAAGCATCAGAAGCTGAAGTTGTCGCTGGGCTCCAAAAAGGGATTGGATAGAAGATTAAAGGGGAGAGCAAGCAGGACAGGAGAGGGAGGAAATACACTTGGCTTTTGTGTGGATGCTACCCCACGTGAGGGGCGCGATATAAATGCAGGTTGTTGTTGTTGTTTTTGGGCTTGCCCTGCCTGGCCCAGACTCCCAGGCAGAGCAACTGATATGCGAGCTATCAGTCATCGTGTATTCCCCATCCAAAATCCTAGTGAAGCTTTGGGCTGTTTGCATTGCGATGGCTTATCTGCATGTGACTTTCACTTGGGTTAACATCCCATCTGAAGGTCAGCACCTCCGACAATGCAGCTCTTCCCCAGATCATTCCTTCAGTATAATAGCTGGCAAAAAATAAGTCCAGATAAAAGATTAGATAACTTTGTTTAAAGGTTTCAAAACGATTCTATCATTATAATAATAATCCTTGCATTTTAACCAACATTTGTATCACATCATCGAGATGCCTCAAAGCGCTTTCACAGGATATAATGCAAAGTTGTAGTGTATTTTATGGATCAACGCAGCGGCCAATCTGCACATCAATGTCCTTGGAGTGTGTGACCGTTTTGATTTTGGGAATTGTTGGCTCGGATTTTTGTTCTTAGTTAACAGGTTATTCGAACGAGTGAATAATTAACCGTTTGGTAACTTTTATTATTGGTGGTATGTAGAATATCAGTCGTGCATATCGGGGCTCTGGGGTCACCAGTGAAGTGACCGAAGGCATGGTTGAAAGGGAGGGTCTTGAGATGGGTCTTGAAGGAAGCAATGGAGAGGACAAGGCAGAGGGTCTGCGAGATGGCGTTCCAGAGGGTGGGGTCAGCGAGGCTGAAGGCACACCCTCCAATGATGGTGCGGGCAAGACGGGAGATGTGAAGCAGGCCGGAGCCCGCTGAGCAGAGGGAGCGAACAGGTTGGTAAGGGGTGGCTGTCAACCACAAGAAAGCCATGGGAGACCATGGATGAAGAAGAACCTTCAGCCCTTTTTGATCTCCAATGGGGAAAACACCTGGGGAGAGAGAATAATTCTGTAGCGTTGATGTGAAAGTGTGCGGTCTTATCTCACTCCTGGCTAAAGGTGTCAGAGCTTTACTTGGCAATGTGTTCTCCTGTTTTGACAAGGAGGTGATTATGTGATTATTGTGCGTGTGAGTTGGAGGTTACTGGGTTAATTTATAACCTACTGACACGCTCATTATCCTGAAGCTATAAAAAGTGGAGAGAGAGATTAGTGATCCAAGGTAAAGGGAACAATGGTGCATTTGTAGGAGGAATGCACTTTCACCTCTGTGGTCGAGGTTCAAGCATAGCCTAGAGGGATGGCCAACCATATTGCCAGTAGCTGCCAGGACACTGGACTCTTGTGTCTTTTGGAAAAAAACTCAATGGAAAGCCAGTTGGGTGGGCCTTCAGCTTCTCTGCCCCCACCTTGTTGAACTCCCTCCTCACAGTCCCTTTGCCTCGCTCCCTCCCTTGCCTCCTTCAAGGCCTGTCTCAAGACCCTCTACGATTGCATCTTCAGTCATCTATTCCCACCCCCACCCTCCCTGCCTCTACCCCTCCTAATCCCAATCCCCAGCTCGGGTCCAAAGCCCTAACTGTCCAGATCCTTGGCATGTCCTCCTGATATAAAGGGCGGTATACACATGACATTTGTTGTTGTTGTTGTATCCTGGAAGGACGAGATCAAAAGGGCTGAAGGTTCTTCTTCATCCAATCTCATCTCAACTGATCTCGCGGCGATTTCGTCAAGTCCTGAGTCACAAACGCTGGCTGCTGCTTGTAGCACGAGGACATCAGCCATCCAAACGTTTAACATTTCTTCAGATTGGTTTCATCTCTGAAGCGTGTTATTAGGCAAATATCATTCCTCCAGCTGAGATCCTCAGGGAAACCCAGAATAGAAACAATCACTCGGACTGTTTTTAATGTTGGAATCTGTTTGCTCTCTGTTCTCTCTGTGCCAGGACCTGTTCGCGCAATACTAGTCCTATAATAATAATAATAATCCTTGATTTGATATAGCGCCTTACCATGTCATCGCGTCATCGAGACGTCTCAAAGCACTTCACAGGATATATTGTAAAGTGGATTGACTGTGTATTTTGTGGGCAAAATGTGCATTGTTGTCTCTCTGTCCTTTTCCTTTGTGATGTCTGAACATGAAATCGGGAGAGAGGAAAAGAAACAGCTCTCAAGTGTTAAATAAGGACTTGCGAATCCATTGCTTGTTGCAGTGTAGCCTGGAAACCCTTGTTAGCTCGCTAGTGACTCCCGCTGGTCACCGACTGTGTTGCGCTTTGTGTTGTTGCAGTTTGATCTCGAGGATGCTGCAGAGGGACCCGAAGAGGCGGGCGTCCCTGGGAGAGATTGAGAGCCATCCCTGGCTCCAGGGCGTGGACCCATCACCGGCCAAGAAGCTCAGCCTGCCTCTGACCTCCTACAAGAGCTTGTCGGACGAGGAGCATGAAATCATCATCCAGTCTATGGAGTGTGGCAGCATCGCTGACCGAGGAGCTATCCAGGAGTAAGTGCTGCTCGTCTGCTTGTCTTTCCCAGAATCAGGAGAAGATGAACTGCAGGAAATGTACATGTTTCAGGTGCAGGCTGTGTGTCAGCCTGATTCAGTCAGTCATGATAATAGTCCTTGCATTTGATGTAGCGCCTTTCACGTCATTGAGATGTCTCAAAGTGTTTCACTGGATATACTGTGAAGTGGATTGACCGTGTAGGTTCGTGGATGAAACATGGCAGCCAGTTTGCGCAAAGCAATGTCCCCCAAACAGCCATGGAGCGAGTGATCAATTTTATTGGGTGATAGTTGGCCAGGACACCGGCAGAGAGAAACTCCCTTCTCTTTTCGAATAGCACCATATCAGAAAGAGTGAGCATTGAGGTGTGTCACACTAAACAGATAACACCTTCTTAGAGGAGGGTGAGTTTCTTGGGCGTTAGCCTGGTATAATCAGGAGCACTCTCCTCTCTGGATCAGAAGGTTGTGGCCTGTGGGCTGCTAACCTTGTGCAAAACTATACCCACCTTCCTCCCACCTTCACACGGGCTGTCACTCAGACAGCTGTCTCTCTCTCTAGCGTGAGTGGTACTTGTGTTCTTGACATCTGTTCAACACAGCAACTACTAGACCTCAGCGTTAAACAGAGAGAGAGGTATCTGTATATCAATCATCTCGCAGGTCCTATCACTTTCTGTGATGTTAGCCAGACCTCACCAACTTGGTGCATTTAGTCCTGGATGAGATCATCCTGTTTGAGAAGATGAGGCAGAAGATTTATCTGTGTTATATGCAAGGGCATGTCATTAGTCCCCTTCCCCAGATAGCTTGACCTCGGCACTTAACCTTTAGAAGTTAAGTAAGGATGATATCATTGCTAATTTTAGCTCGTGAGGCCGCCTGCGGCCTCCTGCTGAAACTTCAGGTGGTCGTGAAATATTGCACAACTTGATAAGAGAAAGCAGTTTCTCCCTGTGTCGTGGCCGAAAATCCCCCAGATAGATTTGATCACGGCTGTTTGTGGGACAGTGCTGGGCACCGAGTGGTTCTCTTGCTCGCCTACAAAACTCACGGTCACTAGACTTGACGGGTAAATCCTGTGAAGTGGTTGAGACGTCCTTGCCGAGGTCACGGGCGCGATAACAAATGGAAGGAAGATTAGTTTGGGGTTACTCTTGTGTTATCGCGCTTTAGAGCGCTTCGTAAAGGTAGTTTTCCGAGTGGTTTTCGGTAACTGGTCAGCCAGGACAATAACACTACTTTGTTACACTTCATCGGATGTTACTTTTCTGAGTAGATTTGATACTACTTTGTGCAGGGGGTGGACATTTTGTGCGCTGGATATCTTGTCAAGTCATTCCTGAATGGTCTTACTAACAGTGTCTCTACACCAACGATGACAGGATCTATGCTTGTCTTGTACTGCCACAAGCGCTCGCATTCAACTTGTGGGTTAGAGGACTTCCTGATCTTCTCTAGTTGTTGATGATGGTGATGATAAGAACACAAGAATTTGCCAGGCCAAAGAAGGCCAAGGTACATCTAGTTCACCTTCCATCATCCTGGCAGTCGCTTGACATGTCGTGTCCCAAACTATGTACTGTATCCCCGAGATATTATTTTCTCGCAGAAATCTATCTCATTTGTTCTTGAAACGGACAACATTTTCTGCTTCCACTATCTGTCTCCCGAGGGAGCCTGTTCCATAAGTTTATCACTCGCTCACTGAAGTAGTGTTTCCGCAGATTTGCTCTCAATTTACCCCCCCGATCAATCCCAGTCCTTGTCACCTGGTTCTACTGTTCAGGACAAGATAAAACAGCTTATCATGATGAATGCAGTGACGGGCAGCCAGACTCTGTCACTCACGCTCTCTATGGTTCTCTCTCAGGGCTCTGGAGGCAGACGACTACAATCACATCACGGCTACGTACTTCCTGCTGGCGGAGAGGATCCTGAGGGAGAAGCAGGAGAAGCAGACGCAGAGTCAGAACCTGAACCTGGATTATAACTGGAGCAGTCACGTGCAGTGCAGGTACGTGATCCAGAGTGGGGACCCGCTGTGTGGAGTCAATGACCGACTCTGTCCCCATTCCACCCACCGCCCCTCTCTGTCCCCCCTGCACCTCTCTGCCCCTCCACCAGTCCCTAACCCCCGCCGCTCTCTGCCCCACTGCCCCTGTCTACCACCCCTCCCCGGTCCCCTCTGCCCCTCTGTGCCTCTCGTGACTGATGGACGATGTGTCTCCTTATTACAGACAGTCCTTATCGACTCCGATCACCAGCTTCGTGGCTGCCATGGAGCAGCGTGGACAGCCGCCCCTCCCCCACAACGGCTTCTCACTGGAGCGTCCTGCCAGGGGCAGGGGTGTTGGAGACGGGGGGACCGGGGGGGCCGAGGGTGTGGGGCCAGGGAGGGGCAGGGCTGTGGAGCTGAAGAAAATAGCCAAGCCCCCGAGCGGGGCCCCGGGGCCCTCCCCCATCCAGATCCTCCTGCGCTCCTCGCTGGAGGCCTCCGTCACCCCCAAGACCCCGCCCGTCCTGCAACAAATCTGTGAGGAAGATGAGGAAGAGGAGGAGGAAGATAAAGTGGCCGTGGTCCAGGTGCTGAAAGGGACATGTTTGCCCAGTGAGGCTTTGAGGCCCTGCATGGGGCCTGGGCACATGGACATACAGAAGCCCGCCTCCAGGAGCCCCGACAAGGGGGGCAGGCGGGGGGCGGGCACAGAGCCGGCAGCCGAAACCCAGGAGGGTCCTCGGCAGCGGGCGGCGGCCACAGAGCCAGCCGCCCGCGGGGTCCTGATCACGGGCCTGACAGGCGGGCCGGGTTGCTGCGGGCGCTGGGCAGAGCAGAGCGAGCAGCTCGCCGTGCACTTCAGCAGCCGGCCCATCAACCTGATGAACGAGAGCAACAACAACAGCGCAGGCAAGGAGGGCTCCAGGGCCCCGGAGCCCCCCAGCACCGGGGACAGAGAGGGGCCGGCCCCCGACAGCCCGCGGGCACGCCCGGCGGAGAGGACGGCAGAGCCGGGGGTCAGCGCGGACCCCCTGAGCAGGCCGGACCCCACCAGAGCCAAGAACGTTAACATCAGGGAGCGGATCCTGCAGATCCCACTGTGCGAAAAGGCGCTGGCCTTCAAAATCAAACCCAGCTCCAAGGACAACCTCCTGCCCTTCGGACAATTCAACTGCTGCCATGTCATCTGAGCTCCTGGGGGGGGGGGGGGGATACATGCACTTCCCCTCCTCCACCCCCACCCACACACAGACACACATACGTACACACATTCACTCGCTCACATCTCAGCCTCGGGGCTTGTGTGCGTGTGTGTGTGTGTGGGGAAGGGGACGCAAAGAGAAAGGAGACTTGAACGGTCGAGACACAATCGCGGGTATAAGGGCTTGAATGTACAGGTAGTTGTGTGCTTCTGCATTTCGGAGGCCGCCGAGAGACCTGGTGCTCTGTAGCAAAACTTGAGAACATCCTAACCGAGAGGCAGCTGGACAGCTCTGCAGTGTTAGAGCAGCAATGGGCGATCACTTAGGACTGTCATCCTGTACTTCATCGGCACGTTTGAGGCAGATCCACTCTCCTACCCCCCCACCCACCTCCCACCCCTAGCCCCTCCATCCCATCTTAGTTTTGTTCAGGATTATGTTCAAACTTCCAGAGAGTTTTGCTCTGTAAAATCCATCAACAATCCCACGCATTAACCGATGCCCGGCTCAGCGACCTTGTCTTGTCTCACTGCGGTGGTAACTTTCTAACAACTCAGCAAGCGAGTCACCCCTTTCTTTCACTGTGATCTTAAAAACAACGGCAACGACAGCGACAAAACAAAAAAAAACAACAGCCGAGACGAGCTGGAACGTTTTCACGTTCGTTGCCGTCCGATTCAGTTCTGTTACGTTTCTAATGAGATCTTTCATTTCGATCGGTAGCGCTTAGTTTTCCAAAAAAAGAGAGAAAGACCCATTGTAAATGCTGTTCTGTGAATGAGTCTTAAGCCAGTGTAAATATACTCTCATCGTATGAGGGTGCCCAGAATCCCTGTAAATATGAAATAGCAATTTTCCTAAATGATACAGTGCTGCATTTTATTTTATTGTACAACAGTATAATTTGTACATTTCGCCACTCCAGTCTATATTCTACATACGTGTACATAAGATAGTAGGAACTAATTGCAAACGCTTACTGGGTGCGAACCCACACTTATACAGAGCAGTGCAGCGTTTGGTTGGGGTGGGGTGTGGGGGGGGGAGGTTGGGTTGGGAAGTGGGGAGGCTGGCGAAAATTGCTTTAAAACATGAAGTATGTGACGGCGGTAATGCCCCCACCCCGTACGTGCCACATTACACGAGATGCATACGTTTACCCCCCCCAATCCCCTCCTATGTTTCGAAAATATTAATAAAGGATAATGTTCTCTTAACTTTTATTCCTGTCCCGACTTTTCTCAAGCTCTGGGTTCCCCAAGCCTTGCCTCACATCAGCCTGTACCTCAAATATATATATGTACGCACTCTCCAGGATAAGGATAAGCCAGACTCGACCCTCTGTGGGGGGGGGGAAGAGAGAGAGAGAGAGAGGGGGGGTGCGTTCCCTTCCAGACGTGGCGAAATTTCCCCTGCGTGGGTGGCCGTACCCGTGTGGAATTCTGTCCAGTTCGGATACTCTCAAGCCCGGTGATGGGTTTCTGGGTGTGTCGGAACCTTTATGAGTCCCCCCCCCTCCCCATTCCCCCCCATCCCCCAAGGAGGATGGCTTTGAGCACTGAGCCCAGCGAGTCGCCAAGACGTCAGCCTGGTTCAGCTGGCAGCGATCTGGCCTCTGGGTCAGAAACCTGTGGACTCTTGCCAAACCCCAACACCCTCGGGTATCAGCCACAGACAAGACACACACGACAAGGATTGGTAAGTTCTCTCACACTAAGGTGGGGGCACGAGCTAATCATGAACCTGTTTTTATCAGGCTCTCACCCTGGTTTGGGGGAAGAAAGGTGTAGAGTTAATGGCACATCTGAGTAATGGCCCCTATGGGGGCGGGGTGGAGGCAAGGAGGGAGGTGGCACAGCAGGTGAGGGAAGGACGCTGGAGATGCTTTCGCTGAGGTAGGTACAGGTAAGGCACCTTTACAGGTGTGACACTGACACAGGTAAAGAACCTTTAAAGGTGTGGCACTTCCCTATGTGACTTGCTCGGTAGCAGCTAAGAGTAAAACTTCTCTTTTTTTTCCCCATCTAACAAACCATGCCAAGCCATCCTCAGCACAGATTGTTCCTCTCTTTATACGAATGTGATGTAATGTGCAGAGAGACGTATGGCAGGAGGGATTGAGGATATGTTTGGATTGATTCGTACCTTAATACAACTCGAGCAGACTCATCAGAACTCGGTATATAAATACAAGTTGTTGTTTTTGTCACTGAGCTGATTCAGCTCCAGCAGTAGCCCGAAAGCACATGCTGGGGTCTAAGTTTGGATCCCACCAACCTACACCTAATACACTCCATCATTTGATAAGCAGAGCACATCCCTCTAGGGAGAGAGTGCGCATTCCATTTCAGACGAGTGGAAATTTCAATGTGTACGTGCCACGCATATAAAATCCTTGCATTCGACATGGTTTGATTTGGATCCTCTTAAGCATTGTGATGGGTTTCCGCATGTGTCAAGACAGCCGGCTGACCCAAAAAAAGACATTGAGTGGCACCGGTTTACTGTGACGTAACACTCCAGTGTTAATGCGTTATTTCCAGCTTCACGCCAGCATTAACGCTGATCCACTAACTATCCCCCGTGTAATCCTGTCTGTCAATGTCACTCCCATCACGTTGAGATGAGACACATTTCGAGAGGAGAGGACGGATTCGTGCCTCCAGCTGTTGCCAAGCAGTGTGTGCAAAGGCTCTTGGTATCTCGCTTTGGATCCAATTGTGGCTCCTCACTGCCGCCTTGGCTGAGAGGGTGGCAAGTCATCGGGGGAACATGGAAAGGTTATCAGCCCGGCGCAATGCTAGCGCTCTCGCCCCGGAGTCAGAAGCTTGCAGGTTCGTGCCCCACGTCTGGGTGTGCAATCACATAGTCTAAGCAGACACTCCAATGCAGTGCTGGGAGTGTGTTGCGTTGAGGTGCCGTCCTTCGGATGAGACGTTAATCTGAGGTCCCGTCTACCTGTCCAGGTGGATGTTAGAGATCCCATATTCAAAAAGAGAAGGGAGTTTCTCTCCCCCGGTGTCCTGGCCAACAATCACCCAAATAAAATTTGGCATTCCCATCATGTGCCAATTGGCTGCCACGTTTTGCCCACAAAATACAGTCACACCACTTCACAGTATATCCTGTGAAGCGCTTTGAGACATCGCACTGACATGATAAATGCTATATCTTCCTCCGAATCTCATATCACTCCCCACCCTCTTCGTCCCCTGTCCCTAATCTGCTCTATCCAGATCATATTGTAAACACTGTCTGTCCGTGGCAGCCAAACTATAATCTAACATCGGAGTCATCTCAGCTGCTGACATTGCTTGCCTCTCTTTATTGGATGTGCATATTTCAGGAGACTGAGCAATAAGCCACACAATCCGGTTCACCCAGAAAGTCTTTACTATGATTCAAAATTTATGACAGATTTGGCTGCTTAGATTCCCTCATATCCATCCACTCATTCATCCCACACTGCACGATTCTCTTGTGTTCATCCCCTCACACACACACACACACCACACCGCCCAGTTTCCTTCTGACAACAAAAGATAAAATGACGAGCTTTAAGCGAGAGACCAGATAGCGAGGGAGTGAGTTCCTGTGAAAGGATCCAGCAGTTTCTGAATGGCCAGAACATATCTGTACACAGAGGTTACCCTTCAATGGTGATCAAACTCACTCCTGACAGTTCTCATGACAGCTTGTCCGTTTCACATCAGGTCACTGAATGTCTGAGATCTGAGACTTATCTCCACTAGAGTGACGGATGCAGGTGCAAGTGTTAATCTGTCTCTGAAGCCAAGTCTTTGGTGTGTGGGAGTTTGGTTCATCATCAAGAGCCTCGATTCATCTTTACCAGCTTCGTCTTGTAATCTCAGTTTTCTTTGCAGCTGATTCCACCTCCTTCCTTCCTTTGATCACTATTTCTCTGATGGATTCCCTTTGTCATGTTGCTGATCTATGAGCTTAGACACTCCATGAGCTCCTCAGTCTCGTATAACATTCTAAATGCAATACTTGTTTTGAGTTTACTTTTGAATTGCATATAAAATGCACCACAGCAGAACGAGAGGACACGAACGAGAGTTGCAAAGGGTAATTTCAGGACAGACACCAGGAAGTTTTTCTTTACCTGGAGGGTAAAGAACGGTGGTTGAGGCCAAGAAAACAGCTTGATGTTGTAATGGGAAGACAGTAGGGTGAGTGTTCTGGAAGGATGAGATCATGAAGTGCCAGATGTTGACCCCATCGCCATGCTTAAGAGTATCTGAAGCAAACAACTAAGAGTTTGACACAGGCGTGCAAATTTCGGTTTGATTTTGCATTGGTTCAGGGAATAATGGTTTGTGTCGATTTGTACCACTTTTCCAGTTAAATAGTTTGCATAGAATACTGTCTCCTCTCCCACAAAACTGTAACACACAGTAACAATGGTAAAATAAATAGAATGTACAATTACAATAGAAAAACATCTCGTCGGGCTCACAGATGGACACAGACCATACGGCATAGCTTAACCCTTTCATCTTAATCTTGCTGCAATGTCACTTCTGCGATGCAATCCTCCGCCACGGGCGTACGTGTTGGTAGTGTGTAGCAAAAGGGAATACTTATATGGCAACGGTTCATTTAGAATAATGTTTCGTATTCACCGAATGGGAATGCTGAGAGGCACCATAATGGAAAACACTGCCCCAGAAGGTCGTACAGGCAAGATCACTTGGGGGTGTCTGAAAGGACGATGGTTAGATACTTGGGAAGTCAGAGGATTAAGGGAAATAGAGGAAAGGTAAGGAAATGGGGGTGGAATGTTGCTTGCACTGTACTGGACTTCATTGGCCATGGCAAGTCCTGCTGCCTGGTAGTCAGTGTGGGGAACACACACTCTGTGGGATTCGGAGCTCCTGCCCTCCATTGCCTCAGTACCCTTTGTCCAGCTCAACCACCTGCAACAAGAAAAGCACAAACAAACCATTTGCATTCGCGGGAGATAAATGGTAAGAGAAACAATAGTCAGACATAGACAAAAGGTATAATAATAATTCACTGATGAGAGGAGTAATAATTAGACACTGACTGATGAGGTGGGTAATAATTAGACACGGTCTGACCCCTTTAGATGATCTTAACCTTGTAGATGAGCCACTGTGGGGAAAATTCTCAAATCATGTCCATTGGTGGAAGCTGGTTCTCCCCAGTTCTTGAAAAGACAGCAGCGTCCAAATTAAGATTGAATTTAGGAATTTTCCGCAATTCTCCAAGATCCCACATTGAAAAACAAGTGGTCTTACAGACCAAATTTGGGGCTCCGATGAGGACATGGATTGATCTGGGGTTTGATCTCTCTATCGCTGGAAGTAACATGTGCTGACAAATCACAGGCTCACACTAGGTAATGTTTAGCAGTGAGCCCAGCATTCAAGCTTACCTCAGGATGAAGTCAGTATCAGAAATCCGGAAGCACTTTTTCACACAAAGGGTGGTGGAAGTCTGCAACTTTCTTTCCCCAAAAGGTTGTGGATGTTGGATCAATTGAAGTTTTCAAGACTGGGTAGATTTTTGTTAGGTATCAAGGGATATGGAGAAGAGGCGGATAATTGGAGTTGAGGTAAATATCAGCGATGATCTGTACGTCAACAGTGATGATAAGTACCTTATCAGCCATGATAAGAATAAACCGAGAGGAGGTACTAAAAAGGTTGTCGGTGCTCAAGGTAGATAAGTCACCTGGTCCGGAAAGGATGATTCCTAGGTTACTGAGGGAAGTAAATGCGGAAATAACGGTGGCTCTGGTCACAATCTTTCAATCCTCCTTGGACACCAGGGTGGTGCCAGAGGACTGGAGAGTTGCAAATGTTACTCCTCTGTACAAAAAGGGGCAGAAGGATAAACCGGGAACTACAGACCAGTCAGCCTAACATCAGTAGTGGGGAAACTTCTAGAGCCTATAATCCGGGACAAAATAAATTTTCACTTAGAAAAATATGACGTAATAAAGGATAGCCAACACAGATTTGTTCAAGGCAAATCATGTCTAACAAACCCGATAGAGTTTTTTAATGAAATAACAAAGAAGGTTGATGAAGGTAGTGCAGTTGATGTCGCTTATATGGATTTTCAAAAGGCGTTTGATAAAGTGCAACATAAGAGACGTATGCAAAATAGAAGCCCACAGTATTAAAGGGACAGTGGCAGCACGGATACAGACTGACTGGGAGACAGAAAGCAGAAAGTGGTGGTGAACGGTTGTTTTTCTGACTGGAGGGAAGTATTCAGTGGTGCCCCAAGGGGTCGGTATTGGGACCACTGCTGTTTTTGATCTATATAAATGACCTGGAGTACAATTTCCAAGTTTCCAGATGATATTAAGCTAGGAAAAATAGTAAACAGTGAGGAGACGAGATGCTGGGAAGAGGATCTGACAGAGCGCTTTACCATTATGAGAGGGTTCTACGTGCTGGACATACATAGATAAGACTGTTGCCACATTACAAGGTTATCTATACAAATGACCTGGACTTGGATGTAGGGAGTACAATTTCCAAGTTTGCAGATAATACTAAGCTAGTTAACAGTGAGGATAGTAGCAGACTGCAAATGGACATAGACAGACTGGTAAAATGGGCCGACAGTGGCACATGAAGTTTAATGTGGAGAAATGCGAAGTTATGCATTTTGGGAGGAAGAATGTGAAGAGGCAATATAAGCTGATGGTACAATCTTAAAAGGGGTGAAGGAACAGAGAGACCTGGGGTTCATATAAGTAAAGCTTTGAAGGTGGCAGTAGGTAGATAAAGCTGTTAAAAAAAGAATACAGAATACAGGCTTTATAAATAGGGGCATAGAATAAAAAGGTCAGGAAGTTATGATGAACCTTTATAAAACACTGGTTAGACCTCAGCTGGATTACTGTGTTCAGTTCTGGACACCACATTGTGGAAGGATGTCAAGGCATTGGAGAAGGTGCAAAGGAGATTTACCAGGATGTTACCAGGAATGAGGGCCTTAAATTATCAGGAGAGGCGAGAGAAGCTAGAATTATTCTCCTTGGAGCAGAGAAGGTTAAGAGAAGACTTAATAGAAGTTTTCAAAATTCTGAAGGGATTCGATAGGGTGAATAAGGAGAAATTATTTGCACTGGCGGGTGGGTCGGTAACCTGAGGACACCGATTTAAAATAGTTGTTGAAAGAAACAGAGGGGAGGTGAGGAGAATTTCTTTCACGCAGCGAGTTGTTGGGATCTGGAATGCATTGCCTGAAAGGGTGGTGGAAGCCGATTCAATAACAACTTTTAAGAGAGAAAGTAGATAATTGTTCATGGAGGACACGTTTGCAATCATGATATTTGACAATAGTTCCTTGTGAAGTGCTTTGAAAGTTTTTGACGTTATTGCTGCTTGTGTCAAATGCAAGGTTTATGATTACATTAAAGCTATTTACCTTTTGTTTGAGAGCTTGAAGCGACTGATACTCCACTCTGTCAATCTTCAGTCTCACCCACTGGGGAATATCAGGAATGGCAAGTGCTAAGATAACTTTAATAGCGATCAAGGCGTGCTGAAACCACAGGAACAGTGCAGTGTGAGCAAAATCAGGCTCGAATTGAGGGAGTTTCACTACTCCAGCCACATTGTCAACAAACCCAGATCATGACTGCTAAGCATTCAACCTTTGTCACTGATTGTTGGCCAGTCAGTGACACACTTAAGGTAAATCGCAAAAAGAATTAAAAGGGAGGTTTGGTAAAGAGCCTTCACATTCAGAGTGGTTGGAATGTGGAATTCTTTGCCACAAACTCTTGTCGATGGGAACAGTAGGGCGGCTATTCTGAACGGATGAGATCAGATGGACGAAGGGCCTTCTTCATCCAAACTAGTCTTATGAACTGCGTCCTTCACTTTGCTGTGGAATAACATTGAGAGTCAATAACTTTACAGGAGAGTTCATCAGCAAGGACATTCTCTTACCTCAACTGCAACTGTCCATAGCCACACCCTATGGGATGTTAGACTGTGAGTGGTGCAGTACTCCACCACCTGAGGGGATATGCTGATCAGGAAACAGTTGGTGATGATGGACAGGAATCCGAGCATCTCAAAAGCAATCTGTAAGACCAGTTGTAGAACGCACTTACTAACAGGATTGCAAGCCACAAATTACATAACAAGCTTCATCTCTTCTGGAAATCAGTGCTCACACCAAGCACAAAGATGACACTTGCTCTACATGTTGCACATGGTTAGTATACATTTGGGTAATCGGCAAGGTACAAGAGTACTTTAACTTGATCTAAATTGTGTCGGTCTGGCTCAATTTGTAGCATTCAAGCACCACATCGGGAATTTGAACTCATAATCTAGGCTGACCCTCCAGTGTCATCCAGTGGTGCTATTCGAAAAGTGAAGGGAGTTTCCCCCCCGTGACCAACAAAATCCCCCAAACAAAATTGATCACTCACTTCATTGGCTGTTTGTGGGACACTGCAGCGTGTAAATTGGCAGCCGCGTTTCGCCCACAAAACATGGTCATTTTACAGTACAATCGTGTGAAGCACTTTGAGACTCCCTCCCCACATGAAAGGTGCTATGCCAAAAGCAATGGATTATGATAATGATTAATAAATTGTTTTTCAGCAGCAATCTCCCTGTATATGTGGCACGCTCGAGTGAGACCTCGGCGTGACTGTGTCTGCAGCCACTCCCTGACCTGCCAGACTCCTATGTTGGCGGCTGGAGCAACGAAAGGTTTCCTGAAGATTCGGCAGAGTTTCAACATGTCCGTGTGGATTTCCGTCATGTTGTTGAGTGCGATGAGGGTGGCCGACAGCGGGTAAATACAGGAGAAGAGACTGATGTAACCAAACTGCACAAACAGCTCCATGTAATCGTCAAACATTCCCTGCAAGCAGAGGGAGAGAGAGAGAGCGGTGAGTGCAGGATTAGGAGGATTTCCTGCAGGCTGGGAGCACAGTGACTCCAGGCAGGAGGTTGGTCCATGATTTCTCATGCTCTCAGAGCATGGCTGTCAATTGTGGTATCTCTACCTACACTGACTGATGAGCTTGTTCTCTGCTGTGTGACAGAAAATGCTGGTTTTCTCCTAACTAGTTTGTTCAGTGGATGTTAACAACCCCGTGACTCTATTGGAAAAGAGAAGGAAAGTTTCTGCTGGTGTCCTGGCTGACATAATACCATTCTTTGCCCGTAACACCATAGATATTTATGGCACAGAAGAAGGCCATTTGGCCCATCAAGTCTGTGGCGATTCCTTCAACAGCAATGCTTTCAGCTCCATTTACCTGCCCTTTTCCCACACCCCTGTAAGTGACTCTTATTAAGGTAATTTTTAAGGTAACCTGAACCAGTCTTGTGATCCTCGTCATTTACTGGAATTATAAGGTCCATCCTGTGTGAGGGTGTGGGCTGACACCACCCAGCGATTAGCGCTGTTGTGTTACTTACTGGAAATGGTGTCATCTCTCCCTGGGCTTTTATCTTGTCGATCACCGGTGTGTTCTTGAGCTGGGATTCCTTCGAACTGGAGTCGTCGCCGTAAATCTTTTTGTAGAGATAAGGCAGCAACGTCTCCATGAACTGGTTGATGATTTGAGTCACGATGAGCAAAGAGGCGAGTTCCTGAGATAGAAAGAACAATCCTGTTAATACAGTGTCCCTGAGTGTAGGAACTCGCTTACAAACACAAGGTCAATCCAATTTACAGTAGATCCGGTGAAGCGCTTTGAGACGTCCTCTCGACATGAAAATGTAACGTCACCTTTAAAGCCCTCCGTGGCCTTGCTCTCCTTACCTCTGCAATCTATTAAAACATCCCAAACCTGTCTGCTCCCTCCACTCAGCAGTCACAGGTCTGCTCCACATCCCCCGCCTGCCTGGTCCTCTATCGGCAGCCGGACTTTTAGCCGGTAGCCTTTCTACCCCCACCCTCTGGAACTCCATCCTGGACGGCCTCAGACTCACCCCCTCCGTTGCCTCCTTCAAGTCCCATCTCAAGACCTTCCTTTTGGACCGTGCCTTCAGTCATCTTCCCTCTTCCACCTACCTCACACCCCGCCTTCCATCCCTCTCTGATTCCAGCCCACAGCTCAGGTAGCAAACCCCTCATTGTCCAGCGCCTTGGGACGTCCTCCCAAAGTGAAAGGTGCTATACAAATGCAATTTGTTGTTGTTGTAAGGATTATTATTATAACTCAGCACCTCACATTACTGACCTAAAAATTCCATTCATCTTAGCTTGAAGAGCAATGTCTTAACACTAACGTCCATGCAGAATTGTAGCAATGTTTTAAACTCAGTCTTAATTTGAAAGCGTGTTCTTTTTAAGGTCAGCATAAAACTCATGTCGTTTAGGCTGACACTCCAATGCTGTACTGGGGAGAGGTACCATCCTATGGTTGAGACGTTAAACCAAGGTCCCCTCTGCCTGTTCAGGTGGATGTTAGAGATCCCGCAACACAATTGCAAAAGAGAAGGGAGTTCATTCATTCCAATGGTTGTTTGTGTGACAGTGCTGTGCGTAAAAATTGGCAGTTGTGTTCGCTTACAATACACACAGTCGCTCCTCTTTACAGTTTATTCTGTGAAGCGCTCTGAGAGATCTTCCTGACGTGAAAGGCGTGATATCAAATGTATGGAGTATTATTTATTCTGATTGATCAGAAGGTTATCGGGCTGCAGGGAGGAAAAGGATGGTGTTGGGTTTCAGAGAAGGAAGATGAGCGGGAAATGTAGTATTAGAGATGCTGTTACAGCAGAAGGCTGGACTTCATGGTCTTGCTGGCATATAATAATAATAATTCTTGCATTTGATACAGCTCCTTATCACGTCTTCGAGACGTCTCAAAGCGCTTCACAGGAGATACTGTAAAGTGAATTGACTGTATATTTTGTGGGCGAAACGGCATCACCAGGACTCTGAATGGAGGTTGGTTGTTGTCACTCCTTCATTGCTCAGTTAACTTCAATTAGGTACATGGGAGTGAGTGGTATCTATACGGCTCCATGTCACACACACGCGCACACCCACCCACCCACCACCCACACACCCATCCACTCACACACACATCCCCCCCACACAAACATCCACACACACACATCCGCATACACAACCCCACACACACACCCCACACACACACACCCCAACACACACACCCACACACACCACCGCCCACACACACACACACCCACACACATCCCACACCCCCCCACACACTACACACCCCCACACACACATCCACACGCACCCCCACACACACACACACCCACCTACCTTTCTGAGGAGCTCCACATCTTGCATGTAAAACGCGATGTAGAACAACACGGCAAAACAATTGACAAAGCGAAACTGCAAAGCAAAAATAAAATTAATGTTTCCTGTTTTTTCTTCCGAGAATTAATATCCCTTTAGATGCCCTTTTGATGGGACGTCCTCTTGACATGAAAGGCACTATACCAGATCCAAAACATATTTATTGATCTCAACTAACTGCGAGAACTCCTCTGTGAATGGATCGATTCTCTTGCTCTGTGAATGTTATGTATCTTTTCCTGACTATCATCGACTCAAAAGGTCAGATTACACAATTATTGCCAAGTCTGCTTCTCCAGCTCACACTAAGTCTCCAATCCCCAGTCCCTCCCTCCAAATATCCCACAGATTTCATCAGGAATGTTGTTATTTTTTTGAGATTTTACGCAAAAAAATTGTTCATTTTTATCATAAAAGAACGTGCCCATTAGCAACACTAACACACCAGCTGACCATTGGAACTGACTCCAAATAAAACCCCCTTTCTCAGCCCGATCCATAACCTTTTCCTCAACAAGTTGTCTAATTTTGTTTTAAACGCCTTTTCTGTGGAATCGTTTCAAACAGCTATTTGTGATGAGACGTTTTGTGTTCTGATGAAACTCCTGGACATTACCCCACATGATGGGTGCTGTGTAAATGCAAGTTGTTGTTCTTGTTGTTGTTGAGACAACGATATTGCTGGGAGATGACAATGGGAGAGGGAGGGGAGGAGGAAATATTAATACAGTAAATAAGGAATAAAATATGACAGAAGGGTCCTGAAATTTCACCTGGTTCCAGCCTGTAAGAACGCTTTGTTTTAAGATGTAAGCTGTGAATTTGGAAATCCGGGTGTTGCCATATATTAAGTCGACTTACCACCAAGACTTTCACCGTCAAATGGTTTTGGAAGGAGGATTCCAGACGGTGGTTTTCTGGAATGCAAATAAAAATCTTTTTCAACAAGGAGGTGTTGGTTGTATTGCGCACCTATCTGTATTTTTTTTTGCTGCTAATTTTCTCTCCAAACTAAACCTTCCCCCCCCACCACATGGGTTCCTCAGCCACTGGAAGAGTTGTGGAAGGAGCTGAGGGGCACAGTTAGTCAGTCAGGTAGGAAATCGAACAGTCGCAGACCAACCACTCTCAAGGGTCCTTGGTCCTCAGAGCATCCATTGGGCAGCAGAGAGGTGAAGGAGCCGCAGTGTTGCATTCCCAGGCTCCGTATTCTACTGCTTGCCTTAAAGGCCATCCCTCTTTTTGACTTCACTTATGTGACCGTACAATATTCAGAAGTGCTCAACACCAGGTTGGTTACATTGGCCTTATCACGGCATTGAGATGTCTCAGAGCGCTTCACAGGATATGCTGTCAAGTGGATTGACTGTGTTTTGTGTCCCACAACAGCCACTTTTTTTTATTTTATTCGGGGGATTTGTTGGCCAGGACACTGGGAGAAAATCCCTTCTCTTTTCAAATAGTGCTATGGAATCTTTAACATCCATCTCTCACAATGCAACACCCCCACCCAGTACCGTATTGGAGTGTCAGATTAGTCAATTGATTTGAAGTCTCAAATTGGGGCTTGAACCCACAACCTTCTGACTCAGAGGCCAGAGTGCTACCACTTGGCCAGGCTGCTACTTGTTGCTCTAATCCATAGATCCATTGCCTGCCTACAAAATCCACTTGATGGTGTGTCCTGGGAAGCGTTTTGAGATGTCCTCCTGAAGTGAAAGGCACTGCATCAAGTGTAAGAACAATTATTATTGCGCAGGTCACTTACCCCATTCGGTCAGCACTTTGGCAACTGTTTTAAACAGGAGGTTGGTGATGGTGATGAACAGAGTGTAGAGAGTACTTGGCACATACGGCACCAGACTCCAGGAGCCTTCATTCTCCTTGTGAAAGGCTTTGGCCCAGGCTTCCATTTTGAAGAAAACTAACATCGCGATGAGGGAGAGTGCAAGAAACAGACAAAGGATGGGCCCGGATACAAACCAGAGCTTCACTGTACGCTTCCAGCTGGGATAGTAGGGCTCATGGCGATTGGTAATGGGGTTGATTCCTACCAGGCCTTTATAGTCCACCCGAGGCTCCTCAAACTGGCTCTTCATTTGCAAGCTGCCCCAGGCGTAAGCCAGGGTGGAGCTGCGGCGTTTCCACAGTTCCAGGCTGACCGTGGACCAGATCACATTGAAGATGGCAAAGAGAATATATTTGTCCACAGAGTCCTGTGCAAAGCAGGACATTGCGATCCCAAAGATGGCCATGGGCACCATGGAGCAGGTGAAGAACTCCAGGAACCGTATGTACATGGCAACAGAACCCCCAAAGTACTTGTAGATAGAATCTGTGTGGATAAAAAAGACAGGGTGTGTGTTTTTTTAAGCTCAGTTGGTAGTGATCTCGCCTTTGAGTTAACAACACCACAACAAAAAACAACAAAATTATATTTATATAGAGCCTTTCACATCAGGAGGATGCCCCAAGGCGCTGGATAGACAGAGTTACGGACCCGAGCTGAGGGAGGGGGAGGGCAGTTGGGGAAGCAGGGAGATTGAAAGCACGGTCGAAGAGGAAGGTCTTGAGGGGGGTCTTGAAGATGGCGAGGGAGGGGGCGAGACAGAGGGACTGCGGGATTGAGTTCCAGAGGGTGGCGGAAGGCCCGCCCGTCAATAGTGGGGCGAGCAAGGCGGGGGATGTGAAGCAGGCCAGAGCCCGCTGAGTGGAGGGAGTGAAGGAGGGTGCTAGGGGATCAGGAGGTCGGAAAGGTAGGGGGAGCAAGACCGTGGAGAGCTTTGAAGGTGAGGACCAGGATCTTGAACTGTATCCTCTGTGTGATGGGAAGCCAGTGGAGTTGGGCAAGGATGGGGATGATAAGGTCAGAGAGCCTGGTCCAGGAGAGGATATGGGCTGCAGCGTACTGGATGATCTGCAGCCTGTGGAGGGAGGAGTTGGGAAGGACGATAAGCAGGGAGTTTGTGTAGTCGAGCCTCGATATAATGAAGGCGTGTATGAGGGTTCCTGCGGCCTGCGGTGTGAGACAGTGGCAGAGCCGGGCGACATTGTGGAGTTGGGAGAAGGCAGAGTGGGTCATGGTGCAGATGTGGGGTAGAAGGATAGTTGAGGGTCAAACAAGACCCCAAGGTTCGGGACTGGCTTAGTTAAGTAGAGTGTGCAACCATGGATTGTGGTGCTGTCAGCGCCTGAGGAGGTGCTGACGGGAGCCAATCAGGAGAGCCTCGGTATTGTTGACGTTCAACTGAAGAAAGTTATCTCTCATTCAGAACTTGATGTCTGACAGACATTCTGGTCCTGGAGTCAAGGATGGAGTCAACCAGAATGTATTCTGGAAAGTGGCCTTCAGGAAGCTGTGACTTACCAATTGGCTCCAGGGTCAGGCTCGGTGGTGTGTACCAGCAAGTGGTCAACTTGTCCACCATCTCCTCCTCATGCATGGGGTAGAGTTTATGCAGGATCTTGCCTCTCCGCAACCTGTTAACTGGAGAGGAGACGCGTGAAGTCAGATTCACAGGACTCTAAAGGTTGGCAGCCACATGGGCCAGGCCATAACGAATGCAAACAGATTGGTTTTATAGACAGAGGAACGAACAGATCACAAAGGTAAGAAAGTATTGTTACATGAAGCACTTTGAGATGTTTTCTGATCTGAAAAGCACCATATAAATGTAAAATGTCCTATTGTATGAAACCTTGGTTAGACCACATATTGTGTGCAGTCTGATCTTCATACTACAACAAGAACAACAAAATTACATTTATATAGCGCCTTTCACGTCAGAAGGACGTCCCAAGGCTCTGGACAGGCAGAGTTACGGACCTGAGCTGAGGGTTGGGGTGGGCGGAGGGCAGGGGGGAAGCAGGGAAATCGAAAGTACGGTCGAAGAGGAGGATCTTCAAGGGGTCTTGAAGGTGGGGGAGGATATTGAGACACTAGAGAGATTTACGAGGGTTCTATAATGCATGAATTGATTGGACGGGTTGGAAGTTTTATCTCTACAGTTGAGAGGCTAAAAGAGGGGAGCTGATAGGGATGTTCCAGATTATAAAAGAAAGGCTGCTTCTACTTATTGGTGAGTCCAAAACGAGGGGGTAGAATACAAAATAAAGGATAAAATTGTTGGAGGGAGCCAGCAAAGCTGCCAGGAGATCAATGCTTTCTCAGACACTGTGTGACCTGCACTCAGCACTGCTCTTTGCTGCTTCACTGGGAAAGCTTGGGAACTCACAAATGGCTTCGCCCGAATACAGGGACTCAGTGGGATATCCCGGAATGTGATGTTCATTCACAGCCTTGATATTCTCCAACTCCCGCTTAACAATGAACTGGCGCTCGGCTAGAGTCAGGAACTCAGTGATGTTATCTGGAAAGGAATATGAGAGTCATTCAGTTTGACAAATAATTGAAATAAGGTTCAAGTACCGATGACGATGATGATGATTGATGATGATACTACTACTACTAATAATAATCCTTGCATTTGATATACTGCAGCCACCTTATCACATCATTGAGACGTCTCAAAGTGCTTCACAGGATACACTGTAAAGCGGATTGACTGTGTATTTTGTGGGCGAAACATGGCAACCAGTTTGCGCACAGCAATGTCCCACAAATAGCCATGGAGTCAGTGACCAATTTTATTTGGGGGTTTGTTGGCCAGGACACTGGGAGAAGCTCCACTTTCTTTTGAAATAGCGCCAAGTGATCTTTAACATCCACCTGGACAGACAAATGGGACCTCGGTTTAATGTCTCATCCAAAGTATAGCTAGACTATGTGATTCTAAGTCCCGACATGGGGCTTGAACCCACAATCTTATGACTCCGAGGCGAGGCAAGAGGCTGACACACACAGGATTGCCTTTCATCCAAGTGCAAATGGTACCTGCAGTTTTGAAGTTCCCCTTGTCTCTGTTGGAGAACGTGACCATGGAGCCGTCTTTGTATGGTTTATAAAGTCCCAGGACCTCAGCCGCCCTCAGAAGGGCATGTCGTGAAGCAGAAACGAGCAGCAAGTTCCCATCATCATCCTCACCAGGGTGGACCATCAGCTCAGCCCCTGGGGAGAGGAAGCAGCCCTGAGGTCAGCAGAGGGAAGACGGAAGGAGGTGTACGGAGAAGGGGGTGCGGGCAAAGAGAGGGGGGAAGGAGACAGGTGGAGGAGAGGGAGCCAGGTGGAGAGGTGAGGAGGAGGAGGAGATGGACAGCGTGGGGAGAGGGAGAGGGAGATGGGCATGGGGGGGAGAGGGGGAGGGAGATTTGACTGGGGTGTGAAAATGAGGAAACATCAGGAAGAGGTGATGTGTAGTCTCGTACCCCCCATTCGCTTCTCGGCCTGGATTCTGGACATCAGCCATCGTTTGGTTTCGAGGCTGACGTTCTCCATCAGCTCCACAGCCACCAAAGGTTCCACAGTGTCAGACTGGCAGCACTGACAGCGAGGTCTGGTCCACGAGCTCATCATGGCTCCTCTCACTTGCACTGTCTGAAACACAGAGACCCACTGTGGCTTTAACAATGATAATAATAGCAACAACAACTTGCATTTATATAATAATAAATGCCTAATAATAATCTCTGCAAAAAACAAAACGATAATCAGTTGGTCATTTTCAGTCCACGACTGTTTGTGGGACGCGACTTTTGGGGAGAGGTATTGGCGGAGACGGGCAATGCGTCAGAGGTGGAAGAAAGCAGTGCTGGTGAGGGACCGGATGTGGGGGAGGAAGGATAATTGGGGGTCGAACCTGATGCCTAGGTTGCATACGGGTTCGGAGAGTTTTAGGGGGAGGTCAGGTAGGTGGAGGAGGTGAGAGACGTGAGATTTTAGATGTTGACGAGAGCCAAAGATTATGGCTTCCGTCTTGTCAACGTTCAGCTGAAGGAAATTTGCGCTCATCCAGCCCTTGAGATCTGACAGGCAGCTGACAGAACATCAGGGGATGGGAGTCGCAAAGAGAGGTGGAAAAATAGAGTTGAGTGTTGTCTGATTACATGTGGAAATGTACCCCATGTCTGCGGATGACATTCGCAAGAGGGAGCATATAGATCAGAAAGAGGAAGAGGCCAAGGATGGATCCTTGGGGGACCCTGCAGGTGACCGAGTGAGAGCGGGAGGAGAAACTGTTTGTGCAGATATACTACTGGCGGTTTTTGAGGTAGGATTCGAACCAGGCGAGTGCGGTCCCACTGAGGTGGATGATGGAGGAAAGGTGGTGGAGGAGGATGGCGTGATCGACTGTGTTGAATGCGGCGGAGAGGTCCAGGAGGACAAGGAGGCAGAGGGAGCTCTGGTCACAGATAGAGAGGATGTCATTTGTGACTTTCACAAGCGCAGTCTCTGTACTGTGGGCGGAAACCGGACTGGAGGGGTTCGAAGAGGGAATGGGAGGAGAGGTGTGCGCGAAGTTGGTTGGCAACAACGCTTTCTAGAACTTTTGAGAGGAAGGGCAGGTTAGAAATAGGGCGGTAGAGGCTGGGGTTTGAGGGATCTAGGGAGGGTTTTTTCAGGAGGGGAGTGATGACAGCAGTTTTGAGAGGGGCAGGAACTGATCCGGAGGAGAGGGACTGGTTGATGATGTCAGCCAGTAGTGGGCAGAGGAGCGGGAGCTGGGTGACCAGTAACTTGGTGGGGAGAGGGTCGAGGCAGCAGGTGGTGGGTTTCAGGGAGGTGATGGTGGGTGAGAGGGAAGAGGGAGAGATGGGGAGAAAGGAATGTAGAATGGGGCTGGTGGTAGGAGCAGATGATGAGGAAGGTGAGGTGGACAGAGAGGTGGATGTTAAGTATTTTAGATGAAAAGAACTCCATGACCTCTTCGCACTTGGCATTTGATACAAAGATTGAGGAGGCCTGAGGGGGTGCACGGAGGAGGTAGTGGGTGGTAGAAAAAAGGATTTTAGGGTTGTGTTTAGCCTCCAAGATGACGTTGCAATGGAAGGCCGTTTTTGCGCGTGTCAAAAAATGACGATAGCTGTGGAGATGCTCGAGCCACAGTTGGCGGTGAACTATCAGGCAAGTTTTCCGCCATCTGCGCTCAAGCAGACGGGTTTGGGTTTTTAGGTGGCGGAGATGGTTGTTGTACCAGGGCGATCAAGTTTTGGAGATGGTCCTGGAGGACGAGGGAGTTGAAGATGGAGGAGAGGCGATCATGGAGCAGCTGGACGGCTGCTTCAGGATCTCCACGGGTGGAAGGCAAGAGGGTTAGGATGTTTGATGATGAGAGGGCCTTTGTGAGGGTCTCAGGGGGTAGCCTTTTTCAAGGGCAGTAGAGGATGGTTGAGGGCTTGGTGGAGGAGAGAGGGATGTGAGAGGAGGAGATGAAAAAGTGGTCCGAGATGGCCTTGTCCACTATGCTGAGGTCGGAAATGTCAAGGCTGTGAGTGATAACGTGGTCAAGGGCATGACCACGGTTGTGGGTGGGTGAATTTATATGAAGGGTGAGGTTTAGGGAGGAAAGGAGGGCAGTGAAATCTGCAGAAGTAGTGCAAGAGGAGTTTAGGTGGAGGTTGAAATCATCCATTATGAGCAGGCGTTCGGAGCAGAGGGACAGGGAAGAGAGGAGAGTAGAGATATCTGTGTGGAAGGAGCTGGGGGGCTTATGGGGGCAGTAGACAAGTAGGATTTTCAATGGGAGAGAGCGGTGGAAGAGAGTGAGGTGTTCGAAGGAGGGGAAGCAGCCAGAGGAGTAGGGGATGAGACCAAGGAAGGCTTTGGAAATGAAGACCACCCGCCGCCATGTTGGATTGGACGGGGGGCGTGAGGAAGGTGTAGCCTGGAGGAGAGGCTTCCGCTAGGGGGACGGGGTCATTGGGGGATAACCAGGTTTCGGTGAGCCCAAGAATGTCAAGGTGCTCGTCCAGGGTGAGGTCGTGGATGGTGAGGACTTTATTTGAGAGGGAACGGACATTTTGGAGGGAAATGCAGGTGAGTTTGTTGGAGTGGGGGGAGGGAGGAGAGAGTGGTGCAGAGAGGATTTTGGGTTGTACAGGAGAGATAGTTGTGCAAGAATTATTATTATTATTATATAGCCCCCCCCCACGCAAGGTAGTGTCACAGATTGCTTATACCAACACATTATGATTAGTCGATTGCGGATTGCTTTCCAGGAGTAATAATTCGTCCGATTTTTTTAAAATTTGGTCACTCAATCCACTTTACAGTATATCATCAATAATAATAACAATAATAATAGTCTTTGCATTTGATATAGCGCCTTATCACCTCTTCGAGACATCTCAAATAGTCACGGAATATACTGTAAAGTGAATTGACTGTATATTTTATGGGCGAAACACGGCAGCCAATTGCGCATGGCAGTGTCCCACAAACAGCGGATGAGTGACCAATTTTTTTATCATTCTTTTGAAGGGATTATTAGCCCCAGAAAAGTAACGCGCCAATCAACTACTCAACCAGGTTCCTACTTACTGCTATGTGAATAGAGGTGGGGTGGAGGAAGGAAAGTTAAAAGTTTTGCCCCCGCCCATGAGTTGAGCCTGGGTCCTCTCACTCTGACCACTATGTTAAGGCACTTTACAGTACTGTACACACTTCTGGTTAATTCAATTTGAATCCCATCAGCTTAAGTGCGCACAGCGGCTTATAACTACTTATACTATAATATATATATATATAATTTTATAAGGTTCCTCTCCCCCTCCCCCCTCTCCCCTCCCCCCTACCCCTCTCTTCTCTCCCCTTTCTGACTCTCTTCTCTCCCCCTCCCCTTCTCTTCTCTCCACCTCCCCCCCTCTCTTCTCTCCCGCTCCCCCCTCTTTCCCCCTCCCCTCTCTCTTCTCTCTCCCCTCTTTTCTCTCCCCACCCACCTCTCTTTTCTCCCCCACCACCTCTCTTCTCTCCCCCTCTCTTCTCTCCCTCCTTCAACAACAACAACAACAAGATTCCATTTATAGAGCGCCTTTCGCGTCGGGAGGACGTCCCAAGGCGCCCTCTCTCCCACTCCCCTCTCCCTTCTCTCCCTCTCTCCCCCTCCCCACTTCCCTCTCTCTGACTTGCCTTCAGAACCAGTTGATTAAAGCGCTGGTCACTGGGCAGAATCCTAATCCAAGTAAATATGTCCCAACATTTACCCAGGAACTGACTGTCCCAGGCTTCTATAAGGCTCAGCAGTTTCAGGTTCGTTGTCCCGCTTCAAAGCCGTCCACAATTACAAAACAAGATCAAGGTCGAGAGCAAGGGACTCAGTTCACAATGCGCAAAGTGCCTCTCTCCAAGGGAATACTGTTTGTATGTGATTTCTCCTCCCTCCTGGCGATGAGTGGAATAAATCTTCCTGCTGAGTGGTGGAAATAGCCTGAGTAGAGGTGATGGGCGTAACTTTTGTGATGTAACGGATGTGCTAGTTAATTCGTGTCCATTAATGAGCACGCCATTAATTGCATTGGAATAGAGGAGAGCATTCTCTCTTCCCAACCTTTCCCAGTTGTCTTGGCCAGCAATCCTTCATTTGAACTGTCCTTCCGCCTTGTACCTGTGTGTTGGGCCCTCACTTTCGCAAATCGTCAGCCCAGTTTGCCTCTCAGAAACAGTCACTACGCTTCTCGGTAATCAGCTCTCAGTCGCCAGGGTCTGCTGGCCATGCCTTTCTCAACGATGGGGTGTGAGAAGCCGATCGCACTGAACTTTACATCTGTGCTGATGATAATCCTTCTGTTTGATATAGCGGCGTTAACATCAGAATATCTCAAATCACAACAACAGGGCAGGTTACTTACAGACAATTACATGTAGTGATGCAGCACAGACACAGACCATTCGGCCCAATTAGTCCGTGATTATACTCCCAGTTGTCCCTCTCGTATTCGTACGGACCAAAGTCTGTCTGCCCACCGGATATTAACCACCACCAGTGTGAGAGGATAGAGTGCGGCAGCCAAGAGCGAAGAATGTGCCGTCTGAATGTACAGGATATGCCGTCTGACGGCACAGGATATGACACTGCCCAGTGACCAAGCTGAGGAGCAGGTTCAGCGCAGAGCACAGCACAGCACAAACCGCTTTTACTGACTAGAGAAAAGCTGAATGAACGTTAAAAGACGTAGAAGTTTACCTGCTCTCACACTCACACTGATGTCTCGGGATGGATCATGTTGGGAGCCGGGGTTAGGAACTCTCAGTGCTGGTATGTGGAGGACAGGCCTGGAGCCCGGAGTGCAGTGTGTGCACCATCCCCTCTCTCTCGCTCTCTCTGTCAGGCTTCAGTATCGGAGAGCTCTTGTCCTTCAGCCCACTTGAAACTGCCGAAAACATCAACAGAATCAGCACCAACCGGTCAGGCTGCTCTCGGAATGTGGCCGTGCCAGGAGCCTCCCAGCTCCACCCAGGCACAGCTCAGGAGCAAAAGGCAAACCCCCTCTTAAGTGTGAGGTGAGTAATGACGGGACTTCACACTGGCTCGGGGTGTGTGTGTATGTTGGTGTGCATTTATGTGAGGAGCTACACCCTCAGGGTGTGTGTCTGCTGTCAACCAACGCCCATGTGTGTGTACTCTGGCTACGTGACCAAGAATGCAAATAGACTTCCCCATCTTAGCTGAGAACAGCAACGATCTGTATTTGTTATAATGATGATCGTTGCCTTTTGATAAAGCACCTATAACATCGAAGCACCTCAAAGCGCTGTGCTAGGAATTGCTGTCGGTCCAAGTGACTGCTCAAAGTCAGTGAGGAATGATTGATGTTGAGTTGCATGTCTGTCCAGGCAGCCTGGCAAGTATTGTCATGCTGTTTATTCATGATTTGGCAAAGTTTAAGGTGAGAAAGGATAGGGTCTGGCATTGATTGCTTCACCTGCAGTATGGGGATACGCTGGTAGCTGGGAGGAAGGAGAGTATGTGGGTATGCGAGTATTTTGTGTGAGTGCGTGTATGAGAGAGTATTGTGTGTGTGTGTGTGTGTGTGTGTGTGTGTGATTATCATGAAAATGCATCATCAGGAATTTCAAATATGTCAGGCTGAGACAGAAATACCTGTTTTAATAGTAATAATAATAATAATCCTTGCATTTGATATAGCGCTTTTCACGTCGGGAGGACGTCCCAAAGCGCTTCACAGAACACACTGTAAAGTGATTTGACTGTATATTTGTGGGTGAACACGGCAGCCAATTGCGCATAGCAATGTCCCACAAACAGTCGTAGATTAAAAATGACCAATTTATTATTGTTTTTGGTTTTGGAGGGATTATTATTAGGCTCTGTGTGGAGTAAGGAAACTTGCCCAAGGTTTCGCCCTCTGCCTGGAATTGAACTCAGGTCTCTCACTTGCAAAGCGAGTGCTCTAACCACTGAGCTACAGGACTCAGTTTTAAAAAAAGTACAGTTACCAGGATGGGTGAGAGCCAGTCAGAATTTAATGTGCCACTGAGCCCATTCGGTAGAACAAATACTATACAAATACAAATAGAGTCATAAAATAATAATAATCCTTGCAATTGATATAGCAATTGTGGAGTCCTGTAGCTCAGTGGTTAGAGCACTCGCTTTGCAAGTGAGAGACCTGAGTTCAATTCCAGGCAGAGGGCAAAACCTTGGGCAAGTTTCCTTACTCCACACAGAGCCTTATAATAATCCCTCCAAAAACCAAAAACAATAATTAAAATTGGTCATTTTCAATCTACGACTGTTTGTGGGACATTGCTGTGCGCAATTGGCTGCCGCGTTCGCCCACAAATATACAGTCAATTCACTTTCAGTGTGTTCTGTGAAGCGCTTTGGGACGTCCTCCCGACGTGAAAAGCGCTATATCAAATGCAAGGATTATTATTATTATTGCGCCGTTCACATCTCAAAGTGCTTCACAGGATATACTGTAAAATGTAGTGTATTTTTTAGACAAATGCGACAGCCAATTTGCACACAATGATGTCCCATAAACAACCATGAATAACATCAAGAGGTTTAGTTTCTCATGGGAAGGAGGTGGCCTCTGACAATCCAGCGCTCCTTGTGAGGTTTGTGTGGAGTGTAAGCACTGGCGTGGGTTAGTTGGGCCGAATGGCTGGATTATCCCATGTCGCCCTCCAACACTGTGGTGGTGTGTCAGCCAAAACTCATGACAGTCTCCCACTGACACCATTCGAAAGAGAAGGGAAACTTCTCATAGTGTCTTTGGCCAATACATTGGATTGATCAGCAGCTTGCACTTGTATAAAACCTTTCCCTGAGAGACAGGAGCAAAGCCTTGTTCAGGCTATTGGGTCCATGGAGATTCAATAAGAGGAGCCCAGGAGTGTTCGTGTGTGAGAGAATCGTCAGAGCCCAGTGGAGTACCTCACCAGCACCGCTTTCTTCCACCTCCTACGCATCACCAGTCTCCGCCAATACCCCTCTCCGAAAGCTGCTGAAACCCTGGTCCGTGGCTTTGTCACCTCTCGGCTGGACTATTCAAATGCCCTCCTCTCCGGCCTCCCCTCCACTACCATTCATAAAATCCAGATTATTCAAAACTCTGCCTCCTGCATTCTCACCCGCACCAAACCCCGCTCCCTGATTAACCCAGTCTTTGCCAGACTGCACTGGCTGCCTGTCCCAGAGAGGATCGACTTGAAGATCCTCACCCTTGTCTTCAAATCCCTCCACTCCTCTGCACCCCCCCCAACCTCTCTGACCTCCTCTTCCTCAAAATAGTGTTCGTTGCCTTCATTCCTCCGGGTCTGGCCTCCTCCTTATCCCCCAAGTCCTCCGCTCCACCCTCAGGGGCCGTGCCTTCAGCCACTATGCCCCGAGGCTCTGGAACTCCCTTTGCCTCGCCCCCTCTCTTCCTATTTTCAGGGCTCTGCTGAAGACCTTTCTTTTCAACCGTACCTTTGGTCACTTTCCTTCCCTTCCCTTCCCCCTGGCTCGGCCCCGGGATCCGTTACTGTGAAGCGCTCTGAGATGCCGTCCGGCGTGGAGGGCGCTATATATATCGAAATTGTTGTTGTTGTTGTCTCATCGCCTACAAGTCACTGAACTGTTTTGAGTAGAACATTGAGGTGAGCACCCAAGCTTGAGATAAAAGGACGCTCAAAGCTTTGTTGCCCTGTGTTGCACATCTCGTTGGAAGAGTTGGAATCAACCTTTGCAATCTGTGCATTTCTATACGTAAACTGGCTGCTACATTTTGCCCATAAAATACGCAGTCGATCCACTTTATGGTGTATCCTTAGAAGCGCTTTGAGATCTCTTGATGACGTGATAAGGCAGCATATCAAATGCAAGGATTATTATCATCATTATTCCTTTTACAGTTCAATCACTCGGGTTTGATTAGACCATTAAGTTGCCCCAATCCTGAAGACTGCCATTATCCAGTACATTATACTGATGGTGTCTATTATGCAGCATTTCTTAATGAGATTTCTTAAGTAAGAAATTGGTGTGTGTCCTTCCACTGATCAGAGGTCAATCATATCAGGCCAACTCGAGAGAATCCCATCCTGAAAAGAGTCCGAGGAGGAGCTAGTTGCAGACTTGTGGATTTCCTAGTTAAGAAATATCGTAAAATAGACCCCAACTATGTTTGAAGTGAATGTTTTCAATAAAAATATAATAGGCTCTCAAAAATCATCCCCACCCTCCGAAAATTTATCCCTTTCCAACCCACTCAGTAAGGATATTTTCGGTCTCCTGTGTTTGCGACAATCACATTCCATTGTAGGCAAAGGGAAGCTTATCAGCCTCAGTGTTTACTCAGTCTGAACTCTCTGACCCAGTGACAAAGCAGAGCCAGAGAGATCTCTCAGTCAGTGCCCCTCAGATCCTCCCAGACAGCCTGAGAGGAGGGACGGGGAAATGAAAGACTGTCTTGAAGCACGGGTGGCTCTGGTGCTGGTGTTGGTGGCTCTGTGCGTTCAGGACTCGGACTCGTCCATGTTTTGGTTTGTCAATGTTTTCTTTCCACCCGTCGGCCCTGAAGACGCGAAGCTAAACCAGAGTGAAGGAGCCCCTATTGTAATTGGTGAGTGATGATAAAACACCTTACATTTGGGACATCTCAAGTGGAGAGGTGGAGTCCCGTAGCGTAGTGGATAGCGCGCTCGGCTCGCAAGCAAGAGGATCCGGGTTCGATACCCAGGCAGGGTGAAACTTTAGGTAAATTTCTTTACTCAGCACGCCTCTGTTAACCCGGCAGTAAGTAGGAACCCGGTTGTTGGTCGATTGGTGGATCGCTTTTCAGGAGTAATAATCCCTCCAAAAAATGTTTTAAATTTGTTTACTCAATCCACAACTGTGTGCCACTGCTCTGGGCCACCAAAGTACACAGTCGATTTATTTTACAATATATCCTGTTCAGTATTTTGAGGCGTCTCAACAAAGTGATAAGGCGCTGTATCAACCTCAACCCCTTATCAACCTGTTTGCTCCCTCCGCTTAGCAGGCTCCATCCTCCTCCACATTCCCCATCCGGTCCACCCCACCATCGGCGGTCAGGCCTTCAGCCTCTCTGCCCCCACCCTCTGGAACTCCATCCCACATTCCTTTTGCCACACTCCTCACTTGCCTCCTTCAAGACCCTCCTCTTTGATCGTGGCTTCGGCCACCTTCCTACCCTCTTTGCTCTCCCTGATCCCAACCATCCCCTTCGGGTCCTAATCCCTCACTGTTCAGTACTTTGGGACGTCCTCCCAATGTGAAAGGGCTCTACAAATGTAAAGCAGGGTGAGGGGGGTGCGGGGAGGAGTGGAGGCAGCTCACCTGAACATTATTATTGTTTGCTATGTGGCCATTTAACTAATAGGAAACTCAAGTGGTATCAGAGCTTCCAAAACTTTCCCAGGTGTTTGGGGTTTAGGTGTTGATGTGATCAATTACTTTGGCGCTTTGCTTTGCCCCACTCCCACCCCCAACTATGTAAAATCAAGTTGTGTGAGTGTGTGTGGGGATGACCCCAGTTGCTTCTAATTCTTGACTGGTTCCGGATTAAATGTCTCCTCATATCAACTCTCCCACTTTATAAATCTTATTCCAACCCTCAGAAGAAAACCAGTGAATAGAGTGGCGTCCATCACAGAGAGTGTTGCCTCCATCCTCTGTGTTTTTCTGGGATGCTGCTGTGCGCAATTGGCTGCATCGTTTCACCCACAAAATATACGGTCAATTCATTTGACCGTATATTCTGTGAAGCACTTTGAGACGTCTCGAAGACGTGATAAGGCGCTGTATCAAATGCAAGGATTATTATTATTATTATTATTATTTTCAGGGCTGCCTTTTAATGAATTCCCATGATGGCACCACAAGATTGGTCTGGATGAAGAAGTCCCTTCAGCCCATCTAATCTCATCCCTCCACAACAACCACCCTCCCTTAGGCCAGTGGTGCTAGACCATGTAGTGGCGGGAGGAGAGAGGGAAGAATTGATCCTCTCACTTTGCTTGACCTGTTCCAATTGTTGGATCTCTCCAGAACCGCTTGTTCTCTCTCTTGTTTAATTACACTAAACTCGAGAGGTTGTCTGCTACCTTGCTCAAGTGGTTACTTGCCCCACATGAGCCTGATCGGTGATAGTGAGTGAAAACAAGCTCCTGATCCACAGCCAAGCTCAACCCTCGCCCAACATCAACACGTGAGCTTTCAGCGGGAGTCTCTGTTACGAACACAAACCGTTCATGATTTTCTCTTCTCTAATTGTAGCACCGTTACCTAAGGCTAGAATCCACAACCTTCCGGCTCAGAGGCAAGAATGCTCACAACTGAGCCTGGCAGACCCCTAACAATGCTTTCAGCGTAGAACAACAGCAACAATAACAAATCACAGTTGCATATATAGTGCCTTTTGTGTTGGGAGGACGTCCCAAAGTCCTGGACAGTCAAGGATGTACACCTGAGCTGGGGGTTGGGATCAGGAGGGATGAACGCAAGGAGCTTGGGGATAGAGGGTGAGACCAGGAATCGTACCTGCGACATTCTAGTTATACAGCCCATTGCAGTGCCAGTTCATTCACCCGCTAGACTATCAGGGGAGCTGAGAAATGATTCACCCTGTGGTATCATAGCCTTTAGAGTATGGAACCTCAGTGTGGTTAACCTGTGAACTGCCTCAGTTTGGGCCAGGTTATAATTTAGCCATTAAACTAACAGCTTTATTATCTACCTGGCTCCCAAATAGACCTTGCAAACTTTGTCTTTGATTTGTGGTGATCCTTCAGCCATATTTCCCTCACTCTCTGGAACTCTCCCCAAATGTTTCTCCCGGGAGGAGAGAGCGGCGGATAATAGCAGCGGCGGTGTTCTGGAGGGATGAGATCAGATGGGCTGAGGGATCTTTTTCATCCAGACCGATCTTGTAGTGCCACCACCACCAACAAATCACATTTGTATTGCGCCTTTCATGTCAGAAGGAAGGCAATTCATTAAAATGCTTTCAAAACTCTGTTCAATAACCATAATATTCCTTGCATCTGACATTGCACCTTTCACTTTGGAAGGACTTCCCAAAGCCCTTCGCATGATTTACTGGAAAGCGTAGTGACTGCGTACTTTGTGGCAAACATGGCAACCTAATTTAAGCATAGCAATGTCCCACAAACGGCCTTGAAGTGAATGATTAATTTTATATGGGGGATTGTTGACCAGGATATCGGGACAGACTCCCTTCTCCTTTCAAATAGTGTCTTGGGATCTTTAACATCCATCTGAACAGACAGGACCTAATGGTCACATCCACAGGATGACACCACTGATAATGCCCTCTCTGCACTGCACTGTCAGTTCAAAGCCCTGACCTGGAGTTTGAGTCCCCAGCCTTCTGAGGCGCGAGTGCTGATACCTGAACCAGACTGACACCCGACTGTGCCTTCAATCATTTCGCACATTGCTCGGGCTCCCTACTCTTCTCTGCAAAGCACTTTGAAAACTTAGCTACGTGAAAGGTTCTATACAATTGCATAATTGTTGCATTAATGAGTGAAATGTTTATTCAATGTAATGAGTGAAGGGTTACCGAGAAATGTGAGCCGAGGCCATCTTTCTTCACGATATTACTGCCCAGAGTTTGATCTTTGTGCTCAAATAGAACTCTAACCCCTTGCTGCATGATTACAACTCAGAGGTCAGGTTTTATCACTGTCTATTGGGATGGATTTTGAGCTCTTGTCGAGAATGCTTTGGACTGTGACAATGCCAGTCTTTGAATGAAAGACAATGTAGAAACGTGCAGTGTTGACCTTTCACAAACTCATCTGAAATGACTGTAATGGGCTTCATAAACTAAGTGGTATTTTTCTTGTTTGTCTCTTCCTTCAATCTGTTCGTGAGGACAAAGCTAAGTGAATTGGTCCAGTCACTTAGCTTTGTCCTGTTCTGGAAGGCCCAAACCCAAAATTCCACCTGGTCTTAGCTTATAAGACTATTCTGTGTTGTGCTTTCAATGGCTAGCTATGTGATTTTAGCTGGTTAAACTGAAGCAGTTTCTCCAATGCACACTCTGGGGTCCCTAAGCCTTGGTTCTTGCCAGCCTGTGCCTAATAATTTTCACAATTAGGTAAGCAGAGTGCATCCCTCCAGGCAGAGAGTGCACATTGCATTCCATCTCAGCTGATCTTGAGACCTTGTGATAGAATTGAGTATTAATATATTGGTCACATTTTCTGCAGTGAAGTGACCAGCAGTAATCAAGCTCTCTATGTGGTCTCTTCTTTCAAAGTGCCTGGGAATATTGGAAATCAGCTGGAAGGGAAACTGAACAAGCCCAGCCTGGTCCATTGGCTCTGCATGAAGAAGACCCATGACTATGTCACACTCTGGCTCAACTTGAACACCTTCATGCCGATTGGAATTGACTGTTGGATTGATAATGTCAGGTAGTGCGAATATTTACATTCTTTTCTGTCATTATTAATAACAATCCTTGCATTTCATCCAGCACCTTATCACACCATGGGTCAGACCCCATCTGCAATACTGTGTTCAGTTTCGAGCACCGCACCTCAGGAAGGATATTTTGGCTCTGAAGAGGGTGCAGCGCAGATTCACCAGAATGATACCGGGGCTTAAAGGGTTAAATTATGCGGACAGGTTGCATAAACTTGGTCTGTATTTCCTCGAGTTTAAAAGGTTGAGGGTGATCTGATAGAGTTTTTTTTAAAAAATAATAAAGGGATTTGATAAGGTAGATACAGAGAAACTATTTCCTTTTGAAATAAGTAGGAAGTGGAAATCTGCATATGAGGTGTTACTGTTCCTATGAGGAAATCTGTCTATCGGGTGAACAGACAGCATTCTGTTCAGTCAGCACCAACTCAGTGTTTAATAGGGAGGTATGATGGGGGCTAGCATTCACCTATGATAGATGAGTTTTTTAAGCAATCGCTGCATGATACAGTGAGTGATGGTCCATACATTCACCACCCACTGACACTAGAGCTCATACAAACACTTGGCTGTTTGCCACCTACACGCAGGAATCACCCGCCAGTCATCACAACCCGAGGAAACGTAACATTCCTGGCGCTCGTTCCCTGATGGCAGAATACTGTGTGAACAAAAACTGTTCTGAAATCTAGTAGAGGGACATATTGCAGAACCCACCCTTGGGATGCACGAGACACGAGGTGTCAGCCTGGCTCAGTTGACAGCTGACAGAAGGTTGTGGGCTCAAGCCCCGCGTGGGGATTTGAGCTCACAGTCTAGACTGAAACTCCAGTACAGTGTTGGGAGAGCACTGTAATATTGGACTCTAAGCAGAATCCTGCCTGCAGATAAGGATTAATGGACAGTAGCACACACAGACTTCTTCACTAACAGTAACAGTTATTCTGTTCTGGGGTCTAATTGGCCAGACTGGTGCTTCTGTGTGTTCACCTTGTTTATTTCTCAGTTTTTGACACAAAGTGAACTTTTGTAGACTTGTTTACAATCAAACTACACGGAAATCCACCAACGCACCTGGAGTGGAGACCCGGGTTCCTGGCTTTGGGAAAACCTTCTCTGTGGAACATCTGGACAACATCCAACTGACAGGTATCATACTGGGGGGGCAAAAAGCTCTGAAGTGTCAATAAACTTGTCTCCTGTGAGCAACGTTCTCTTTAAATGTGTCGATTTCTGCCTCAAGGAACTGTCAAGTCTTCACCAACGCTGCTTTATAATAGGTATTTTAAAGATAAAACTTGCAGTAGTGCCTTATCAAGCTAAAGGGCTTCAGTCAAGAGGTAACTTTGAAGTGGAATGTATTATAGACAAAACAGCAGCAATAGCTCCCATTATTATAAAGCTTCCTTCAAGCTTGTAAGAGCACTTTACTGAGCTGGGGAGGGGGGGAGGGCAGATGACCATAAGCATGGACAAAGAGGGAGGTTTTCAGGTGGCTGTTGAAGGTAAACAGCGTATGAGACAGAGGGGTGGCAGGAGTTCCAGAAGATGGGAGCACAATAACCCAAGGCTCAATGTCAAATGCGAGGATGATATTATTCTCTAAACTGTACAATGAGGGAGTGGGGACACAAGCTCAGAAGGGGGAGAGTGAATCTGTTCCTATTTTCCTGTGTGTGACCTATGGCATATTGTGCTGTTGGCTGGCCTTTTGGAACATAAGAACATGAGAAATGCTGGACGAAAAAAGACCAAGGTCCATCTAGTTCGCCTTCCACCTTCCTGGCGGTCGCATGCACATATGTCCCAAACTACTTATGTACTATATCCCATAATGTTATTTCCTTAAAGAAAACTATCTATGGGGAAGAATCAACACTTCCATCTTCCTAGGGAGCCTGTTCCACAGGTTCACTATTCGCTCACTGAAATAGCGTTTTCGTAGATTAGTTCTGAATATACCGCCCCCCCGACCTTCAATCGCAGGCTGTGTCCTCTGGTTTTACTATTCTGGACAAGTTGAAACAGCCTGTCATGATCTACATTGGCTCGCCCCTTTAGAATTTTAAAGATAGCAATCATGTCACCTCTCAATCTTCTCTTTTCTTGATTGGCTCCCATCAGCACTTCCTCACCTCATGCGCTGACAGCATCACCATCCATGGTCGCACACCTCACCTTACTAAGCCAGTCCGGAACCTTGGGGTCTTGTTTGACCCTCAACTTTCCTTTCTACCCCATATATGTGCCATGACCCACTCTGCCTTCCCCCACCTCCACAACCTCCGTCATTGTCTCACGCCGCAGGTCGCTGAAACCCTCATACACACCTTCATCACATCGAAGCTCGACTATACAGATTCACTGCTTGTTGGCCTGCCCAACTCCTCCCTCCACAGGCTGCGGATCATCCAGAGCTCTGCAGCCCGTGTCCTCTCCCGCACCAGGTTCCGTGACCCTATCACCCCCATTCTTGTCCATCTTCACTGGCTTCCCATCACACAGAGGATACAGTTCAAGATCCTGGTCCTCATGTTCAAACCAATACACGGTCTTGCTCCCCTCATCTCTCCGACCTCCTGACGCCCTACCACCCCTGTTCACTCCCTACCCCAACCCCCAGGGTCCAAAACTCTGTCTGTCCAGCATCTTGGGACATCCTCCTGACGTGAAAGGCACTATATAAATGTAATTTTATTGTTTTCGTTGTTGTTTCCAGCATGAACATGCCCAATTTATTTAGTCAGGCTATGAACGGAAGCTGCTGTTGTGTTTTCACACAGGCTATCTGCACACGCTGGTGCAGTCCTTGGTGAACCTGGGCTACGTTCGAGATGAGACTGTGCGGGCAGCTCCCTACGACTGGAGATTCGCATCAAGTAAGTCCAGAGAGCTCGGTGCAATCCGTGGGCTCGACCGACGATGCTGAACGTACTGAATTTGGCAACGTAAGAACTGTACAGCTGTGAACAAATGGCTGTCACGTTTTGCCCACAAAATTCACTTTACAGTATAAACTGTGAAGCGCTTTGAGTCGTCTCAACAATGTGATAAGGCGCTATATCAAATTCAAGGATTCTAATTATTTCAGATGACTTCCCATTTCAGATTGACACAATGAGGTGGTTTGATAGGTGCCATACATGTGAGAGGGGCTATACACATGCACAAGTTATCGTCAACGTCTCCAGGGCATGTGGGGGAAATGTTCCAATTTTACAAGGTGGCTCTTGCAATGTGGTTTTCACACGTGGTGCTTTTCTGCTTCACAGTTGAACAAGAGGAGTATTTCCACAAACTGAAGAACCTGATAGAAGAAATGTACACCTCTTACAGGAAGCCCGTGTATCTGCTAGGCCACAGCTTGGGCTGCCTGCACCTCTTACACTTCCTGAACAACCAACCCCAAGCATGGAAAGACAAGTTCATTCATGGATTCATATCGCTCGGTGGGCTGTGGGGCGGAGCCATTAAATCGCTCAGGGTCCTGGCCTCAGGTATCAATTTGCCCGGGGATTGTAATCGGCTTATTACACCCACAACACCTGGACAGTGTCACAGCTGGAATCATGCGCTGATGCTCTTGTGTTCCTTGTAATTGTGAAACTCTTTCCCAATTTTACGTCCATCTCGCTCCCTCTCACCCTGCTCCCTCTTCCTCTGCCCCCTATCCCTTGCCCCTAACCCCTCTGCACCTGTTTTCAAAACCCTCCAAAAAAACCTACCTCGTCAATCTTGCCTTCAGGCACTTCCTCTGAACCCACCTTTCTTCCCACCTTGCCCTGGAAACCCTGCAAAGCACTTTGAAACCTTTCCTAAGAATTATTATTGGTATTGATGGTCCCAAACCCAAGAGAAAGAAAGTAATGCAAGACAGGCCTCACCTCTTCTCCAAGGTGGGACCTCCAAAGGGATTTTTCTGGGACATGTATGTGTTTTTCAAACACTTACTTTCTTTGACAGGAGACAACTATGGCGTGTCTCTTCTTCCACCCATGAAGGTCCGAATACAGCAACGAACAACCACAACTAACCCCTGGATCCTGCCCACCAAGCAGGCCTGGCCCCCCGAGCACATCTTCATCTCCACGCCCACCTACAACTACACGTATGATGACTACAGAAAGTTCTTCAGTGATATCGAGTACGAGGACGGCTGGTTCAAGTGGCAGGACAGCAAAGAGCTGCTCTCTAACCTGCCCGCGCCAGGCGTGGAGGTTTACTGTGTGTACGGTATCGGAGTGCCCACACCGGTGACTTACATATATGACGAACACTTTCCCAACGCCCAGCCTGTGGGGTTTCTCTACGAAGACGGCGATAACACCGTGAGCACCAGAAGCCTGTCTCTGTGCAAAGGATGGAAGGAGCAGCAGAAGCAGAAAGTTCACGTCATCGAGTATCCTGGCCTGCAGCACTTGGATATAGTTTACAGCAACCAAACACTGACTCTCATTGAGGATATTGTGCTGGGGTCCTATTCCGAATCCTATTCTGAACGTCAACACGAACCTAGCAACTAGACCTCGGTGATGGGACAAGGCAGGGCCATGTCGCACAATCCTTTCCAGTTCTTTATCGATACCAAACCCACAGCTTGGCCAGAAGCAGCTTTTTGCCTGGGGGAACGGTCAAAGCATCCAAGGAACTCTTCATTACAACAATCCCATTCTCTGCTAAATCAGCGTCAGACTGGCTCAGTTGGTACTTTTGCTACTGAGTCAGGAGGTTTTAAGTTTAAGCTCCATGTCGGGACTTTGAGCTCATAGTCTGTCTCTCCAGTGCTGTGTTGAGGCAAATCACAACATCATCGGAAGTGCTCTGTTTCGAATAAGACGTTAAGCCAATGTCCCGTCTGCCTGTTCAGGTGGACGTAAAGATCCCACACCACTCTTCGAAAAATGAAGAGAGTTTCCCTCATCTGGTGTCTTGGCCAACAATCCCCCAAATACAATTTATAACTCACTTCATGGCTGTTTGCAGACACTACTGTGCATAAATTGGCAGCCACATTTGCCTAAAAATACACAGGCACTACATTGTACAGTACATCCCATGACAAACTTTGGAATGTTTCAGAGTGTAATAAGAGTTAACATCAGAGGAAGAGATTATTATTGTTAGATTATCTGCCATCTACAACATTCTAATGTCATTAATATTTATATGCAGAAATTTTGGACTTTCCTAGCCATAAATTCTTGAAACCCGTCCATTTAAACAGGAATGATTACTTCAGACATGGTTTGGTTTTAGCAGTGATTTCAATAAATGGGATTTATTCTCTGGGAAACCTATCTTGTTTTTTTTAAAAATCTTTGACAATTTTTAAAGAATCTCAAAGGCAACGTTGAGTTCTGTCTCAACTCTTTCAGCCTCTGGGCAAGGCTTACAGTTCTCAAGACAGACCATTAGGTGGAGACATTGTAAAGGAGGGAAGGACTGTATTCTCAATCTATTGTGGCTGTATTTTGTGGCAGCCAAATTTTTGCACAGCAATGTCCTACAAACAGCCATGAACTGAGTGACCAATTTTTTACTAGGCGGTTGTTGGACAGGACCTCCGACAATGCAACACACCCTCAGCGCTGCATTGGGAGGTCAGCCTCAACTCTGAGCTCGAAGTCTCTACGTGACCCACAACCTTCTGCCTAGGAGATGAGGGTACTACCAACTGAGCTTGGGTTACACACATAACTAGGGTGGAATGTGTGGTGGGGGGGGAGGAAGCAGAAACAATATCTGGGTGTGCAAAACAAATCAAAGGCTCCTTGCAGCCTGCAGGAATATGATGGAAAAGAATATGCATATGAAATTTCTAAATCTGTAAGAAATGCAGTATTTTTGTTTAAAAATAAAGCAAACCTTTCTGACTTTAGAGTTTGTGAAAGATTTGAGCCCAACCAACCCCAATCTGGTCCCACCCCTAGTTCAGGTATAGTTAAGCACCTTGGGACGTCCTCCTGACTTGAAAGGTGCTATATAAATGTAAATTTGTATTGTACTGTCACTGGCATGAAATTAACTGCTGTAATTTAGAGCGAATGTTGTTGCACCTGTGGGATGTCCTATATAATGGAGCTTTGTTGGAGCTTCAATTTATGTAAATTTCAAATTACATTTTTTTAAAAAAAGGAGTCCATTTTTTGGATACACTTCATTGATTCGCTGTTACAATATCCTGTTTACTATTAAGATCCCATGACACTATTCGAAAAAAGAAATGGGAGTTTCTCCCAGCATCCTGGCCAACAATCTCCCAGATACAAATCTTGTGTATTGTTGGCCAATCATTTATTTGTCATTCACTTTATGGCTGTTTGTGAGACATTGTGTGCAAATTGACTGCTGTGTTCGCCAGGAAATACACAGTAAATCCTGTGAAGCCCTTCCTGATATTTCAACGATGTGGTAAGGCACTATATTGATGCAAGGATAAATATTATTATCACCGTGACTGCTAGGTGCGAACAGTGAGAGGTAATTGAGGTCTGGCCTATCTTTAACTTTATTTTTTAATGTTGTCACTGGTCACAGATAGTCACTGGTCTGACCTTCACCCCTCTGTATGTAATATGTCGAGATTCTAGATCTGCTTTCAAAGGACATTTCTAACCTGACTATTTTGTCTCAAAATCTAAGGTCGTGCGAAACTGTGGAATATTCTTAAATTCAGCCGATTCATCACAGTTCAAAAAGAACCGGCTTCCAAATTACAACTAAATTTCAGAACTTTCCACAAATCTGTGTGGTTCTTAAATCTTAAGACGCAGGGGTTTCATAGGCTAAGACTAGGTGGAATTTCCAGCCAGCATTTCATGATGCTTTTTCCTACTGATGGGAGGACTGGTGTTCTGGAAGGATTAGATCAGATGGGCCGAAGGGCCTTCTTCATCCAATCCTCTCTCATGATCTTCTGTGGACCTTTGTGGGTCGAACCACTATAATACAACTGCTTCTTGTGTGTGATTGGTACATCAGTGACAGCAAATGCTGGCTCCCAAGTCTGATCTTAACATGTTTCGAGTGTTGTATATTTTGTAGCTTATGATGTAAGAGACAATCAGAATCATAAATGTCTTGCAAATTGGACCGTCATTTTGAGGAATAAGCACAATAAATACAACTTCCAGTAACATTCCCTCATGTCCTCATTGCTGCCTACAATACTGCTTTATTACTATCATTCATCAGCTTGCCTGATGTCAGTTCAGCTCAGTTGCTAGAATTCCCATCTTTTGATCAGAAGGTTGTGGGTTCAGTGCTGTGGGAATGCTGCATTGTCAGAGGTGCCTTCCTTCAAACAAGACATGCAACCGAGTCTGTCTGTGAGGACGTTAAAATCCTGTGGCACTTCAAAAAGGGGAGTTCCTCCAGTGTCTGGCTAACAATGCCCCAGATAAAATTGTACATTTACTCACTTTATGGCTAGCCGTTTGTGGGTTATCACTGTGTGTAAATTGTCTGCCTACAAATACAATCTCTAAAACTCTGTGAGGCATTACAACAAGATACAATCCTGTATCAAATGCAAGGATTATTATAACTCTCTCTTAGATAGGTCAAGCCCTATTTTATTGTGATTACAACAGGGTTTATTTTGGCACTTGATCCAGATTCCAGATGTATCTAGTTCACAGTTTGTAGACGACTTGCTATAATCCCTTTACAATCAACAACCAGGACCGTATCATCAATGTACCTCACATTCTTTAGCAATTTCCATTGATGTTAAAACCAGCTTCTCTGTCGATGATGCTCTCTCTCTCACTCACAATGAAACCAGTGGTTACGTTTAAAAGATTCCGAGTGGTTTGGGGTGATTTGCTTTGCACAGAGTTGTTAAGATTTCTGCACACTTCACTGTAAATGGCTGAAGCCAAGTGTACAGTCATACAATTGTGCATGTGTACGACTTTTTTAGTCTGATTCAGTCTTTGTGTGTGTGTGTTTTTTTCTCTCTCTCTCTCTCTATATATATATAAATATATATCCTGCTTTTTCTGCCTATCTCTCACCATCTGTCTTTTGTTCTCTTTTTCAAAGAAACCTTCAACCCTGCTGTTTTAGCTGGATTTGAACCTACGTCCAGGGGGAGGGGGTGAAAGGGCAGAATCAGACACACTGCTTTATCGGAGAGAGGAGACCTTCCCCCATTCTGTCTGGGGCTAGATTTGTATCCAGGTAATTCAGGCTTGAAAGAAAATGAGCCAGCAATTCAGAAAGCAGGTAGTAAACTTTATTAAGAAAAGAGCCCTGGCTCTGAAACCAGTAGCCATAACACAGGACCTTAAGGAGCCCCAAGAAAATAGTCTCCTCTCATCTGATGGAGCCGGTCCTTCGAAGGGTACAAACTGCAATACGTATCTTGTCTGACTCCATGCCTGATGGCAACAGAGATTCCACACAGCTGGAGCCAAAATATATGAATGGAGGAGTTATTGGATGGAATTTATTCTGAGAAATTCATTCTCAAATCCCTGGAACAGAACGGAAGGGAAGCGGATTATTTGATTTGATTTCCTTTCTTCCCAAATACCAGCATCCAGTCTCTGCTTCATACAGAGCCCAACAGCATTGATACATGTGACAGTTTGGGTAATAATAATCCCTCCAAAATAAAACAATAATAAATTGGTCATTTTCAATCTACGACTGTTTGTGGGACATTGCTGTGCGCAATTGGCTGCCGCGTTCGCCCACAAATATACAGTCAATTCACTTTACAGTCTATTCTGTGAAGCGCTTTGGGACGTCCTCCCGACGTGAAAAGCGCTATATCAAATGCAAGGATTATTATTATTATTATTATTATTATTCAGATCTATATATAACACGCACGCAGAGTCTGATCCTGAAATCAGTTAGCCTGTCTCAGTCAGTAGCTCTCTCGCCTCTGGGACAGGGTTCAATTCCCATGTCGGTATTTAAGCTCTTGGGCTAGGCTAACACTCCATTTCGTACTGATCGGAGAATTAATTTATTGGCAAGTTGCAGTCACCATCGCTTACTGACATCTCGTTTCATTAACCCCACTAGTCAACTGAGCAGCACTTTCCACATCTGCTGCTGGCAGTTCATTTAGTGGAGCTCACAGGCCAGTGTACATACCCCATCTCCCAAAGAAAGCCTAAGCAAGACATAAGGAAAGGATTTTGCCTCGTATGTGCACGTGGTCGTTTGGGTGAGAGGTTAAGGGGTCTGGATGTTTAGCCAAAGATCCCACAACGCTATGGGGAAAGAGAAAGAACCTTCTCCCATCTTCTCCGACTTTTGCCTGTTCAAAAAAAACAGTCACTCCACTTGACAGCTGTTACTAAGTCCTTTGAGGCACTACATCACATTGAAGTATTAGTATTGGAACGTCCTCCCAACGTGAAATGCGCTCTATAAATGGAATCTTGTTGTTGTTGTATAAATGATATTCACTATTTGTAAAGTAGATAGGTAGAAATTATTCCCATTGGTCAATAAGTGAGTCAATAATTAGGATTATATAGGATCCTCACCAAACAATAAGGAAACAATAGGGAAACGTTAGATATTTGACAGAGATTATTATTAGGATGTAGAATGTCTGATGAAAATGTCTGGTTGAAGCAGAATCCATGATAGTTTTTACAACAACAATAATTTGTATAATGTATATAGTGGGTTGACACAGAGTGGCGACTCTGTGCACTTAAACGGAAATGTGGGAGAGGGCGAGGTGGAGGGAGCCAAAAGATTGTGGAAGAGATAGGTCTTGAGATGGGTTTTGAAAGATGGGGAGGGAGGGAGGGAGGGGACAAGGTAGAGGGACTCTGATGGATTTCAGCAGTGAGCAATGATTAGACAGGCTAGGACCACAGAACAGCAATGGTCCTGGAATCAAAGGTGGAAGCAGAAAGTTAGACTCGGGTGTCACCACATACATGTGATGAAGCGGAGAGGGCCATGGGTCGAACCCTGAGGAGCACCACATCTCACTGCGGGGACAAGAGGAGAAACCAATGGAAGGCATGAAGTGAATACGCTGGGACAGGTAAGAGTGAAACCAGCAAAGGACAGAACCGTGGAGGTGGAGAAGGGACGGTAGAGAAGGACAGGGAGATCAGTGGCAGAGAGGTCAAGGAGTATAAGGAGGCAAAGGCTGCCCTGGTCCCAGATGAGCAGAACATCACTGGTGACTTTAAGGTTTAAGCCTTCATCTTTTTTTTTGGTCAGCCGGATGTCTTGACACATATGGAGACCCATCACCATGCTTAAGAGTATTCAAGTCAAGCTGAGAATTCCATGCATCCCAAGTCTCTACCTGAATGGCAGCACCTCCAACAATGCAGCTCTGGAGCATCAGCCTAGAGTGTGAGATCATAGGAACATAGGAACATGAGGAGGCCATTCAGCCCTTTGAGCCTGTTCTGCCATTTGATTAGATCATGGCTGATCTGTACTTCAACTAATCTTTTCAATTCCAATTTCCCACTTTCTCCCCATATCCCTCAATAGCCTGACATACCAAAAATCTATCAACTGGGATAGATAGATCCAAGTTCCTGGAGTGGAGGTTTTAACCCAAAATCTTCCGACCCCGAGATGAGAGCGCAACTGACTGAGGCCGCCTTCACGTGAGAAACAAATGCCATGCACAGCCAGTTTCTTATAATGCGCACACTTTCTCTCACTTGCTCCCTTCCGCATCGTTCATCCCTCTCCCGCTCTCCTCTCTCTGACCTGTTCCGGCATATGTGGAAAAAAGACACCTTTAAACCGACTTATCGAGTCCCGTATTGGTTAAAGCACTCGCCTCGCAAGCGAAATGACCCGGGTTCGATTCCCAAGTGGGGCAAAACCTTAGCCAAGTTTCCTTAATCCACACATCTCTGTTTACCTCGCATTAAGTAGGAATCTGGTTGTAAATCAATTGTCAGATCACTTTCTGAGGATAATAACACCCCCAACACCCCCACCCACCACCCCAAAAAAAATTATATATTTGGTCACTCAATCCATTACTGTGTACAATTAGCTACTGTTTTCGCCCACGAAAATACAGTCAATCCATTTGACATTTTATCCTGTGAAGCGTTTTGAGACGTCTCAACGACATGATAAGTCGCTAAATCAAGTGCGAGGATTATTATTGTTGTTATTATTATTATTACCAGCCTCGCGCTGTCACTCCACGGCCACTTCCCGGAGCCTTGACGGAGCGGTGGGGCTGACTGGGGAGAGCTGCATGTCTTCGGCCTTGTGGGGGTGACAGCTGAAGCCGGCCGTTTTGGCGGCAGCTTTCTTGCCGTTGCTGGTCCGCCAGGATATGCGCCGGGAGATCTTCCTGACGATGCGGTTCAGACGGTTGTCCTTCAGCTGGTAGTCGCTCTCGAGTTCCTCCCAGGAGATCTCGATGTTCCCCGTGTACCAGAACACCCAACCGATCAGGCTGACAAAAACCACAATGGCTCCAGTGTAGATCAGCAGGTCCCCAAAGTCCCTTCCCTCTCGTTGGAGCTTGGCAAAGATTCCCACCAGCAAGGCAATGAGCCCCAATATGTCGAGGACAACTGCAAACCACAGAGCGACCTTACAGCGGCCTAGCCCTGTGCAAGCCATTCTCTCTCGCTCTCTGGGAAGCTCGGTGCTCACACACACTCTGTGTTTACCTGGCTTAAATGCTGCTAAACCTGTTCCGCAGGTATCAGGTAACAAGGGAAGAGGAGGGGACTGGCAGAAGCAGGGTGAGGTCAGGCAGATTTTTCAACCGTGAAAAGCCAGAGGGCTTTTTACAGAGAACAAGCCTGCCCCTGGGGTCTGAACGCTGCCCCTCTCCGAGTCAGTCCTCTGGTTGTGAGCCCATCATCGCTAGGTGATGTAACTCTGCCCGTCTATCAGCTTGAATGAGCTATTACATAACGCCCGCATTTAATTAAGTGTGCGAATTACACAATGAACCAATGAATCAAGTGAGCAAATTTCGCCTACAAATACACAGTCACTCCATTTCGCAGTAAAATCCCGTCAAGTGCTTTGAGCCGTCTTTCCGACGTGATAAGACGCTATACCAAATGTAAGGATTACTATTTAGTAACTTTTAGACGTCCTCTGGACACAAAATAATAATAATAATAATAATAATCCTTGCATTTGATATAGCGCTTTTCACGTCGGGAGGACGTCCCAAAGCGCTTCACAGAACACACTGTAACGTGAATTGACTGTATATTTGTGGGCGAACGCGGCAGCCAATTGCGCACAGCAATGTCCCACAAACAGTCGTAGATTGAAAATGACCAATTTATTATTGTTTTTGGTTTGGAGGGATTATTATTAGGCTCTGTGTGGAGGGATTATTATTAGGCTCTGTGTGGAGTAAGGAAACTTGCCCAAGGTTTCGCCCTCTGCCTGGAATTGAACTCAGGTCTCTCGCTTGCAAAGCGAGTGCTCTAACCACTGAGCTACAGGACTCCAAAAGAGGCCAAATCAAATGTAAGGAATATTATTCTTATAATGGACCTGATAACATGGTCAATTATAATGCACCTTGTTATAAGGAGGGGGAGAAATTTTATGGGTCTCGACTATTGCCTTATGATGGACAGGTAACGGAGTGAGATTGAGGGATGTAATGAGAGAAGGAAAGTGTTAAACAGCAGAGAGTTCCTCAACATCAAATAATAATCCTTACATTTGATACACTTACAAACGCCACGTACTCCCAGTGCTTCATAGGGAATTACTGTCAAGTGTAGTGACTGCGTATTTTAGAGGCAAACTGGTCAGCCATTTTGCCACCCAGCACATTCCTGCCTACTTGCACGATGAGGCAAATGGTCAAATAACTTGAGGGATTGTTGGCCAGGACTACAGACGTCCCAAGGCGCTGAATAGTCAGGGATTAGGGATTAGGACCCGAGCGGGGGTGGGGGTGAAGGGGGTTGGATCAGGGAGCGTGGAGGGCAGAGAGGGTGGCCGAAGGTACGGTCAAAGAGGAGGGTCTTGAGACATGCTCTGAAGGAGGCCAGAGAGGGAATGAGGCAAAGGGAAATTGGGATGGAGTTCCAGAGGGTGGGGGCAGAGAGGTTGAGGGCCTGACCGCCGATGGTGGGGCAGGCCGGGCGGGGGACATGGAGCAGGCCAGAGCCTGCTGAGCGGAGGGAGCGGAGAGGTTGATAAGGGGGTTAGTAGGCCAGAGACGTAGGAGGGGGCAAGGGCATGGAGGGCCTTGAAGGTCAGGACGAGAATTTTGAACTGGATCCTCTGAGGGATTAGGAGCCAGTGGAGCCGGGCGAGGGGGGGGTGTGATTGGGTCATGGAGCCTGGTGCTTACGGCACGAGCGATTTACTGTCTCATGGAGTCCTGTAGCTCAATGACTGGAGTCCTGTAGCTCAGTGGTTAGAGCACTCGCTTTGCAAGCGAGAGACCTGAGTTCAATTCCAGGCAGAGGGCGAAACCTTGGGCAAGTTTCCTTACTCCACACAGAGCCTAATAATAATCCTCCAAAACCAAAAACAATAATAAATTGGTCATTTTCAATCCACGACTGTTTGTGGGACATTGCTGCGCGCAATTGGCTGCCGCGTTCGCCCACAAATATGCAGTCAATTCACTTTACAGTGTGTTCTGTGAAGCACTTTGGGACGTCCTCCCGACGTGAAAAGCGCTATATCAAATGCAAGGATTATTATTATTATTATTATGTAAAGGACGGCACCTCTCAATGCAGCCCTCCCTCAGCACTGGACTCTTAATTCAATCGGTCATTCATTTCCCGGCTGCTTGTGGGACACTGCTGTGTGCAATTTGGCTGCTGCGTTCGCCTTAGAAACACACACAGGCACTGGACTCGACAGCGATTATATTTGGGAACATCCTCCCGAAGCGAAAGGCGTTGTTGCATCAATGCAACTCGTTACTGTTCTGGTTAATTTCCCCGTGAAGCAGCTTCGATACTTACGGACTTTGTATCAAAGGAAAGTATTATCTACAGCGCTATGATGTTGGGGCGTGTTACAGTGTTGCGGCTGTTATTATGTATGAAGGAGTCTCCAAACCAAGTTGAGGTCTCCACGCGTCCCACCGACACGTGGAAATCCCAGAGATAGATGGTTGGAACGGAACGGGCGCTCTCTCTCTCTCTCTCTCTCTCTCCCCCTCCCTCCCTCCCTGGCGGGACGCACCCTGCTATACCCAATTCCAGAAAGTATTAGGCGCAGGTGGGCAGGAGCCGAGGCTCGGGGACCCCGGAGTGCGCGTTGGGGGTAACTGCCGGAGTCCTGACCGGCTTCAAAAGACAACCCACGTCGCTCGCCCTCGAATGGTACTGCGACATCCTTACGGATGGATTGACGGCTGAGCTGAGCCGAGCCAAAGAGCTGCGTCCTCGGCTTCGATGGTGAAGGCCGCCTGAGGGGGGCGCCTTAACGTCGCCTCTTCGGGTTGGATGGAGCCTGTTGGGTGGGGTGGGGGGGGGGGGGAGGGGGGCGTGTTGTGGCTGGCGTGGCTTGCTGTGTGATGTGAGGAGGGCAGGCAGTGAGTGGCAGGAGAGCAGGCAGTGAGTGGCAGGAGAGCAGGCAGTGAGTGGCAGGGGGAGAGCAGGCAGTGAGTGGCAGGAGGGGGGAGCAGGCAGTGAGTGGCAGGAAGGCAGGCAGTGAGTGGCAGGGGGCAGGCAGTGAGTGGCAGGGGGGGAGCAGGCAGTGAGTGGCAGGGGGGAGCAGGGAGGGTAGTGGGCAGGGGGGCAGGAGGGCAGGCAGTGAGTGGCAGGGGGCAGGCAGGGAGGGAGGGTAGGGTAGGGCAGGGGGCAGGAGGGCAGGCAGTGAGTGGCAGGAGGGCAGGCAGGGAGGGAGGGTAGGGTAGGGGCAGGGGGGCAGGAGGGCAGGCAGTGAGTGGCAGGGGGGCAGGCAGGCAGGGAGGGAGGGTAGGGGCAGGGGGCAGGAGGGCAGGCAGTGAGTGGCAGGGGGGGGGAGCAGGCAGTGAGTGGCAGGGGGGGAGCAGGCAGGGAGGGAGGGAGGGTAGGGGCAGGGGGGTATGGGCAGGCAGTGAGCGGCAGTGAGCGGCAGTGAGGGAGGATCGGTGTCTGATCTCACGTCTGTCTGACTGTGGATACATTGTGTGAGCGGCGTTCTGACCCGCGGGCCGCAGCGGGCCGCAGCGGGCCGCCTCTCTCTCTCTCTCTCTCTCCCCCACCCCCTCCCACTCTCCCCCTCCCTCTCCCCCCTCTCCCCCCCCCACTCCCCCCCCCCTCTCCCCCCCCACTCCCCCCCCTCTCCCCCCCCACTCCCCCCCCCTCTCCCCTCTCCCCCCTCTCCCCCCCCCCCGGGTGTGCTGGTGATGATCCCCGGGCAGTGATGGCCGGGGCGGTGCCGGTGCCGGTGGTGGCGGTGGTGGCGGTGGCCGCCGTCTGTCTGTGCTGCTGTGTCGGCGGGTCCTGGCGAGGGGGCGGCAGTGGGACGAGACCCCCCGTCGTGTTGGGTGAGGACCACCGTCAGGGACTCCCCTCAGTTTCATTCCGAGGCGCTGTGGGTTGTTGTGCAGTTCATGTTTTATCAGTGATTTTTTTTTCCCCTTAAAAAAAAACGTTGACATCTACAACCCCCCCCTCCCCCCCTCCCCCCCCACCCATCATTTGGATCTAATCCCCCCCTCCCCCCACCCCCCACCCCACAAAAAAATATTAATAATAATAATAATTTGGTCACTCGGTCCACACACGCGCGGTTTTTGGCTGCTGCGTTTTGCCCGCGAGGTCACGCGGTCGCTGCGCTCCGCGGCCGATCCTGCGAAGCGCTGGCGGGCGGCCCCCCCCCCCCCCCCCGGTGAGGTGGGGGGCACCGCCGCGGTGAGGGCGCTGCGTCCGATGCCGGGGTTCGTGACTGTTCGACGTCGACCGGCGATTCGTTGGAACCGTCGCAGGGGTCGTTCCACGGCGCTCGCTCCAGGTTTCGCGCCGCAGCCTCGTTCCGCTTTAGATCCGCCCGCGAAAAAAAAAGCGCGCGGTCGCTGCGCTTCGAAGAGTATCCTGTGAAGCGCCTCGAGGTGTCTCCACGACGCGATAAGGCGCCATGTCAAATGCAAGTGTGGTTATTGTGATTATTATTATTATTATTATTATTATTATTATTTAGATGCTGCCTTTTAAAAGCAGCCTCCAGACCCGATCCCGGCTCGGGTGCGTAGCCATGATTGTCGAGCACGTTGGAATGTCCTCCCGACGTGAAAGGCGCTATACGCATGTAAGAATAATAATACAGTACTTGCATTTGATATGGCAACTCATCACGTCGTTGAGACTCCCGAATTGAATGTGAAGAAAAACTCGTCTCACGGGCTATGAGACTGGTTGCAGTTTCAGGCCTGATCTCCCGAAGCTCGTGTAGTGTTAGCCCAGGGTGGCGCAGCTGCTCGTGAGCGCTATCAGCAGTCACGATCCCTAGGCATAGCATTCACGCTCGGCAAGTAATCTATCGTCAGTTGCCCAGAGCTTAAAAAAGGCTTGTGAGACATTGAAGGGGGAGGGGAAGCTTCCTGATATTACAACGACAACTTAGATTTATATAGCGCCCCTCGCCCGGGCTAGTGTCCCAGAGCCCTTGACAGTGGCGGAGCGCGACACGGAGCCGGGGAGATGCGGAGGTGACCGTAGGCACGGTCAAAAAGGGAGGTCTTCAGGCCCGACCAGAAGATCGGGCAGGAAGGGGCAAGGTGGAGGGATAGAGTAAGAGTGTTCCAGAGTTTTGGGGCGTCGTGGCTGAAAGCACAGCCGCCAATAGTGGATCGGAGGAGGATATTAATATTGATTTCGTAACAACCACTTGAGAAGTATGTGTGCCACATAAAAGACTTGTAAGCAGAATAGAAGCCCATGGTATTAAAGGGACAGTGGTAGCATGAATACAGAACTGGCTGGGAGACAGAAAGCAGAGTGTAGTGGTGAACGGTTGTTTTTCTGAGTGGCGGGAAGCGTGCAATGGTGTCCCCCAGTATTGGGGCCATAGCTGTTTTTGATCTATATAAATGACTTGAAAAAGTAGGAGGATTTTTTTCACACCGCGAGTTGTTGGGATCTGGAATGCATTTCCTGAAAGGGTGGTGGAAGCCGATTCAATAACAGCTTTTAAAAGAGAAGTAGATAATTATTTGGGGAGGACAAGTTTGCAGGGCTATGGGGAGAGAGCGGGGGAGTGGGATTGAATTGGTTAGCTCTTTTCAAAGAGCCGGCAAAGACATGATGGGCCGAACAGCCTCCTTCTGTGCTGTATAATTCTATGATTCTATGAAATGATGTGGGGCACAGGGTGGAAAACTGTCAAACCTGCCGTCTGCTAGTTTGGGAAACGCGTTAAGTTTGAGGTGGTTTCTGTACTGTGCTACGATCTTCAGACAGAGCACTGCTGTTTACTGTGGGTAAGGGAAAGGAAGTGTTACCAGGGAGAGATGGCATCGACACAGAGTCAGCTTCACAGTCTCTTTGCCAAGACCTCTCACCCGAGGACCAGGATTAAGTAGTTACTATTAACTTCTAGAACAACAAGATGGCTGGCACATCACAAGATGTCCTGTTAAAAGTCGTTCGGTAGCACTCTCGCCTCTTGAGTCAGAAGGTTGTGGGTTTAAGCCTCGTATCAGGACTTTGAAGGCACAGTCTAAGATAATACTCCAGTACAGTGCTGGGGGTGCGCTTCATTGTTGGAGATGCCGTCCTTCGGATGAGATGTTAAAACCAAGGTCTTGTCAAGGTGGATGTTAAAGATCCCATGGTGCTATTCGAAAAGAGAAGGGAATTTCTCCCAGTTTCCTGACCAACAGTCCCACCCAATAGTTCATGTTCGCCTACAAAATACACAGATGCTATACTTTACAGTATATTTTGTGAAATACGCGCACACACACACGCACCAGGCTGTAACCATCACACACTCGCACATATCCCAGGACTCATCCTTCCAGGACACCCGCCTGACTGGTCTCCCAACACAGCATTGAGCTGTTTATTAAATGAATCCAGCATCAGGTAACCCTTTCGAAGCACCCCTGGATAACCCTGAGCCCGTGTCCTTCGACCAACCTCACAGAACGATTTGAGATGAGATGAGACCCAGTTTGACATGGAAGACGTAGCAATACATCTCGCGTGAGAGTGTGTGCGTGTGCATGTGTGTATGTAAATGGATAGCGAGAATGAGTTAATGGGTGAATTGATTCCTATTCAGTGGGAGTAAGTGTGTGTGTGTATAACAAGAGTTAGTTAAAAGGTAGGTTGGTTCCTATAGTAATAATAATAATAATAATTAATTCTTGCATTTGATAAAGCCCCTTATCGCATTGTCGGGATGCCTCAGAGCACTCATAGGTTTTCTCTGCTGTGCAATGCAGTGACTGTGTGTGTTGAGGGTGTTCCGAGTTGTAACGCTTTTTCCTTCAGTTCCAGGAGACCTGGGGAACCAACTGGAGGCCAAGCTGAACAAGACGTCTGTGGTGCACTATCTCTGCGCAAAGACGTCCGAGGATTATTTCACCCTATGGCTGAATCTGGAACAGCTGCTGCCTGTCATCATCGACTGCTGGATTGACAACATCAGGTACAGAGGGACAACAACCCCACAGTGCAGTCTGGAGCTGAGAGCTGTCTCGGGGCCGCTCACTGTGTCATCGGGCTGTGGAACAGTGGCCTTTAGGTGTAGTAAAAACATAGGAACAGGAGTAGGCTATTCAGCCCCTCGAGCCTGTTCCGCCATTTTATAAGATCATGGCTAATCTGTACCTCAAGTCCATTTACTCGCCCTTGCCCCGTATCCCTTAATACCCTGACCAAACAAATATCTATCTACTCCCGTCTTGAAAATAATCTAATGATAATAATCCTTGCATTTGACATATCGCCTTAATGTGAATGGATCCAGCATCCACAGCCTTTTAAATGACCTGTAGTTTGTGCTTTTGACAGATGCACAGGTAACAAATCGAGCTGCCGAGGATTGTGACCAAAGAGGTGCATTATGATTTAGATTATAATTAATTAATGAACAATTAATTAGTCTAGATAGTAACAGAGACCGACCGATGCGTCTAGTCAGCTTCAGGCCCTGTCTGAAGTTAACAATTAATGGGGTAAAAAAAACATGCAGCTATTGGAGAGGATGCTTATTGACGTTGAGCATAGCTGGTTGTATTTGCTTGAATCACAGGATGGTCATGGGGCTGGTCTTGTGCTTTAGCAGAGACTGGCCAGGAAGGAGGGGAGGAGAGGAGTGAGCACTGTTTGTTAGGTCTTGAAAAGTATCGGCTGTAATACAGTAATACTCCCGAAAACTCGATACTTGTCACTAAATAATATATAATAATATATAATCCTGGCGTTTGATTTAGCACCTTATCACGTCTTTGAGACGTCTCAAAGCGCTTCACAGAATACACTGTAAATTGACTTGGCTGTGTGTCTTGTAGGTGAAACCGTGGCAGACAGTTGCGCACAGCAGTGTCCCACAAACAGTCGTGGATTGAGTGACCAAATTATTATTTTTTATTATTTCTTGAAGGATTACCCTCTGCTTAATATTTAATATTTAATTAATACTTAATTATTACACTACCACTTAAGCCATCATGTTGTCAATATCCTCTACCACACTTACCAGCTGCCAGAGCAAAATCAATTCATAACTTACATGAGTTTTACGGTAGACATTCACACAATTTTATAGTGGGCTGGGGAGTAAGCTCACTGGATTCTTTCCCTTTTGTGCTTCCTGAGTGGCTAAAAATTTAAATTTAAATGTTTGGTATAGCACCTTTCACCGGGAAGGAACATCTCTCACAGGAGTTACTTTTTGTTGCGGTCAGCTGGGTGGGTGTCTGACACACGTGAAAACCCATCACCATGCTTTCGAGCACCCAAACCAAACTGAGAATTCCATGCATCCCATCTACACATGGAAATATTCCAGAGATAGTTGTTGGAAAGGAATGCACACTCTCTCCCTGGAAAGACACATCCTGCTTACCCCTTATTGCTGAAATTATTAGGCGCAGGTTGCTAAGAGCCAAGGCTTGGGGACACCAGAGTGTGCGTTGGGGTAACTGCTGGGGTCTAACCAGCTAAAACCACATCACTTGCTGTTAATATCGCTGTCTGGCAAGCTCTCCTGCTGCTTGTCAAGCTAGGACCACCCAACCCGTTAGGGCTTTGGCTTGCAGGGTTAACAGGAGCTGAGTAGGATGACAGGGGTTACTGTAAAGTGTGATGACTGCATATTTCGTAGGTGAAATTCAGAGCCAGAGCTGAGTGTACTGTGTAGCTTTGCCTGTGGCCTGTGAGGTTAATGAGTTATAGACCGGCAATGACTTGCCTGATATATTTGAAGGTTACTGGAAGTCAGTCGGAAACATAAGGTCACATGCTGGTCGAGGTCGTTGAGTGCTGTTTCATCGTTTTTTTCCAAGAAAATGTTTAGTGGTCTTCTCCCCCCACCTCCAGCCAAAAGCATTCCTGTAAACTTCCACCCTCTGAAAATAAGAAATAAGTGCAGCCGTTTCAGGTTCTCTGCAAAACTCAATGCTTTTTCATAAACATTTTGCAGCTGCTTTATTATTGTAATAATTATAATCTGTGTATTTAATATAGCGATGTAACACATCCAGGAGAGTGTCTCAAAACACTTTATAGGATTTTACTGTAAAGTGCAGTGAATTGCATTCTGTGGGCAGTCGTGGTAGGCAATTTGCATACAGCAGTGCCCCACAAACAGCCACGAAGTATGCAATTACAGTATATTGTCAATATAATAACCGGCTGCTGTGTTTGTCTGCAAAAGCAGTCACTACATTTGACAGCACTTAACTGGTAGCGCTTTGAGATGTTTTGACATCATAAGCTGAAGCTCCAATACAGTCGATTCACTTTACAGTATATTCTGTGAAGCATTTTTGAGATATCTCGAAGACGTGATAAGGCGCTATATCAAATGCAAGGATTATCATATTATTATCTAAAAGGAAGGTCATGAGAAGGGCCTTGAAGGAGGTAAGAGAGCGGGCGAGAGAAGGGACTCTGGATTGGGTTCCAGAGGATGGGGGTGCTATATGAAATGCAAGGATTATTATTATTATTAATATATTATTTCACAGGAGAGGTTCAAATGACGAAGGCACTTCGGCTCATCTAATCTCATCCTTTCAGAACACCCACTTACTGTCCTCCCATCACAGTATCGAGCTTTAATGAGTCCAGCTTCCTGTCTCCAACCACATTTTCACAGGCAATCTGTGCGCTTTGCTTTCAGGCTGATCTACAACGCAACCACCAAGACAACGAAAAGCCCCCCGGGAGTCGACGTGAGAGCCCCCGGATTTGGGAAAACCTATTCGTTGGAATTCCTGGATCCCAGTAAACGGAGAGTGGGTGAGTCCCGGTCAGCGACGTGATCCAGTGGTTGTTTGACGCAGGCTGAGCAAACGATAGAGACACAGTAACCAGGTCAGCATTATATTCGTAAGAGTCCTGTAGCCTAGTGCTTAGCGAGATCGCCATGCAAGCGAGAGGACCTGGGTTTGATTCCCGGGCAGGGTGAAAGCTTAGGCAAGTTTTCTTACTCCAGACGCCTCTGCTTACCCAGCAGCAAGTAGGAACCCGGTTGTTAGTGAATTGGCGGAACACTTCCCACGGCTAATAATCCCTCAAAAAAAATTAATAATAATATTATTTTTGAATGGACTTGGTGTTCCCAGGTATTCAGGTTTGATCATATCCCTTCAGAGGCTGATCTCTCGGTTATATACAGTGGGATAAAGTCCTCAACCTATTTTTCTGAGAAACGCTGATATGTAAACACATTTTTACGCTGTGGACGCACTGTGGCCGTGTGGCCTGCTTTGGGCTGGCGCAACAACAACAACTCGCATTTATATAGAGCCTTTGACATGTGTTAGCGTGTTGGAGGCAAGCCACCTGACACAATCTCAGCACGCAATGCTTTGCTGAATGGTGGCAGTGCATGGAAACTTTAGGATCTGCTTTAATTTTCCTGTTCGTAGGTTCCTCTTTCACAATGAGCTGTCCGTGACTGAATCTGTAAAAAGGAGTGTTACTTCCATCTGAAAGAGTTATTATTAATACCTGCAATTATCTAAATCAAAACAACTCCCATGGGAAACTCTTGTCTCTTTCTCTCTGTCTTTCTTTCTCTTTGTCACCTGTTTGTCTCATTCTCTCTCTCCCTGAATCTCTCCACTTTGCCCCCCTCCCTCCCCACTTTCAAATCCCGCCTAAAGACCTTCCTTTTTGATTGAGCTTACAGTCACCTCTCTCTGTGTCAGACTCCGCTATTGACAAGCACTCCGGGACGCTACCCAGCGTGAAGGATAGCGTGAAGTTGTTGTGTGTGTGTGTGTGTGTATGTGTGTGTGTGTGTGTGTGAAAGAGAGAGAGAGAGAGAGAAAGATCATGCTCACCAGTCCAGAGATTCCACAAGCATTTAATGTCTCTGCATAAAGGGTCATCCTCTGGTCTCAGTTATTTATTTTATTATTTAATTATTTCGTTTAATAACATTTCTGGATTTGCTGTTGTTGGCTGATGAACTGGCGAAGTGCAACAGGTCAGAAACGTGTGCTTGGGGATAGTTGTGTGGGTTAAAATGTTTTGTCTCCCTCGTTCTCCTCACACACACATTAATGACTATATATTTGTAGGCAAATATAGTGTTCCACAAACAGCCATGGAGTGAGTGACCAATTTTATTTTGGGGGATTGTTGGTCAGGACACGGGAGAGAGAAACTCTCTCCTCTTTTCGAATTGCGGCACGGGATCTTTAACATCCACCTGAACAGCCAGACGAGGCCTTAGTTTAACGTCTCGTTTGAAGGACGGCACCCCCAACAATGAAACACACCCTCAGCACTGCATTGGAGTGCACTGAACTGTTAGTTCAAAGTCCTAATATAGGGCTTGAACCCACAACCCTTCTGCCTCTGAGGTGAGAGCGCTAGCGAGCGAGCCAGGCTGACATACATGTTCCTTGGACATTGCTAATTTCTCGTAATGGAGGTGCCTTTGCGTGTTTCAGAATGAGATATTTCTGCATGTGGTTTTCTGAGCTCAGCACTGACAGCGAGTGTGAAGTTTACCAGACCTGGCTTGTGCTCAGTGTTACAAGTTCGGTCGCTTTAGAGGGACAGTACAGGAACACCTTCAGTCTTCGCATGCATGTGACTTCCTATAACACATTATCTTTCATTATCTTTCTTCCTGTCTATTTCTGTCTCTCTCCCTCTCTCCCTGTGCGTGATTGGCAGCCGCAATTCGTACGCAAAATACACTTTACAGTAGATTCTGTGAAGCGCTTTGAGACGTGATTGGCGCTATATCAGATGCAAGGATTAATATTATTTCCTCTCTCACACGCATTCCTTTTTCTCTACTCTCTTTTTCTCTTATTCATTTTCTGCCTCTTTTTTGCTGTTTTCATATTCAAAACTCGAAAAGAACTGAAATTTGCTTTTACGTGGGTTCCTCTCTGCCTGTTCGCTCCTTCCTCTGACCCGACTGAAATGTTGAGCCCTGTATTTCGGCTCAAGTCATCCCTGTGGTCTTCGCACGTTGAAATGCAGTTGCTACAGTTTGTCAAACAAACATGTTGCATGAAATTACATAGACTGTTACAGCACGAAAACTAGTCCCAAATCGTCTATGAAGGTGTTTATAGGGATCCACCCCTCCTGTATATCAGGTTTTCTCTTCAATGACTTGATGCTCTCTATTATAACCACAGCTTCCTGCAGTGAGTTCCAAATTCTCACCACCCTCTGCAGCTATCTTACATTTAATTGTACTTTGATGCAAATTATGGCACTAAAGGTGGATTCACAGGATAGGTCGATGTGAACACTGCAAAGAGTTTTCCCACAATTGGTTTTACTCAGATGAGTATCATTTCAGATGATTATTTCCATTGATTATTTCCATTGAGCATTCGAAAAGCTTGACTAGAGAGATTTTGACCAAATACTAATGACTCATAACACACATCTCTAAGCAAATTTTCAGTGAGAATTATCTGAGACACATACTTTCTGCTGAAGCTGAGGTGTCCGTGAACCATACCGAGACTATTCATTAGCCACATTTTTTCGGGTATTTACCGAGCGGACCTGGGTTTGATTTCCGGGCAGGGCGAAACCTTAAGCAAGTTTCTTTACTCCTCACACACATCTCTGTTTACCTAGCAGTAAGTAGGAACCCGGTTGTTAGTCGATTGGCGGATTGCTTTTCCAGGGGTAATCACAATAATCCCTTCAAAAATGCAATAAAATAAAATAATTAAAATTTGATCACTCAATCCATGACTGTTTGTTATTACAATTATACTATATTGTGTCGTCGAGACATCTGAAAGTGCTTCACGGACACTTCATGTTACAATCACTGTAACGTGGTGCGACTGTGTATTTTGTGGGTGAAACCATTTATCATAGAATCATAGAATTATACAGCACAGAAGGAGGCCATTCAGCCCATCATGTCTGTGCTGGCTCTTTGAAAAGAGCTATCCAAATCAATCCTATTCCCCCGCTCTCTCCCCATAGCCCTGCAAACTTGTCATCCCCAATTATCTACTTCTCTCTTAAAAGCTGTTATCGAATTGGCTTCCACCACCCTTTCAGGCAATGCATTCCAGATAATAATAATAATCCTCGCATTTGATATAGCGCTTTTCACGTCTTCTAGATGTCCCAAAGCGCTTCACAGAATATACTGTAAAGTGAATTGATTATATTTGTGGGCGAACGCGGCAGCCAATTGCGCACAGCAATGTCCCACAAACAGTCATGGATTGATAATGACCAATGTATTATTGTTTTTTTTCGGAGGGATTATTATTAGGCTCTGTGTGGAGTAAGGAAACCTGCCCAAGGTTTCGCCCTCTGCCTGGAATTGAACTCAGGTCTCTCACTTGCAAAGCGAGTGCTCTAACCGCTGAGCTACAGGACTCCACAGATCCAACAACTCGCTGTGTGACAAAATTTCTTCGCATCTCCCCTCTGTTTCTTTTAACTATTTTAAATCAGTGTCCTCGGGTTACCGACCCACCCGCCAGTGGTAATAGTTTCTCCTTGTTCACCCTATCGAATGCCTTCATAATTTTGAAAATTTCTATTAAGTCTCCTTTTAACCTTCTCTGCTCCAAGGAGAATAATCCTAGTTTCTCTCGCTTCTCCTGAAAACTGAAATCCTTCATTCCTGGCACCATCCTGGTAAATCTCCTTTGCACCCTCTCCAGTGCCTTGACATCCTTCCTACAGTGTGGTGCCCAGAACTGAGCAATGTCTCTAGCTGAGGCCTAATCAGTGTTTTATAAAGGTTCATCATAACTTCCTGACTTTTGTATTCTATGCCCCTATTTATAAAGCCAATAATAATAATAATAATCCTTGCATTTGATATAGCGCTTTTCACGTCGGGAGGACGTCCCAAAGCGCTTCACAGATCACACTGTAAAGTGAATTGACTGTATATTTGTGGGCGAACGCGGCAGCCAATTGCGCACAGCAATGTCCCACAAACAGTCGTAGATTGAAAATGACCAATTTATTATTGTTTTTTGTTTTGGAGGGATTATTATTAGGCTCTGTGTGGAGTAAGGAAACTTGCCCAAGGTTTCGCCCTCTGCCTGGAATTGAACTCTGGTCTCTCGCTTGCAAAGCGAATGCTCTAACCACTGAGCTACAGGACTCCACGCCAAGTATCCCGGATGCTTTTTTAACAGTTTTATCTACCTGTCCTGCCACCTTCAAAGATTTACTTATATGAACCCCCAGGTCTTTGTTCCTTCACCCCCTTTAAAATTGTACCATCAGCTTATATTGCCTCTCCTTATTCTTCCACTCAAAATGCATCACTTCGCATTTCTCCACATTAACCTTCATCTGCCACGTGTCTACCCATTTTACCAGTCTGTCTATGTCCTCTTGCAGTCTGCTACTATCCTCACTGTTAACTAGCTTAGTATTATCTGCAAACTTGGAAATTGTACTCCCTACATCCAAGTCCAGGTCATTTGTATAGATAACCTTGTAATGTGGCAACAGTCTTATCTATGTATGTCCAGCACGTAGAACCCTCTCATAATGGTAAAGCGCTCTGTCAGATCCTCTTCCCAGCATCTCGTGTCCAGTCTTGATCGTTGTAATCACTCATCCCTGGTAGCATCTGAACAGCAGTATTGCAGGACATAGTGTTGTTTGGAGGGAGGTGTCGGGGTTAGTGTGTGTGTGTGTGTGTGTGTGTGGGTGTGTGGTGGGGAGGGAGCGAGAGAGAATCTCTCAGAGAGGCTGCTATCAACCTGAAAGTCACTTCATGCGAGACTGATGGGCTCCCTGTAAGCAAGCTACATGAGCTGAGCTGAGCTGCTGACTGTGTTGAGATGCTGAGCGCTGGGCTGGGCTGTGGGCTTTCTGCCCAGTGCTTACAGGAATTAGTGCTGATTCACTCCTCACGTGACAATTCTTTAGTTGTGCAAAGCCCCGGTTTTACCAGGGCCAGCAGCACTTGTTGCTTTGTGCAGTGGCTGGTTTGCAGGGAATAGCTGGACACTCATTCAAACTGACTACTGTTTTTCATAGGAAACATATCAGATATGATTGAGCATTCATCCATCACATCGCTCCACCTCTCAAAGTCCTTCTGACTGTATGCCATGTTTACAAATCCCTATAAATACTGTACCCACCTCTCCGAAAACACCTCTTGCCACTTCCTACCCTTCATCTGCTTGCGTTCGCACCACATCAAAAGGGATTTGTTCACCTACAGAACATTGTCACGACTGGATTGAAAAAATGAACCCGGAACGATATTTTCAGACATGAATGAGGACACAGAGTTGCAAAGGGCAATTTCATGACAGACACCAGGAAGTGGTTCTTTACCCCCAGAGAGTAGTAATTAACGACTGGAAAAGGTTGCTGGGAAGGATGGTTTAAGCTCTCTTGTGACGGTACATTGCATGAGGGGCGCTATATATATATATAACAACAAGTTGTTGTTGTTATTGTTCAGGACACTGGGAAAAAGCAGGTTGATGCTGTGATAGGGGTCTGTTAAGGTGGGTGATCCTGAAGGATGGGCTTTCTTCATCGAAACTGATCTAATTCAGCCTCGGCTTTGTTACTGGGTGATTCGGCATTGTCCTGCCCCAACCATCGCCTCCTCTCGGCAAAGGAGTCACGTCAGTCAGCAAATTCTGCGGCTGTTTGATTTTGATTGTTATTAATATCACACAGGTTAGGAGTAAGTACTGCTTAGTAGTTTTATTTGTCTTCAGGAGTAACAGGCTACTAGTGTAGTGTAGCCTGTTCTGCAACTCCTCCTCGCCCACCACACTTCCCTACGGCAGTTTAATAATAATCCTTACATTAGATTTTGCGCCCTAACAGGTCAGTAAGACATCTCAAAGTGTTTCACAGGTTTCACTGTGAAGTGCAGTATCTGTGTAGTTTTGTGGGCGAGCGCAGCAACCAGTTCCACACATCAATGTACCACAAACAGCCATGAAGTAAGTGAATGACTTCATTTATTTTGAGGGGTTGTCGGCCAGAACACTGCGAGAGAGAAACTCCCTTCTCTTTTCAAATAGCACCATGCGGATCCTTAACGTTGACCTGAACAGGCAGATGGGATCGTGGTTTAACATCTCATCTGAAGGACGGCACCTCTGACTGTTTACTTCTATCAGAGTTGGTGTGCGGCCTTCCTTGTGCTGTGTGTTGTTAGTGCGTTCCTCTCTGGTTGGGAAAGGTGTGACTGAAGTGTGCAGAGCTTCCCCCCGACTCCGAACCCCCGAACTGGTGCCTGAGCCAGTCAGGTCCTGATGCCTTATCTGTTTGGCCTACAGGGAGCTATTTCTTCACCCTGGTGGAATCCATGGTGACCTGGGGCTACACGCGGGATGAAGATGTCCGAGGAGCGCCGTATGATTGGCGCAAAGCTCCAAGTAAGTGACCTTTGAATGGGTGGGAGGGGGAGAGAGGAAGTGAGGTTTCTTCTAAAGTGTGGCTCATTCTGAACAAGGTACATTATAAGTGTCTCCATGGTGGGTCTGGAGTGTGGGATGCCCAAGTCCCAAATATTCAAGGTGAATTTAGAAATTTGCCAAAATTCTGCATTGATCGTAAATGTGGATAGTTTTAAGGCTAAAATCAGGTGGAATTTGGGGCTTCTGATCGTCATGGAGCGATCACCGCTAGGTGGTGATGTTATTTGGTTTGGCTGTGAATATCTTCTCCAATATCATCGCACACACGTGAAGAATTGCCACTTGGATGAGGTACCACAGATGTGGGACATGGAAGCCAGAAGGAGAGGCACAGAGAAGGAGAGAGAACTCCATACAGCCCTACGGGGAGTGAGTGATACGCTGTATTTGTAGAATCCCATAGCGTAGTGGTTGGAGCACTCACCTGTTCAAGCAAGAGGAACCGGGTTTGATTCCTGGCCAGGGGGAAACCTTCGGCAAGTTTCCTTAACCACACGCTTCTGTTTACCTAGCAGTAAGTAGGAACCCGGTTGTTAGTCGATTGGCGCATCGTTTTCTGGGGTAATAATCTTGCCCCCCCCACCAAAAAAAATTAATAATTTGGTTACTCAATTCACGACTGTTCGTGCACAATTGGCTGCCACATTTCACCCACAAAATACACAGTCAATCCACTTTACAGTATATGCTGTGAAGAGCTTTGAGACATCTCAACGACGTGATAAGGCGCGATATCAAATGCAAGATTATTATTTTTTATTTCAATTATTATTATTTCTTATTATATTTCAAGGGCTCTGGGACACTACCCTACTCAAGGGGCGCTATGTAAAATTCACGTGGTTGTCGTCATTGTCATTTGATCTCTGATCCTTTTCTTCCCCATCCCAGATGAGAACAGGCAATTCTTCAAGGATCTGCAGGCTCTGATCGAGTCCATGTACGGGCAGTACGGTGGCCCGGTTGTCCTGATAGCTCACAGCATGGGAAACCTCTACACCCTCTACTTCCTGAACCAGCAGACCCAAGCCTGGAAGGACAAGTACATCAAAACGTTCGTGGCGCTGGGCGCTCCCTGGGGCGGGGTGTCCAAGACCCTGCGAGTGCTGGCTTCAGGTGGGTGCCAGCCTAATGTCCAGGCCACAAGACTAACGAAATGTCCAGCGTTCTCTCTGCAACCTGGCATCACTCGCGCATGCTCACTCGCGATCAGGAGTGTGGGATATTAGTCTATAAAAAGCCAATGGGACTGAATAAGAAAGAGAGCGAGGAGGGAGGGGATTTTGTGAGTTTCCATTACAAGAGCACATTAGTGTAAATAGCTGGTTCATGCCCACTAATCAGCATCATCAACAAAATCACCTAATTCTCTCCCTTGCCTCCTTTAAGGTCCATCTCAAGATTCTCCAATTTGACTGCACCTTTGGTTACCCTTCTATCCCTTCCCTCCCTCTACCCCTCGTGTCTCCAACCCCCAGCTCGGGTGCAAATCCCGACAGTCCGGCACCTTGGGACGTCGTCCCGGTGTGAAAGGCGCTGGGTAAATGTAATGTGTTGTTTTGTTGTTTCAATTGAGCTCTGAGACTCAGGCCGAACGTGTGTTTATCCATTTCAGGAGACAACGACCGGATTCCTGTTATTAACACACTGAAGATCCGAACTCAACAGAGAACAGCCGTCTCCACCAACTGGCTGCTCCCTTACAACAACACCTGGCCTCTCAATAAGATCTTTGTCTCCACGCCCACCTACAACTACACCATGAATGACTACGAGCGGTTCTACAAAGACATCAGCTTTGACGTCGGCTGGAAGATGCGGCAAGACACCGAAGGCCTCGTGTACAACCTGACCCCGCCCGGGGTGTCCATTCACTGCCTGTACGGAACAGGCGTGCAAACAGCCGAGTCTTTCCATTACGACGTCTTCCCCGACAAGGAGCCCACGGTCTTCTATGGCCCCGGCGATGGTACGGTCAACTTAGCAAGCGCCTTGAATTGCAGGCGATGGCTGCACAGGCAGAAAGAGGCCGTGTTCCTCATGGAGCTGCCGGGAACGAACACCTGGACATGCTCTCCAACCTCAGCACCATAACCCACATCAAGAGGGTCCTCTTTGACCTGCCGCCGCTGTGAGATTACACTCACTGCCTTCGATCCAGAGACGCTGACACCTGAGCGTCTCTCTGTTAATTGCGGAAGAGTCGGGATGGAAATCTTAGTGCCTGGGCGCTGTGTAGCCAGTCTGGATTATTGTTTATTTTGACTGCGAGTTGTAAGGCAGGTTGCTTCCCCTCTCTCTGGTCACCCCCTAGCCCCTGCTTTGTGCAACCCTTTCTCCCGTGCCTACTTAAGAGTCTTATTGAAGGTCAAGGGGTGAGATGTGTCCTCCTCTCTGTTGCAACGCACATTTAGTATCTGCCACAGAATAACTGGGAAAAACTGTTGAGTAAAGTCAATTGAAGCTGGAGCTCTCTTCTTCGATCTGACAACTTGCAGGGAGGGGGAGAGCATGATCTCTTCGTTTCCCAGGGGAGGGCGGGTTTGGGACAGGACCATGTCACGGTCAATCGCGTGATAAGGCGATACAATGGAAATACAGTGGAAACCGCTTAAACCGGACACATCAGGACCGAGCGTCTAGTCCAAATTAACAGGTGACAATATAAATGAATTGGGGTCGGCTGGGCATTTTGTCCGGTGTACCTGGCGTCTGAGGTTAACTGGTGTCCAGTTTATGTGGCTTCCATTGTATTCTGTTATACCGGAGAAAGTAAGATTAAACAGTTGGTGAATAATTCTTCACTAAAGAGGTCTTAGCATACAGAATAATACTTACTGCACCTCCCTGTGGGTGAAATACCAAGAGTCCATCCAATACCTCCCACACGATTCACAGCACAAGGCTGGGCTGCTAAAGATGGGGTTAAGGACTATTGTGAAGGTAAACCCTACACCGTGTATTGGGCCTGTGATATTCCAGATGTGGAATGCGCTATGCTGCCTTCCCAATGGTTAATGAGGTCCAAAACATCGTAAAAAAAACTCGCCCTTTGACCTTTTACTTCCTGTGAGCGATTAGTAGCATTTAATTTTCAGTTTTTCTCGCTGGCAATATTGGGGCCGTCTAGGATCGTGCAATAATGATAAATATTTTATCCCCAATTTATTGCTTTACACTTTAGCCGTTGTTTCTGTGCCTTCCTCACTGTATTGAGATAGTTTTCCACCGTTGGCTTTTGGTCTGCCTCAGGTTTGCTATGTGGACTGTATGTGGTGTGTGTGTGTGTGTGAGGGGGGTGGGGGGGGTGGGTTGGTTGGGGGGCTAGTGAGCGTATGCTTTGTGCCGTGGTTCTGAGCTCACATTTTGGGGGCCGAATGGGCGATGTTGGCAGTGACTCAACACCAAACGTGGAGGTGGAAGGTGGGGGGAGAGGTTTGGACTGTCTGAATGCTCTGGATCCCTGACCCTCTCACTACCTGGAGTCGCTGTTCAGTTCACAGTCTTGCGTTATAAATGCTCAGACCTCCTTTCCTCCCTCTCTCCCGAAGGACAGGTTCAGCCAGTTATTAACCATCTAATTGCGAGCTGTCCCTTTCACAATTAACACGGGTTTTAAGCGTGTGAGCGAGTATCTGAGCCCCGAAGTGCAGGGCACCACAATAGTGTGTTTCGGAGGCGTTTGGGATCATGATTTGATCAGCTGTATCTTTCAAGTTTTTCCTGCTCCATGTCGCTGAGCACCTTGTGGCATGAGCTCTGGTACCCGAGCTCTGACCTTCAGACCTGATGGAGGAATAGCGAGCCAATGTCTGACTCCTGTTGGTAAAGAAACTGGAACTGGGCTACCGAGACCACCGCAGAGGGTTGCCTGGTACTGATAGCCCATTTCCAAACATGTCATCTTTGAGTCAGCTCAGCTCCAAGGACACCCTCTTCACCCTCCTCCTCGCCCCAGACAATAGTCCCCAGAGCAGCACTGGTCAGTATGACATGTGTGAGAGCATTGCCACCATCCTCCAGCCCCCAGCTCCGACACCCATCCCTACCCATTGAGCGATGGTTCCACCAGTTTGGAGGGTTGGGGAGTATGGGGATGCTCGGTGTTTTAAAGAAAATAAAAATGTAAGCGAAGAAAGAACATGCAGTGCTCTACATTGTGGATAGTAATAGACGCAACGCAAAAGGCAAACACTCTTGAAGCTGCAGAGAATGTTCCACTACCAAAGTTCCTTTCCCCTCTCCCCTCTTGTTCTTGAAACCGATTCTCCTCAATCCACTGATATGCATTTAGTGTGTATCATATCTGACATTTAGTATAACAAGACTGGCTGTAAATGTGGGAAATTCTGGTGATAATGCTGGCCCACCCTATTTGACCATTGATTTCTTATCAATATGAATATTTTCTTAATACCGTTTATATTTTTGATAATGTGGCATGTTGCTCACACCACGGTAATGGGAAATCCAGGCATGGCCATAAATATGGGTCAACACTGATGTTATTAAACATTTCTACGTTTGCTGATTCCTTGTCTATTTTGATTTGTATGCATGAACCCAAGGCTTTAAACACATTTTTTTAGCACCGGTGATAGGGCTGAACACCTCATATGCTGTAAATCTCTGTAAATCCTTCAACACGTACCAATTGGGTTCCTGGTGGTAGGTGAAAAGTGGATGTGAACATTAGTTACAACTCAGGTTTTACACATTGGATGATGGGTGTTGCATTGGCTTTGATTAAGGGGATAGGATCCCCAAGTATCCAGAAATGTATGCCTTGCAGAGATTATAATATATCGTGTTCGGTGTTCAGACATGTCCATTTTTGTTTCTATTTACAACAAGAATGTTCTGCAATTGCCATGCATTATACCCTATATGTTGTGTGCATGTACATGTGTGATAATCCTTGCATTTCATATAGCACTTTATCATGAGGCATCTAAATTTAACGCCTCAGGATTTACTGTAACATGTAGTAACTATTTTTTTGCAGCAAATTTATCTTTCTCTGCTTCTGGTGGAGCTTTTGAAATGCTAAGTAGCATGATTTCGAAAGCCTGGAATCATATGAGACCTGTATGACAACTTGCATTTATATCTCAAGTGCTTCCAACATATGAAATATTGTGAAATTTGGGCAGTACTTAAGGCATTTTACTCAACATTTTTTTTGCTACAGAAACTTTTCTCCCTCTGCCAAATTATATTGTTGCTTCTTGACTTGCCAAATGGACCTGAGATGTAAGTGCAAGTGATTTCCTCAGGGTCTTTGTGACTCCGAAGGTTTAATCAGAGCTTTATCAATGTTGTGGGTTTTCTTGAATTACAACACGCTCCACTGTTCGGTTTTATTATTTCCCGTTAAGACATGATATAAATTTCATTTCTGTTTCTCTGTTCCTCTTTGGTCAATGGTGTGGGAGTAAATTGGGAGTGTTTTTTGATGAATGGGTCGCGGGTCAATCATGAACACCTTGGGTGAGATTATACAGTCTGTGAAGCACTTTATAGTATATTCTGTGAAACGCTTTGAGACGTCTCAGTGGTGTGATAAGGCGCCATATAAAATGCAAGGATTATTATTATATTATTGGGGATCGATGGATTTGATTGATGGTACAAATGGGCTTTAATTTTCCCACGCCTTATGCTCATGGGCCAGCCCGTGACACAGCACTATTCCGATGGCTTGAGTTCACGTAATCTGTAATCCAGTTCCTGAACCAGCTGGGTCCATGGGGCCAGTCGATCTGGGTCATCGGCCAGACCTGGGAGGGACAGACCCATCCTTGAGTACAGGGAATCTTCCCACTCAGCTCCTGTTAACCCTGTAATATGGGCAGGGTGATCCTAGCTGGACAAGCAGTGAGGAGCTTGCCAGACAGTGTTCTCAATGACAAGTTATATAGTTCCAGCTAGTTAAACTCCAGCAGTTACCCCAACGCACACTCTGGGGTCCTCAAGCCTTGACTCTTGCTGACCTGCACCTAACACTGTCCAGAATTAGTAAGCAGGATGCGTCTTAGGGAGAGAGTGCATTGCATTCAACACGCGTGTATTGGAAAACTGCAACTCTGGCCGGTTTGGATACTCTTAAGCGCGGCTGTGGGTTTGCCCACGTGTCAAACACCCGGCTGACCAAAAAAATAGCAATCTCTGGATAAATCCATCAGTGAGAATGAGTGCGACCCAGTTAGCAGCACGTGATATGTACCCGTGTCTTCAGTTCAGAGACGAGAAAGAAACATTGTCGGATAGGACAGATCTTTTATTATCTGAGATGAAAATTCAACGTGTTAGGAAGGCCAGGGGAGGAGTGCAAGGCTTCTCCCGGGCTGTACAGAGTTGGAGGGTTACACCAGGCCACAGGGAGAGGCCATCAGGCACAGCAGCTACACTTGTCGCCGGTTTTCTCTTTGCACACGCAGCCATCGGCGCATTTAACGCATCCGGCGGGACAGCAGCTGCAGCAGCCTGAGAGAGCAACCAGTCAGTGACAGCTTCAACAACAACAACAACAACTTGCAGTTATATCCTGGACAATGTCTCAAGAGCGCTTCATTGGACTCGGCCTCACTGCTCCAAGCTCTCACTCCATTCATCCATCCAAATCTCTTATATATTTAGTCCATCCTCTCTTTTTCTACATTCAATAATTGTGTCTCTTTCTCTCCATTTCTCCATCCAAGTCTCTCTCTCTATTTAATGACACAGTCTCTCTCTCTCTCTATTCAGTGACCCAGTCTCTCACTCTCTCTCTCTCTCTCCAACAGTTACTTACTTTTCCTGCAGATCCCAGCTTTGTTCTTGGAACATCTGCAGTCGGAACATCTGCACAATTTATCACACGAGCAGCAATCTGTGAACAGAGAGCCCAGAGTGACACACGCTGACAGGCACTTGCGGTCAGACGGTTTCCTTTTGACCGATTTAAGAAAGATCCCACAAGTAGAGGTTTATGAGTGGTGAGAGAGGACAGTCCAGTACTCACCCTCCAGGCAGAGGCAAGGCTGAGAGTCGGACATCTTCGGCAAAGCTCTCCTTTCTTCAGTTCTCACAAGTCTGCAAGTCCACGACTTCTCGATCTCCGCTCCTGTCTCCCTCTGTGCTGCACAGGAGTCGGGTTTTATACGGTTTAGGAGGAACAGCGAGTGCAAAAAAAGAAGAACCCAGTGCAACTGCGAGAGACTGCACTCAGGACCCGAGGGAGGGAGAGGGGGGGGGGAGGGTCACAGTCACCAGGAGGCGGACAGGACACTGGGATTCTCTTATCCTTCGGGGATCTGAGTGCAACATTGGTGTCGTCTGCAATCAGAGTGTCGGGGATCGTCCCGACTGGAAAGAGCAGAGTTGTGTGCTGTGTGCTCTTAAGCTGTAACGTGTGCACATTATTATATCACTGCAACTACAGGTGTTTCTTACTCATTGTCAGATACTCTTGTGAGGCAACCTGGCCTTTGATCAGTTTTGCATTGTCTCGAGACCTTGAGTAAGTAATGAAGAATCTTGTCTTAATCCTCCTCACCTTGTGTCTGTGATATCATCATACCGCAGACCCCCAGCCCACTCTGCCCCGTCCCCAGCCCCCCTCCCCCCCCTCCCCAGCGAGTATAATTGTATTTTAAACACAGAGATGGCTTTGTTTTAAATCTAATTGACTCCACAATTCCAGCGGATGTGCAAAGTTACCTCTGTGATCTGACTCAGGCCACTCAACCAATTCAGACCTGCTCCACACACACACACACACACGCAACAACAACAACTTGCAAGTTATAAAGCACCCTTCGTGCAGGGTAGGGTCCCGGAGCCCTGAACAGATTCAGAGCCTGACGCTGAGCTGGAGGGAGGGAGGAGGTGACTATAAGCACGGTCGAAGAAGGTCTGAAGACGTGATCTGAAAAGGGGGTACGGAAGGGGCAAGGCAGAGGGTTTGAGAGAGAGAGATCCAGAGTTTTGGTGGTTAGTGACTGAAAGCACGGCCGCCAATTGGTGGAGCAGAGGGGGAACGAGAGAGAACCAGGAACCAGGCCCACCATCGTCAAGTGAGGTTTCAGCAATGTTGCCCTCCTCTCTCTCTGTAAACCTTCTCCTTAAATCTTCACCTCAAACCCTCCCAGTCTTCAAAACCTCTCCAATAAACCTTCTGTTTTGACTCTGCCTTCTGCCACCTTCCTCCTCGTCCCATCAGCTTGAACTCCCACCCTGGCCAGGCTCCTGCTTAGTGAGTCTCTGTGAAGCTCCATGAGTTACTTTGCTGCGTGAAAGGAGTTGTGTAAGCACAATTTGTGGTTGATCTTAAGTCAGTTGGAATTTTTTTCTTTTGTCTTGTCGGCCACTTTTTTTTTTTTGTCTTTTGCCACTCGGCCCCAAAAAACAAACTGGGATGAGCACAACTTTACAACCACAACTTTACAACCATAACTCGTGACCCAATTGCAACAGCGAGTCATAAGAATGAGTCACGATGATAATGCAGATTCCATTTGCATGCCGATATTTTAGTTGAAGAAAAACAAATTAAAAATTCTTTAAAGTAACATATTACAAATAAAAATGTTTTCACCATGCAAGGACGTGCCTCTGTCTCTCATGTCTGCTTTCTGTCCCTCACTAGTGGAGTCCTGTAGCTCAGTGGTTAGAGCATTCGCTTTGTAAGTGAGAAACTTGAGTTCAATTCCAGGCAGAGGGCGAAACCTTGGGCAAGTTTCCTTACTCCACACAGAGCCTAATAATAATCCCTCCAAAAACCAAAAACAATAATAAATTGGTCATTTTCAATCTACGACTGTTTGTGGGACATTGCTCTGCGCAATTGGCTGCTGCGTTCGCCCACAAATATACAGTCAATTCACTTTACAGTATATTCTGTGAAGCGCTTTGGGACGTCCTCCCGACGTGAAAAGCGCGATATCAAATGCAAGGATTATTATTATTATTATAACACATGGCAGCTCAGTCCTCTATACACTGCTCCATTTTAAGGACATAAGACATTGTTAGGCCAAAGAAGACCGAGGTCCATGTTGTTTGCATCCCACCATCCGGGCAGTCGCTTGACATGTCGTGTCCCAAACTATATACTGTATCCCCAGATATTATTTTCTAGCAGAAATCTATCTCATTTGTTCTTGAAACCACCTGATATTTTTTGCTTCCACCATCTCCCTAGGGAGCTGGTTCCATAAGTTAACTACTCGCTCACTGAAATAGTACATTTACAACAACAACAAAATGACATTTGTATAGCGCCTTTCACGTCGGGAGGATATTTAAGTAGCACTTTTGACACCGAGAAGATGTCTCAAAATACAACCGACGGGTAGCCTGAGTTGGAAGGGGGGCAAGTGGCCAAAAGTAGGGCTTTAGGTATTAAAAAGAGATAGTTTTGAAGATGGTGGGGGGAATGGAGGTTCCAAGGTGGGGGAATGCTGGGATGGAGCTCCAAAGAGCGGGGGCAGAATGGTTGAAAGCTTGCCCACCAAGTAGTGGGGGTCGGATAGATGGGGGAACATGGAGCAGGTCTGTGTTTGCTGAGCGAAGAGAGTGTCTGGGGAATTGTGATCGCGGGAGAGGAGGGGAGAACTCCAAAAAAACAGATAACCTATTGAATTCACCATCACCAGTCCCCATTCTCAGCAATGAAGTGAGTGACAGTAAGAGACTCACTTCTCTTTTTGAACAGTGCCACGGAATCTTTAACGTCCACCTGGTTAGGCAGGTGGGATCTCGGTTCAACGTCTCACCCAAAGTATGGAAACTGTAAACACACGAAAGAGGAAACTTAACCACGGACAAGCTCCTCCCTTAGACGGTAAATGGAAACAAAAAATATATTGTGGAATCACGGTTCGGACTACAGAGTAGCCTCCCATTTGTGTTAAGGTTATTTTCCTTAGTAAGACTTGTAGAATATATAATAATCCTCGCGTGTGAGGTGGCGCCTTATCGCATCGTTGGGACGTCTCAAAGCGCTTCACAGAATATACTGTGGAGTGACACAGAGCGTTTTACGGCCGAAATGCAGCAGCCGATGGCGCACAGGGGCGTCGCACAAGCAGCCACGGACTTTTTGGACGGAGTCGCCGCACTTTGAGACGTCTGGAAGACGTGACGAGGCGCCCGGTCAAAGGCGCGGATTATTATTTTATTTTCTCATTGGTGGGTGGGTGGGGGGGGGGGGTGAGGTGGGGGGGGTTTGTGGGGGCGCCCGCGGGCAGGGTTTGGAAGCCCACGACACCGCGATGAAAGGGGCAGAAGCTGTTTTGATTCCCAAATTGCCCCCAAACCCCAAAGTTGGAAAAAAAGAGAGAGCTTCTGTGTTCGAGCCCAACCTCACGGCTGGTGGACGCCTGTGGCTGCCGCTGGGGGGCAGTGTTCGCTGCTGGTGGGAACTGCTGTGTGTGTGTGTGTGTGTGTGTGTGGGGTGTGGAGGGGGGACCCCGGAACCCCGGAACCTCTGGTGCTGCCGCTGCGCTCCGCCCGGAGCTTCCGGCTGTTACACACGGGGCACAGAGAGCGAGAGGGAGGGGGAGGAGCGACGGCTCCCGCTGACGTCCCGCTGACGGCTCCCGCGCTCGGGGCCGAGCGCTCGGCCGAGGTATGTTTCTCGTGAACTACAGCAGCTCCTCGGACGATGAGAGCGAAGCGGCGGGCGGCGCTGAAGGAGGCGGCGGCGGCGGCGGCGGCGAGCGGAGGCCCCGCGGGGTGAGTGGGACCGAGCAGAGTCGGGCGGCGGCGCCATCTGGTGGTCGGTTCGCGCAACAGCGAAGAGTCCTCCTGTCCCTGTCCCTGGTCTGGGGCTGAGGTCCTGGTCTGGGGCTGAGGTCCTGGTCTGGGGCTGAGGTCCTGGTCTGGGGCTGAGGTCCTGGTCTGGGGCTGAGGTCCTGGTCTGGGGCTGAGGTCCTGGTCTGGGGCTGAGGTCCTGGTCTGGGGCTGAGGTCCTGGTCTGGGGCTGAGGTCCTGGTCTGGGGCTGAGGTCCTGGTCTGGGGCTGAGGTCCTGGTCTGGGGCTGAGGTCCTGGTGGCATTGCACTGGGGCTGTCGGGGGGGGTGGGGGGTGGGGGGGGGGGGGCAGTGGTGGCCGCAGTCACAGCCCAGAGGATTTTTTGGGGTGTATTTAGGTATTACAATACCTTTTGTAGCCCAAAGCCCACCCGACACCAGCCCCGATGTCGTTACCAATTTTTGACCAATGTTTTAGGTTTTAGGGCTTTGTAAATGCTGTGTGAGGAAAGGTCTTCAAGGGGTGGGGGGGGGGGGGGGGGGTGGGTGGGAGTGGGGGGGAAACACACACATGTATTGCAGGTTTAAGTTGGAAAAGTTTAAATTAGTTTTAAAATTAGGCACGCGCCCCCCCCCCCGCCCCCTCCCGCCGACTGCCCAGTGCCCTGGGACGCCTTTCCGACGCGAAGGGTGCAATACAAGTGTAATTCGCTGTTTTACGCAGTCACTACACTTCGTGGTAAATCCTGTGAAACTCTTTGAGGCGAAAGGCGGCGCATCAAATGGAAGGATTATTATTACTGTGCGTTACACAAATGTGAGTTTCCTTTGAGTGCTCCAATGTTTTCGTGTGTGTGTGCAGTGAGCCATCCCGGTGCCTTCCTATCCCGGACAGTGTCATGGTTATGTTCGAGGACACGGAAGAGCAGTCAGACGACAGCAGTAAGCACAGCGGACGTATCCGCTCCTTTCCTCACCAGCGAGGCAACTGGTCGACGCTTGTGTATGTGGACTGTAAGTCTCTGGCCCCCGCCTCAACCTGCTCGAAGCCCTGCACATCCAACAATCGTTTATTAACTCTTAAACACGGGGACTCCCGCGAGCTCGGATGGTCCAACGGAGATCACTCCTAGATTGTCTTCATTTTCCACAGCTCTTAAAAGGGGTTTCAGAAAACCGGCCTCTGCATTGAGACTGAATTTTAAGAATTTTCCAAAAATTCACGTGAACTTAAATGTTACAGCAATGGCCTTAAGCCTAAGACTGTAAGAAATTTCAGGGTTCTAAGGCTGTCAGTTCGGATCAATCTGATGCACTTCTTAGTGTCTTGATAGCAAAAGGAAATGTAATAAAAAAAGTACCTAAAGTTTTTTCTGGATGGATTTATAATGGCAATTAGCCCTGCGTGAACCTTTCACAATGGGAGGACATCTTCAAGCACTTCACAGGATTTATTGTAAAGTGCAGTGATTGTGTATTTTGTGGGCGAAACACAATAGCTAATTTGCCAACAGCAATGTCCCACAAAGAGCGATAAAGTGAATGCCAAATAACGGTAACAATCTTTCTATTTCTCAAGGTAAATGTTGTTAGTGTTGAGGTAACAATATGAAGAAAGAACTTGCATTTTATTGTTGCATTTTTAAAACATTGAAATGCTTCACAGGAATTAGTGTCATGTCTTTTCGTGCCTGTAATTTGCAGATATAAGTGGCAACTCCTTTGCACGTAGCAAAGCCCCATAAATAACCTTGAGGTGAACAAGCAATTAATCTGGAGTACTGGCTCTCCATTAACCATTAATTCACTTTGAATCGCAGTATTATGAAACTTAACTCCAGTTAGGAATAATCTGTGTGAGGTAGGTCGTGTGTTCCTTGTGCAGAGCTGTGTGTTGTTGCCTTTCCTGTGTACCATGTGGTGCTGTGGCTTAAGGCTGCGTTGCAGTTAAAGATTATTAAACCTGGTTTCTATCAGATAACCCTGAGGAGGAGTTTGTGGAACTCACTGACCTGCTGCTGTCCCACCTTCTTGAGGTTGGGGCTTCCATGACCAGGATGCTGGAGTTCCACATCAGCCTTTCACAGACCGTGGTGTTGCGCTATCACTGGATAACCCCCTTTGTGCAGTCCTTAAAGGACTTGCTGTCTCCTTATGACAGGTAAGACTGAAGTTACTGACCTATATGTTGCTAATACATTCGATACGTTTCGCCCACAAACTACACAGTCAATTCACTTTACAGTATATTCTGTGAAGCGCTTTTGAGACACAAACAGGACACCAGGAGAAATTCCCTTTTTGTTTCGAGTAGTACCATGGGATCTTTAACGTCCACTGAACAGGCAGACTGGACCTCAGTTTAAAATCTCATCCAAAGGACGGCACCTCTGTCAATGCAGCACACCCACATCACTGCATTGGAGTGTCAGCTCAGACTATGCGAGTTCCAAGGCCCTACGTGGGATTTGAACCCACAATCTTCAGGGCGAGAGTGCTGCCACTGAGCCAAGCTAACACACTTTGGAGTGTAGTGACTATTGTTTAGGAAGTTGCAGCAGTTTAAACAGGGCAGTGGTGATTGGCCAATTACAGCGCAGTATTTGAGGATATCATTTTGATGAGTGGACACTGGGAGAATGTCCTGTTCTTTGAAATAGCAGATGGGATCTTTAACAACCTCCAGAACAAGCTCCTCTTAAAGCTGATGTCACTTAAAGCCTGAAACGCAGTTGCCGTGTCTGATATATTGCTCAGGGTGGCAGACGCTTTCCTATTCTCTCCGTTTCTGCCGACTCCTCGTCTCTCGGGTGGGGATCCAAGCCTCATTACGTTCACTGACGCTCGTGTTACGTTTTCTTCTCGTTTGGGTTACTGTCATTGACTTGTGGAATTACTCTGCTCACCGCAACAGGTTTTACTGTGTCTCGGACAAGGTGAAGATCTACTGTAACCAAGAGAAGACCAGGTAGAGTGTGCGCTTGGAATCACCCAGTAGATGGCGTCACCCGAGATCCAACCTGTCCCAAGCTCTCTGCAGCCTTTGAGATTGGTAAATCAACCAAAACCTTTGGCCGTGGCTCCGGCAACACTTACTTTCCCTTCTATTGTATAATAAAAAGATGTCTTTCTGGTCAGTGGCTTGTTTCCACTACGTGACTCCTCAACGAGTTGAGGTCACTTTAAAACCATCTCCTGTGGACGTGAAAACCCTAACTCCCAGTGACCAATGGTTATTTCTCATTCATTGGACGTGAAAGTCTGATCATCAGCTGAGTGCTGCTGGGATACACCAACAACAACAACTCACATTTAAAGAGCGCCCTTCACATTGGACGGTGTCTCGGAGTGCTCGTATACCCAGCAGCTCGGACAGTGAGTGTCAGCAGGAAAAATGACGCAATCATACCCAAGCCCAAATCTGTCCCCTCGATGTCCACAGGGTGTCCACAGTCTTGGCCGGATGTGGGGTGGTCTTCACTGGTCCACAATCGGTTAGTTAACCTTGTTGGTTTTACTCTCCCTTTCCATGAGGCACCGAGGCCAGTTGAACTTCTGAGTTGCTTGTAATTGTACTTCACGATGAGTTAAGAAGCGTTCTCCCATCTTGCAGGACCTTCCTGGGTTTGGAGGTTTCCGCTGGTGACAAGTATCTCCTCGAGCTGGTCCATGAGGTGGACAAATGCATGGAGGAGTATGATCTGAAAACGTTCTATAAGGTGTGACCATCTCAACGTTCAACAACAAGTGAATACAGTGTTGGTGGTTCAGGCTCTCAGCATAACAACAACAACAGCATCGCAGAGCGCTTAACAATGCGGAGCCTAATGCCGAGCCAGGGGGAGGGAAAGGTGACCATAGGCACGGTCAAAGAGAAAGATCTTCAGACCCAACCTGAAAACGGGGAAAGAGGGGGCAAGGCAAAGGGAGTTCCATAGTTTCGGGGCATATTGGCTGAAGGTATGGCCGCCGATGGTGGAGCAGAGGATTTGAAGGACAAAGAGGAGGCCGTATCCAGTGGAGCGGAAGCAGCGGCTACTGCTGTGGGAAGAGAGGAGGTTGGAGAGATGGGGGGGTGCCAAGGCGTGGATGAATTTAAACACTAGAGTGAGGATCTCGAAGTCGATCTGCTTTGTGACAGGGAGCCAGTGGAGTTTGGCAAGGACTGGAGCAATCGAGTGCAGAGTTTAGTGCGGGTGAGAATGTGGACTGCGGAGTTTTGGATGAGTTGAATTTTGTGAATAGTGGAGGAGGGGAGACCGGCGAGGAGGGCGTTCGAGTAGTCCAGCTGAGAGGTGACACAAGAGTGGACATGGGTTTCGGCAGCTTGTGGAGTGAGATATTGTCGGAGAGAGGGCAATGTGGTGGAGGTGGAAGAAAGTAGTCCGGGCCAGGGACCAGGTGTTGGGGAGGAAGGATTACTGGAGATCGAACCGGATGCCTAAGTTGCGCACGGATTCAGAGAGTTTTAATCACAGCAGCCAGTGTGGTGGCATGTTGCCTACTGGGGAATTGCTCTTCACAACAAGCAGCTTGCGTATGAGTATTAAGTATTGCCTTCCTCTTATATGGTCCAATAATTTCCACACTATGGTTTTGCGGAACATTTTCAGAATCCTCTGTAGGAAGAAGTGTGTTCGATAGCATTGGTAAACGTCCTCACCGTTATTTTAAGATTGCTTCCTTGCTTTTAGGATCCCGCTACCTGAAGGAAGAATTGTTGAATATATAGCTTGTCGGTGGCCTTCGATATTTTCAACCCGTCAATCAGGTCACTCTTTAAATGTCCTCCACGAACCCAAGTAATCTAACCGATCTTTAGCCAGCTTCTCCTTGTGACTTAAGCAGTTCTGGAAAGACTTTACCAATTGTGTAGAAATGTTGACTAAGCTGCATTGTAAGTCATGTGCCTCTTGCATTTTAACAGAGCCCTTCCTTTCACATTAGCCTGGGCTGGTGCTTGGGAGATGCTACTGCTCAGCTTGCAAAACACCAGCAGGAATTACAGGTAGGCACTGAAGCCAAATTATCTGCTCATTCCTCATGGCTCATCCCTCCAGCGCTGGGGAGTAGCCTGGTTATAGTTTGATTTCACAAGTAATAAAGTTATTTTAAAGTTCCAATGGTATGTGTTTTTTTTAAGAGATATCAGCTTGGCTCAGTTGGTTGCATTCTTGCCTATGGGTCAGCTTGAGCTCATAGTCTTGGCTTACACTCCAGCACAGTAGTAGGAGAGCATTACATTGTCGGAGGAGCCGTCCTTCAGTGAGACGTTAATCTGAGGGCCCTGTTCTTCAGGTGGACATCAAAGACCCCATGACACTATTCCGAGAGAGAAGGCAGTTTCTCCTAGTTTCCTTGCCAAACAATACTCTATAAATTAGTCTCGTGGCGGTGGCTGTTTGTGGGACATTGCTGTGTGTTAAAGTGGGGCTGCCTGGTGTGCTTGCAGTAGCAGCAACTTGCATTTATACAGCTCTTCACTTGGGGCAGCGTCTCGATGCACTGCAATAGCAGTCGCTGCACTTTACATTAATTAGTGTAAAGCATGTTTAGATGCTTGGATGAGATGTGATAAAAATGAAAGTTCTTTCTCGTAGTCATCATATTGGGTGTTGGATGTCAGAGCTATTCACAGTGCAGTCCAGAGAACCACACAGGAATGGGGAGAGATAAGGTGTATTTTACTCTCTCTCTACCCTATTATATACCGCGATATGGTCCCTCCTAAGATGTCTGTTTTTGAGGCTGAAGATGCTGAGCTGATTCAGTCGATCCTCACAGCCTGTAGATGCCTATATATGTACGTGGCGATTGAGAGCGACCTTGGGCCTGTCAGGCATTTAGGGGAGTGATCTGATCATGGTGTTGAAATGCCCTAATAAACAAGTAACAAAGAATCACTCTTTATAACGATGATAGGCCCACTTCATATTAAACACTAGGGCTATTCTTTGGGTCAGTACGTACGTCATGTAAGGAGCTCCACCCTGTTACCCATCTGACCATGTCATTAAGAAACCATTGCATCGCCCTTTATGAGAGCGGAGTGTATGGAGGGCGAGGAGAGAGAGAGGGTGTGTGTGTGTGATGTTGTATGAGTAATTGTCCAGACCAGACCAGTAAAGATATGATGCTGTAAAGTGACATTTTGTCCTTAAAAATATAACCTGGGTCAAGCAGGACATGTTATTCTGTTGTTCTGTTTGTGAAACTCTTATCTTTAATACTTTCTCTTCGCCACTGTCTGCACACAAATTCTGAAATGTCCTTTCTATTCTGCGTAACCTACCTTGTTTATTTATCTTATCTTTGTGTTAAAAGTTTCAGAATAGTTTTCGGAGAATTTTCCCAGTATTTGGTACAGGTGCAGTACTCATTGTTTGCAGGAGGTGGCAACACCAGCCTTACCTAACATTGAGGTCGGAATTTTTGCAGTGCAAATTTAACGGGTGCCTGTTATTAAACTGGCTCGTAACGTCATAGAGATGCAATCACTTTGCGTATGTTATTGCTGCAGAGATTAGGTTCTGGTTGTGTGAAAGCTATTTCCTGTAAAATGCTGAGAGCCCTTTAAATGTCAGGAGTCCCAAGAATCAGCATTAAATGTTTCGTGTAATTGCTTCACGAGAGTTACTGCACTTACCAAATGAGGAATTTGAATGAGCTTCATTCGCAGTCCCACTGGGCCAGGAATGTTGCACCTCAAATCATTGCATTAGCCCATCCAGCCTGCTCTAGGTTTTGCTAACCAGAACACCAGGAGAAACCCCCTTCTCTTTTTAAGGCACAGTCATAGGATTTTTAATAATCATCTGAGCAAGCAGGCAAGAGCCTGGGTTTAACGTCTCGCCCGATGGACGCAACCTCTGACAATAGGCGGTTCCCCCAATGGCTGCAGTGCAGTGTCAACCTGGCCTGTAAGCTGTTCAACCCAATCTCTTCTGAGCCAAGCCAACTCGTTCTGTCTTCCTGTGCTCAACTATTTTGAACTTAAAAGGGTTTCAACGTACGGTGTTACTGCATTCACCTCGTATTTAAGATGTTTTTGTTTGTTTGCAGGATATAGTGGATAAGTTTGAGGACAGCGCCAGGATCCTCCGGGTATACGCAGATCAGGTTCGGTGCAAAACCGGGAACAAGATATTTTCCTTCCCTTTACAATAGTCCTGGCCACTGATCTCCCCAGCGGGACTGGATCCCACAGAGAACTCGCTGCAGGGACAGCTCAGGGAGAGGTCTTGTTTGATTCACACGTCTTCAGCGGTTACAGAGGGAACTGATTCCCATTCCTCAATGCACCAGTCTTGCCGACTGACTGTTGACCTGTGAAGTCTGCAATACCGTGGCTGGTTTATATCGAACACCCCTCTGCTGAGAACTGTTACAATACATTTTTTGAATGGAAAACGTTGCACAGTGAAAATCAAATAGGATTTCACCCCCAATCTCAGGCTTTGTAAATATTAGATTCTCCTTTGTATCGTACCACAGTAGTGCTGATGCCATGTCAAGAGTGAGTGACCCGAGTCTATCTCAAGCTGAAAGTTCCAGGTTCTTTATGCACTTTACAATTTTGGGTAAAGCTACAGTATGTGCGTGAATCATGAGTGGAAGTACTTTGTAAATCTGATCAGCTGTTAATCTTGGAATAACTTGTGTTAAAGGTTTATTTACATCAAATCAGCATTGACTCGTGTCTTACTGACCTCCGGGTGAACAGCTGGCAACTGTTTAGAGTTGTCAGTTAGTTTGTGTTGTAGAATTGCACCCCAACATTGGTTAGCAACTTCTGAGAAGAGACAAAATTGGATAGGGAGAGGAAGGAAAATTTAACAAGAACTCACTCTGTGATGATAACAATCTTTGCCTTTGATGTAGTGCCTGATCACATTGTTGAAACGTCTCAAAGCACTTTACATGGTTTACTCGATTGTGTAGTGACTGTATTTGTCGGCTGACAGTGATTGAGGCTGGAAATTCAGCATTTTGGATACAATGGATGGTGGGAAGCCTGCTCTATTGTGTGACCACAGGGGAATGTTCCACACAGAATATCTGTTGCCAGGCTGACTGACCTGCAAGCTGTGGTTTCACATTGAGGTTGAAAATGTAATTGCAAATGATCACAAGTACTAAATCCTGCGGGAACTCACAGACAAATGTACCTGCAGCTCCTCGTTTATCTGTGGAACATTAAGGATTGTGTGACCAGTCTGATTCATTAACAGTTGCTCTCATGCTGTTGTTGTTAGGTTTTTAAACTAATAGCAGATCTCCCAATCTGCACCGGACTGTATTTTATTAAAGCATCTCCCAACTCTGGTCCTGCACTGGGATTGGCTGTTGACATAATAAACCTTGCATTGATACAGCACCTTATCGTGTCTTCGAGACGTGTTAAAGCGTTTCACAGAATATACTGTAAAGTGAATTGACTGTATTTTGTGGGCAAAACATGGGCAACATCGTGCAGTAATCACAGATGTTCAGTGATCAGGACCTTCCTGTCAGTAGCTCAGACCGCATCAAAGGCAGCAGATTTCTTTTGCCAAGTGCGAGGACAAATCTGGGTGCAAATAGTGCAGTTTTACAGCCACGATTGGGGTTCAACGATATGGCAGCAGTGGAACTAACCATTCTGTTTAAAGCCTGGGACAAAAAGGGCTGCCAGAAAAGACCATCTTATTCTGTTTCACTGAAATAGTTGGGAACCCAAGAACAGAGGAACCAAAGTCACTTGTATTTTGTGCTTCATAGCTCATTTACTTACTGAGGGAAAAAGACATATTATTTCACATTGATTCAATAAACATGGTTACAATCGGCAGGCATACAATATCATGCTCACATAGAGCAGGTCATTATAATGACAATATAATAATAATAATAATCCTTGCATTTGATATAGCGCTTTTCACGTCGGGAGGACGTCCCAAAGCGCTTCAAACTTCATAGACAGCAGACGAACATCTCCGGCTTCTCTTGCTTGGGAACGCTGATAATAGCGGGCGTTCAGTCTATTGCGGTCACGTTCTTGTCAAAGTATGTTTATTTCTTCTTTCATTGTTACTGGAACTTGGCTTGAGTCATAGAACCTCAGGTGAAAGTCCTGTCTTCCTGGAGAAACAAAACATACTCACTCCCCCCGCAACTTAAACTGACAAAGTGCAGCTCAGTTATCCTTTTATATCACGGTCCTCTTCTTTACATATGAGGCTGATATGTGCAGGTCCGTCTGCACATCTTCACCCACCTGACACCTGCTCGCTGTTTAATCAGCCGGCCTTGGGCACTGAGCTGATTCTGATTAAGACAATAATAGGACCAGTACATCAACAATTAACACAACTAGCTGCACTAACAAGTTCACTTCTTGGTTCCCTCTGCCTCCTCGTCCTCCTTGACCTCTCTGCTGCCTTCGACGCCGTTGACCACTCTATCCTCATCCACCGCCTCTCCTCTCACCTCAACCTTCGTGGCTCTGTGCTTGACTGGTTCAGATCGTACCTCTCACACCATCTCCACTTCATCTCCACAAACGGTTTCTCCTGTAGCCCCCGCACAGTCTCGTGCAGCATTCCTCAGGGCTCTGTCCTTGGTCCCCTCTTCAATATCTATATGCTCCCTCTTGGTGGCAACATCCGCAGACATGGGGTCAACTTCCACATGTATGCAGATGACACCCAACCCTACCTCTCTGCCTCCACCCTTGACTCCAGGACCACTGCTGTCCTGACAGAATGTCTGTCAGACATCGTCCTGGATGAGAACTAACTTTCTTCAGTTGAACATCAACAAGACCGAGGCTCTCCTGATTGGTTCCCATCAGCACCTCCACACTTCAGCTGCTGACAGCATCACCATCCATGGATGCACACTCCACCTCACTGAGTCAGTCCAGAACCTTGGCGTCTTATTTGACCCTCAACTATCCTTTTTACCCCACATCTGCTCCATGACCCGCTCTGCCTTCCCCCAACTCCACAATGTCGCCCGGCTCTGCCACTGTCTCACGCCACAGGCCGCTGAAACCCTCATACACGCCTTCATTACATCGAGGCTTGACTATGCAAACTCACTGCTTGTCGGCCTCCCCAACTCCTCCCTCCATAGGCTGCAGATCATCCAGAACTCTGCAGCCCGTATCCTCTCCCGCACCAGACCCTCTGACCCTATCACCCCTATCCTCGCCCGACTCCACTGGCTTCCCATCACACAGAGGATACAGTTCAAGATCCTGGTCCTCACCTTCAAAGTCCTCAACCTCTGCGACCTCCTAACCCCCTACCATCCTGTTTGCTCCATCCGCTCAGCGGGCTCCGGCCTGCTTTACGTCCCCCACCTCGCCCGCCCCACCATTGGCGAGTGGGCTTTCTGCCACTCTCCCCCACCCTCTGGAACTCCATCCTGCAATCCCTCGCTTGCCTCCTCCATGCCCCATCTCAAGCCCCTCCACTTCGACCGTACTTTCGATCACCCTGCTTCCCCCCCTGCCCTCCACCCTCCCCAATCCCGATCCCCAGCTCGGGTCCGAGACTCTTAGACTGTCCAACATCTTGGGACGTCCTCCCGACATGAAAGGCGCTATACATATGTAATTTTGTTGTTCTTCTCTCAAACAATTTAACTCTTCAAAATGCAAGGTACAGCAAACTGGCATTTGCTCGTAACATTTTATCTAGAAATCTATCAGCTGCCTGTAACATCTGTTACGCTTCGCTTGCTAGAGATTCTGCAACTATGCTTCATTGAATTAGGATTGTAGTTCGACAGGTCAGCTTGACAAGAGCTAACAAGCATAAGCATTGGCTGACTTCACTCAGACAAAGCAATCATTCGCTTCTGATCACAACAGTGAACATTTCCAGCTTGTTCTGTAGAACGCATCTTGTGGAATGACAGTCAGATGAGCTGTGGCTCCAGGACTGATCAAAGAGCTACCTGTGGTGAGGCTGTCACGTGATTGATAACTTCCACCACCGATAATTAGTGTAGGTGGTTTTAGAAACGTTTATGTACTTTCACAGTAAGCGGTCTGAGACGCTACCTTGCATGAGGGGAGAAAGTTGTACTTTTAAATGTTACAGACTCTCCCCTGGGTCCCTGCTTGTAGTTTAAGCTCCATTTTAATAAAGATTCTTCCTCGGTCCAGGAATGTCTAACACTGGAACTCGGTTACATAGGGAATAGCTTAATCACCTAGATCTGGTCACATCAGGGATTGCTTTTTTAAACAGTTAGCTCCTGCTTAAAGGGAATGCTTTACAGCTGCAAAATGTTAACCTCCCTCTCAAGGTTAAAGTGATTCATGTCCTGAAATGCTGTGGTCATTGCCAGGGTGTCATTCTTTCCTCTGGTAAGTGGATTTTATGTGGTCCTTGCTACTTGATTCACAGAGGACTTACAACCATTGCGTTTGCAGGACTCTGACCTGCTTCACATCCCCCACCTCACCAACCCCAACTTTGGTGGGCAGGCCTTCTGCCACTCTGCTCCCACCCTCTGGAACTCTATTCCACAGTCCCTCCGCCTTACCCTCTTCCTTGCCTCCTTCAAGACCCATCTCAAGACCTTCCTCTCGCCCACTGCCTTCCACCCTCCCCAATCCCGACACCCCCCAGCTCGGGTCCAAAACACTGACTGTCCAGCACCTTGGGACGTCCTCCTGACACAAAAGGCGCTATACCCATGTAATTTTGGTGTTGATTATAGCACACTTGACATTAAGGGGCTTCACTGCATTTACCCTTAAGTGTAGTTCTTATTTATTTTGTAGGGAAGGGTTAATGCGTGAACAGCAATCTCACACAGCCGTGATTGTGAAGTAGCTCACACAGTGTGTGTCGGTAAACAAGTGACAAGTCATTAGCCATTCCAACTGGTTAGTGGGAAGGGGCTTTTTTTCCGCAAAACCTGTTGTTCCCACCACAGACAAGACACCAGAATCAGTAACTTTCACAAACTAATGTTTATTCCATGCATTTAGAAACTTTTACATAATTAGTGCAAAAAAAGCAAGTACAAAAAGCTTTCAAAATAAACCATAGGCAGTAGTTTTAACATCTCACCACTAGTGGTGCAGAACTCAAGGTAACATTTGAACAATTCTCGGTTTGAAATGAGGTCATCTCCACAGAGAGAAGGAATGTCACTGACAACAGCTGCACTTTTCACTGGCTCCTTTGCACACGCAGCCCTGGGCACACTTACTGCAGTCGGCGGGACAACAGGAGCAGCAGCCTGGAGAGGGATAACAAGAGAAGGGATGAGGTGCAGCTACAGAGACCAATGTAACACATAATCTGCCTTCCATACCGATACCATCCACAAATAGGCACCGTCAAACCCTGCTAATAACTGGATAAAAGGATTTTTTTTACGCTCAAAAAAAAATCTGGATTGAACATTGTAAATAATAGTAATCCTTGCATTTGATATAGCGCCTTATCGTGACTTTGAGGCGTCTCAAGAGCGCTTCGCAGAATACACGGTCGAATGAAATTTACTGTAATATTTTCGTGGACAGAACACGGCAGCAAATTGCACACAGCAGTGACCCCCCCCCCCGGAATAGTGGTGGATTAAGTGGTTTATCATTCCTATTGATGTTTGGTCACCCAACCCACAGGTTCTGGGTGATCCGTTGCGTTCTGTCAGCACTTACTTTTCTTGCAGGACGTGCACTTGCAGCTTTTGCAGGCGCAGTTACCTTTGCAGTTGCAGGTACCGCCTGCAGAGAGGGGGAGAGGGAGAGGGAGAGGGAGGGGGGGGGAGAGAGAAAAAGACACAAAAATACAATGACAAAAACATTCCCCGTTGCATATGTGTGTGTGTGTGTGTGTGCATGGTTGTATGTGAGTGTGCATGGTTGTGTGTGTGTGTATGTGTGTGCATGGTTGTGTGTGTGAGTGTGTGCATGGTTGTGTGTGTGTGTGTGCATGGTTGTGTGTGTGTGTGTGTGCATGGTTGTATGTGTGTGTGTGAGTGTGCATGGTTGTGTGTGTGTGTGTGAGTGTGCATGGTTGTGTGTGTGTGTGTGTGTGAGTGTACATGGTTGTGTGTGTGTGAGTGTGCATGGTTGTGTGTGTATGTGTGTGTGCACGAGTTTGCAAGCGTTTGAAATCATAACCAGATGAAACCACGAAGCATCAGCAAAAATACTCATCACTTACCTTCGGAACATGTGCACGGTGCGTCAGACATGTCTGGTGTGTCTGATGGTCTGTCTGTATCTCTGTCTGTCTGTCTGTGTCTCTCTCTCAGGCTATTTGTTCGCTGTGCTCCAGATCTGCTGTATTTATTGGGACGCGGGCGGTCTGAGACCGGGTGCAAACAGCCCACGAAACCCAGTGCACACCCCACCGCCCTGTGCACACGCTCCTCCAGTGGGAAACGTCAGCCAGAGCTGTGTGTGTGTGTGTGTGTGTGGGGGGGGGGGGGGGTGGGGTGGGGGCTGCAGACGGGTTTGCACACATCTGTCGTAATCCTGTCCGTCTGTGTGTGTGTGTGTGTCTGTCTGTCTGTCTGCTCGGCTTTGCTCCCCTTCCAGATCGTGTGCAAAGCTTTTTGTTTGCTTCTGGTCACAGTAACCCCCCCCCCACCCCCTCCACACTGAGCTCACACACAGACCCCCCCCAGGGGGGGGGGCAACACATAGCCTTTAACTCACACTCACACACACAGAGGCTGCCTGGAACCTGGGGGTTCAGTGGGGTTTCAAGGTTCAATCAAACCCAAACCCCCCCCCATCCCATCCCCACAGCCAACAGCCTGAACCCTGTTACACTGACAGCACCAGTGTCTGGGTATCACGGGGGGAGCAATGCAAAAGATATTTGCCTTTTACCTTTACATCTTTGCAATTTTTTTTGGGGGGGAGTGGGGGGTGAAGGGGATGTAAAAGGAAGTAGTATTTAGCTGCTGAGAGGAGTTGGCGTTTACGTGGAACAGAAAGTTCCTGCATTCAGGAGGAAGTCGAGTGCTGTTTTTTTACTAAGTTCTCTCTCTCTCTCTCCCCTCCTCCTCTCCCTCCTCCTCCTCTCCCTCCTCCTCCTCCACTCCTCCTCCCCCCCACTCCTCCTCCACTCCTCCTTCTCCCCACTCCTCCCCCTCCCCACTCCTCCCCCCTCCCCCCCCACTCCTCCCCACTCCTCCTCCCCCTCTCCCCCCACTCCTCCTCCACTCCCCCTCTCCTCCTCCACACCTTCTCCCCACTCCTCCTCCTCCTCCTCCCCCCCCACTCCTCCTCCTCTCCCCCCACTCCTCCTCCTCTCCCCCCACTCCTCCCCCTCTCCCCCCTCTCTCCCCCCTCTCCCCCCCCCCTCCTCCCCCCCACCCTGTGAGGTTTGGCTCATGTCGGGTTGGACTGGGTTCAGGGTTGAGTTTCCCACTCGTCCGCCCTTTTTTGTGCGGATGGTAATTGGCAGCTTCGTGTTTACCAGAGCCTTTGCTAACGTTTGCACACCACTCGCTTTTTGGAGACGAGGGCACATTCACCCGGAGGGGGGAGGGGAAGGGGGGGGGGGAGCGGAGGGGGTGGGGGGAGGGGGGGTGTGGGGGCAGCAAAAAAACACAGGGCAGACGCTGCCACATTGCGTCTGTGCTCCCGGCAGTGGAAGTCCTGAAGTGCAAGGACTTTGCGGGTGTGGGGTGGGGGTGAGAGGGGGTAAGAGGGGGTGGGGGGTGGTGTGGGGGTGAGGAGGTGTGTGGGGTGGGGGTGAGAGGGTGAGGGGGCTGGGGTGGGGGTGAGGAGGTGTGGGGGTGAGAGGGGGTGAGGGGATGGGGGTGAAAGGGTATGAGAGGGGGTGGGGGTGAGGGGATGGGGTGAGAGGGTATGAGAGGGGGTGGGGGTGAGAGGGTATGAGGGGGTGGGGGTGAGAGGGTATGAGGGGGTGATGGGGGGAGGGGGGTGATGGGGGTGAGGGAGTGGGGGGTGATGGGGGTGAGGGTGATGGGGGAGGGGGTGAGGGAGTGGGGGTGAGGGGTGGGGTGGGGGTGATGGGGGGTGATGGGGGTGGGGGGTGATGGGGGTGGGGTGAGGGGTGATGGGGTGGGCGGTGATGGGGTGAGGGAGTGGGGTGAGGGAGTGGGGGTGGGGGTGATGGGGGGTGGGGTGAGGGGTGATGGGGGGTGGGGTGATGGGGGGTGGGGTGGGGGGTGATGGGGGTGGGGTGGGGGTGATGGGGTGAGGGTGAGGGAGTGGGGTGATGGGGTGATGGGGGGTGGGGTGAGGGGTGATGGGGGGTGGGGTGGGGGTGATGGGGAGTGGGGGTGATGGGGTGGGGGTGATGGGGGGTGGGGTGATGGGGGGTGGGGTGGGGGGTGATGGGGAGTGGGGGTGATGGGGGGGGGGTGAGGGGTGATGGGGGTGGGGTGAGGGGTGATGGGGTGGGGGTGATGGGGGGTGGGGTGATGGGGGGTGAGGGGTGATGGGGGGGGGTGAGGGGGGGGGGTGGGGGTGATGGGGGTGGGGTGAGGGTGATGGGGGGTGGGGTGGGGGTGATGGGGGGTGGGGTGATGGGGGGTGGGGTGGGGGTGATGGGGGGTGGGGTGAGGGGTGATGGGGGGTGGGGTGAGGGGTGATGGGGGTGGGGTGGGGGGTGATGGGGGGTGGGGTGATGGGGGGTGGGGTGGGGGGTGATGGGGGTGGGGTGGGGGTGATGGGGGGTGGGGGTGGGGGTGATGGGGGGTGGGGTGGGGGTGATGTGGGGTGGGGGGTGATGGGGGGTGGGGTGGGGGGTGGGGGGGGGTGATGGGGGGTGGGGTGGGGGTGATGGGGGGTGGGGTGGGGGGTGATGGGGGGTGGGGTGGGGGGTGATGGGGGTGGGGTGGGGGTGATGGGGGTGGGGGTGATGGGGGGTGGGGTGGGGGTGATGGGGGGTGGGGTGGGGGTGATGGGGGGTGGGGGTGATGGGGGGTGGGGTGGGGGTGATGGGGGGTGGGGGTGGGGGTGATGGGGGTGGGGTGATGGGGGGGGTGGGGTGGGGGTGATGGGGGTGGGGGTGATGGGGGTGGGGGTGATGGGGGTGGGGGTGATGGGGGGTGGGGGTGATGGGGGTGGGGTGGGGGGGATGGGGGGTGGTGATGGGGGGTGGGGTGATGGGGGTGGGGGTGATGGGGGGTGGGGTGGGGGGTGATGGGGGTGGGGTGGGAGCAGATGAAAAGATTTCCAAACAACCACAAAGCGATCCTCGTGGTTTTTGTTGTTGATGTTGTGGATTTCACAGCTGATCGGGTGTCAGTGACTCAGCGATACATTGTCATTCATGAGGTTACACTGTGCACCGTGTGCACAGCCTCCCCTCCCCCTCTCCCCCCCCCTCCCCCTCTCCCCCCCCTACCCCTCTCCCCCCCTCTCCCCCCCCCTCTCCCCCCCTCCCCCCCCCCTCCCCTCCCCCCCCCTCCCCCTCCCCTCTCCCCCTCTCCCCCCTCCCCCCCCTCCCCCTCTCCCCCCTCCCCCCCCCCCAGGGTTTGCTCTGGACTTTGGAAACAACAGGACGTGACACAAAGTCTCTTTAACATGTCGACAAAGTGGCACAGGGGGTCGGGGCTTCAATGGGATCTGCACAGGAATGATTTGATGCTTTGCATTATTTTTTACACACAATAAATATTCTGCTCCAAACTGCTCAGTGTTTCCCGTGGGCCTGTTCCGGGCACCACACGCTGCACCCATTTTAATAAGGAGCTCCACTGTTTGAATCGTTCTGCTGCAACATCTCCCAAACTGGGAGAAAAATGCCAATGGAAACAAAGATAACAAAAACATGGGGTGGGGGGTGGGGGGGTGGGGGAATCCTTCTCCTAACCTCCTGATAATAATAATAATCCTTGTATTTGATACAGCGCCTTATCACATCCAAAGCGCTTCACAGAATTTATTGTGCAGTGGATTGACTGTAATGTCTTGCGGGCAACGTATAATGTCAATGAACATATGATAAATGTATGATAAAAAATATAAAATATAAATAAAAACATAATATAAACGAAAACCTCTCTTTGAAAAGAACAAAAAATAATCAATTTAATGCCACAATATTTAATAAGAGGTAACATTTGTCGCAATTGACTATGAAGGGGGGGGGGGGGGGGGGAGCGGAGATAAGAAGGGTTTATTTTCAGGCTGATTTGGCTCCGAGACGATATCCCAGTGTGGCGAGTTCCTGAGCCAGGCAGGTCCGCAGTACTTCAGGGCACTGTTGATGACAGCCTGGTTCATCAGCATCACTTGGTAGGGAAGAACAGTCGCTGGGAGCAGGGATTCTTCCCACGCAGCTCCCGTTCACCCTGCAAGACAAACCCTGATGATTAGCTTGGCAGACAGTGCTTTCAATGGCAAACTATGTGGTTTTAGCTTGTTAATTTCCTTCAGTGCTCACAACACATACTCTGGGGTCCCCAAGCCTCGGCTCTTGCCAACCTGCACTCAATAAACGTTGGGAGTTAGGTAAGTAGGGTACGTCTCCAGGGAGAGAGTGTGCATTCCATTCCAGACACAGGTAAAATTCCACGTGGACGTGGCATAGATATGTGCAATTCTCTCTGGTTTGGATATTATTTAGCTTATTGACGAGTTCCTGCTTGTGTCACACATCCAGCTGACCCCAAAACGATAGTGACTTTTTTTTAAGGAAAATAGCTTTTTTTTAACACAAGAACAGCCTGCATTTATACAGCATCCTTCACACCTCAGAGGCTTAAGAGTTGCAAAGCTTGACACAGAGCCGGGTAGAGAGGGGAATTAACTGTACGCACAGTCAAAAAGAAAGATCTTTAGCTAAGATCTGAAGACAGACAAAGAGGAGGGATTGAGGTAGAGTTTGGGGGCTAAGTGGCTGAAAGAGCAGTTGCTAGTAGGGGAGTGGAGGGGACGAGTGCTGGGGAGTATTGCATTGTCGGAGGTGCTATCCTGTGGATATTTTAAACCAAGGTCCCATCTGCCAATTCAGGTGAATGTTAACCTGATTTACAAGATTTCATTTATAGAGCGCCTTTCACGTCGGGAGGACGTCCCAAGGCGCTGGACAGTTGGGTCGGGACCCAAGCAGGGGGGAAATGGTCAGGGTGAGGGGAGGGAAGGGAGGGAGCGAGGAGGGGGGAAATGATCAGGGTGAGGGGAGGGAGCGAGGAGGGGGGAAATGGTCAGGGTGAGGGGAGGGAAGGGAGGGAGCGAGGAGGGGGTAGAGAGTCGAGCTGAAGGCACGGTCAAAGAGAAAGGTCTTGAGACCGGCCTTGAAGGAGGAAAGGGAGGAAGCGGCGAAGGCACTGGGGGATGGAGTTCCAGAGCCTCGGGGCTGAGAGGCTGAAGGCCCGGCCACCGATGGTAGGGCGGTGAGGGAGAGGGATGTGGAGCAGACCGGAGCCAGAGGAACGGAGGGTACGGGCAGGTAAGTAGGGGGATAGTAGGTCAGAGAGGTAGGTCTAAAGGTATTGTTCGCAAAGACAATGGAAGTTCTCCCGGTGTCCTGGCCAACAATCCTCCAGCTAAAAATTGGTCATTCATTTCATGGCTATTTGTGGCACATTGCTGTGTGCAAATTCATCGCTGTATTTGCTTACAAATATAGTCATTGAACTTTATACAGTAAATCCTGTGATGTACTTTTGGACATCTCAATGATGTGATATTAGCTCAGTGGTTAGAGCATTCACTTCGCAGGCACGAAACTTGGGTTCAATTGCCAGCAGGGCAAAACGTTGGGCAAGTTTCTTTACTGATTACTGAGAGCACCTGCCCAAGTGTATTATAATCATCATGGCAATCCTAACCACGTACAGTACAGCCTGTCTATATACAGTGATAGACACTGGGAGAGGCTGTCTGTACACAGGAGAAGCTGTATGTATACAGGAGACACTGGGAGAGGCTGTGTGTATACAGTGAGAGACACTGGGAGAAGCTGTGTGTAAACAGTGATAGACACTGGAAGAGGCTGTGTGTATATAGGAGAGGCTGTATGTACAGGAGAAACACTGGGAGAGGCTATGTGTATACATGCCTGATAATAATCCCTCAAGAAAAAAACAATAACGATTTGGTCACTCAATTCACGACTGTCCGTACCCTCCGTTCCTCTGGCTCTGGTCTGCTCCACATCCCCCGCCCCAACCACCCTACCATCGGTGGCCGGGTATTCCCCAGTGCCTTCGCCGCTTCCTCCCTTTTGTCCTTCAAGGCCGGTCTCAAGACCTTTCTCTTTGACCGTGCCTTCAGCTCCCGTCTCGACTCTCTACCCCCTCCTCGCTCCCTCCCTCCCCTCACCCTGACCATTTCCCCCTTGCTCGGGTCCTGACTTAACTGTACAGCGCCTTGGGACGTCCTCCCGACGTGAAAGGCGCTCAATAAATGGAATCTTGTTATTGTTGTTGTTTGTGGGACACTGCTGTGCGCAATTGGCTGCCGCTTTTCATCCACATATATAGACAAATCACTTTACAGTATATTCTGTGAAGCGCTTTGAGACGTCTAGAAGACTTGAAAAGCACTATATCAAATGCAAAGATTATTATTATATATTTATTATTATTACTCCATAATCTTCTGCTTACCTAGCAGTAAGTAGGAACCCGGTTGTTAGTTGATTGGCAGATCATTTTTCTGGGGATAATAATTCCTTCAAAAAAGTAATAAATTGGTCACTCAATCCACGACTGTTTGTGGAACACTGCTGAGCACAATTGGCTGCTGCATTTCATCCACAAAATATACAGTCAATTCACTTTACAGTGTATTCTGTGAAGGTCCTTGAGACGTCTTGAAGACACAATCAGGCGCTATATCAAATGCAAGGATTATTATTATAAAATGCTATATTAAATGTAAAGATTATTATAATAAAATGGAATTGCAAGGCTGCCTGGCTTCCATACAATACTTGCTTCTAATATTTAACTGAGCACTGATAATAGATAGTGAACGATAAGGGGAAGAATCTGGAGCAAGCATTCAAATAGCAAGTGCTGACTACCTGCTTTATTTACAATCTTAAAGTCCACTTCAGGAGCCAACCATGCAGTTCACTACCCTGAAGGAACCTCCTATCTCTTAAAGGAAGCTAGAAGGAGGCACAATTTCTCACATAGTGCTCTGCATTCCATCCACCGTTAGGCGGGACACGCAATAAGAAAAACATGTACTCAGAATGCTAAAATGAATGAGGAAATTACATATAATTAATTTGATTATAGCAAGCATGTCAAATGCCTCATTGAATAATGATCTAATTTTGTTTCCTCCCACTGAAGCTTTCTGACCTACAGTTCATCGCATCTCAGAACAGCAATGGCTAAACTTGGAGCCTAAATCCCAGATACAGTACAAACAAGAGATATTGTACATCATGCACCTTGTTCTTTGTACCTAAGCATCTAAAATTATGGGTAGAAACATAGCCAGGAAAATATGGAAGTGGTTGATGATGGGTCTGTCCGTTCTTATGTTTTTTATGTTAGATTCTTTAGTGGTTCAGTATCTGAAAGAGAAGTCGATAATAATCCTTGCATTTGATATAGCGCCTTATCACGTCTTTGAGACATCTCAAAGCGCTTCACAGAATGAAGCAGATTGACTGCATTTTGTAGGCCAAACGTTCAACCTTTTGGTCTAATCTTCCATAAATTTGGCTGGCTACTGGCTGAATAATGATCTCTGTAGCACAAACTTGGAACTTTTTTCCCCCTGTTGTCAGATTCCTAAACGTCAGCCTTGGGTTTTTAGCTACTGTTGCACTAAAATGCCAGAGCAGCGCTGTTACAGTTCCTAATCATATCCCATACTGAACGACTCGCAGAGTGCAGCAGTGCCACCCACGGGTACAGAGCTAGTGCTACACATATTATGGCTTGTGTGATTTTTAAGACTGGCAATGGGGAACATCGCTAATAATTCAATGGGTACAAACCTATAACATTTTCTAAAAAGGAGATTTTACAAAAAACATTTGAATAGTTGAATTAGTTGTTTCATAGTATATTACAACATGTTTTATACCATTACATTTCTTCCATTGCGTGACTGCCTGGCGCAGTAGTAGGAGCACTCTGCTCTGAGTCAGAAGGTTGTTGGGTTCAAGCCCCTACGTGGAGACTTGGAATCACATTGGCTAAGCTGACACTACAAATATAGTGCTGGGGACGTGTGGCATTGTCAGAGTTGTCGTCCTTCAGATGAGACGTTAAACCGAGGTCCCGTCTGTCTATTCAGGTGGACGTTAACATTCCATTTATAGAGCGCCTTTCACGTCGGGAGGACGTCCCAAGGCGCTGAAAGGAAAGGACCCCGAATAATTAATTATTTATCCCCCAAATAAAATTGGTCACTCGCTCCATGGCTCTTTGTGGGGCACTGCCGTGTGCCACCAGCTGCTGCGTTCGGCATACAAAATGCCACAGTCAATCCACGTCGCAGTATATCCCGTGAAGGGCTTTGAGATGCCTCAACAGGGAGGGCGGGCGGGCGGGGGGGGGAGGGCGGCCGAAGGCTCGGTCGTAGAGGAGGGTCTTGAGACGCGCCGCGAGGGGGGCGGGCGGGGGAGCGAGGTGAAGGGAATGCGGGACGGAGATCCAGAGGGTGGAGGCAGAGAGGCTGAAGGTCATGGTGGGGGGGGGAGGGGGTCATGGAGCAGAGCGGAGCCTCCCCACGTGAAGTGTAATCTTGTCGTTGTTATCGCTGCTGCTGCTGAGCGGAGGGCACGGGCCGGTTGGTGTGGGGTTAGCGGGTCACAGAGGTGAGTGGGGGGGGGGGGGGCCTTGAAGGCGAGGACAAGGATTTAGAACTGGATCCTCTGGGGGCCAGTGGAGCCGGGCGAGGGTGGGTGGGTGGGTGGGCGGTGGATGGGGAGAGGACGAGGGTGGGTGGGTGGGTGGGCGGTGGATGGGGAGAGGACGAGGGTGGGTGGGTGGGTGGGCGGTGGATGGGGAGAGGACGAGGGTGGGTGGGTGGGCGGTGGATGGGGAGAGGACGAGGGTGGGTGGGTGGGTGGGCGGTGGATGGGGAGAGGACGAGGGTGGGTGGGTGGGGGTGGACGGGGAGAGGACGAGGGTGGGTGGGTGGTGGGCGGTGGATGGGGAGAGGACGAGGGTGGGTGGGTGGGTGGTGGATGGGGAGAGGACGAGGGTGGGTGGGTGGGTGGGCGGTGGATGGGGAGAGGACGAGGGAGGGTGGGTGGGTGGTCACGGAGTCTGGGAGAGGTCACGAGCTGCGGGGTTCTGGATGATCCGCGGCCGGTGGGAGGGCAGCGTTAGGGAGGCCGAGGAGCAGTGAGATGACAGGACCCAAGGCCTCAGACCCCCCCCTCCCTCCCTCTCTCTCGCTCCTCCATGTTTTTGGGGGTAAGTACCGGAGTTGAGTCAGTACAGGCCCAGGGGGCAGCCTCGAGCGCCGCGTCGGGGTAACGGCCGCAATCTGACCGGTATTTCGAACTGCCCACGCACCGCCCGCGACCGTTGGCGACCCAGGTCGCTCGGCGCGGATTGGCGGAGCCGCCCGTCCAACGGGAGCCAGGGGCCCGCGCCTATTGGTCGGCAGGCGGCGCGCGGGGCCTGCCGGGCCGAGCCGCCGTCCAATGGGAGCGCGGCCTGGTGCGCGGTGCTTGACGGGAGCTCGTGCGGCGGCGGTGAAGAAGAGACCGAAGCGGCGGCGGCGGCACCATCACCACAATCACCTGGAGAGGACAGAGCCAGGTAACTGCAGGCCGGAGCGGCCTCTCCCTTTCGCGCTCGCTCGCTGAGGCCTCGCGGGTACCAGGCCTCAGGGAAGCCCCCGGCTGACAGCGCCCCTCCTCCCCGCTACACACCGCCGCTCGCTGCAGGCGAACCGACTTCGTATCCTGCGTGTCACTGCACAGCCTCGACCATGGCTGCCGCCTTGCCGACCGTGTCTGACAGCCGCTGCCCTGTTCCGTGCCATTGGGAAAGCTGCAGGCGCTGGGAATCTCGCGCCGCGTTCAGAGATGCCGGGAAAGCCATCACCGGGAAAGCTTCCAGCCCCTGGAAATGGATGGTGTAGCACAGAAGGAGGCCATGGAGCCCGCCCACACTGGCCATCTGATCTGATTCCCCACTCTCCTGTTTTATTGTGCTCTAACATTCCTTCCCCCCCCCCCCCCAGCACCTAGTAATAATAATAATAATAATAATAATCCTTGCATTTGATATAGCGCTTTTCACGTCGGGAGAGGACGTCCCAAAGCGCTTCACAGAACACACTGTAAAGTGAATTGACTGTACATTTGTGGGCGAACGCGGCAGCCAATTGCGCACAGCAATGTCCCACAAACAGTCATGGAATGAAAATGACCAATTTATTATTGTTTTATTTTTTTTTGGAGGGATTATTACCTGTCTTGTCTTGTTTTTTCCTTTAATGGAATGATCTTAGCATTCGATGTCACGCCTCTCATGTTGGGAGGAAATATTGAAAGACTTCACGGGTTTCACTCAAGTAAAGTAAATTTCCACAAATTTCCCTGTGTCTGGAATGGAATGACGGTGTCTTCAGCTCCCCTCTCAACTCTCTACCCCCTCCTCGCTCCCTCCCCTCACCCTGATCATTTCCCCCCAATGCTCGGGTCCTGACCCAACTGTCCAGCGCCTTGGGACGTCCTCCCGACGTGAAAGGCGCTCTATAAATGAAATGTTGTTGTTGTTGTTGAGCAGTCTCTCCTGGTAGGGGGGCACCCTGCTTATCTCATTATGGAGTGTATTAGATGCTGGTTGACAGGAGCCAAGACCTGGAAACCCCAGACTGTGGGGTACCACTGGAGTTTAATCAGTTAAAACTGTATAGCTTGCCATTGCGCACAATGTTTCCAAGCTTCCTGGTGTTTATCCAGCTATAAACTCATAGATGGATAAACTGGTCTGCGTCCCCCCCACCACACACACACCAGTTTAGGCTATAGTTTGCACAATAACAGAAGCTGAGTGGGAAGAATCTCTGCCCCCTATAGGTAGTCTGCACTTCCAAGTACTGCTGACAATCCTGGCTCGCTGGTACTGTTGTCAACAATGCAACCCTGCCTGGCTCATGAACTAGTTTACGGGAACATTCCCAAAGTATCTATTCTGGAATTCTAAGATATTCTGTTACCAGGCACATCACTTTGGAGCCAGGTCAGGCCTGAGGGGACCTGTAAACTCCATTAAGATAACTTCTTCAGAACTAATACTTGGAGACATTCTGAACTTCTCTGATGACTCAGTGGATAAATGCACCACTTGTGTGAGGCATTGAGGAATCTCAGCACGTGCACACCATACTCTAGAATTAATGAGCATTTTCAAAGGAAAGAGACGAGAAATAAATCTGCTTTGCTCATTATACTAAATACCTCTGCAGGGAAGCTTGCTGTGCACAGGTGTACAGTGACCATGTGTAGCAGGGTGAAGTGTTAGTACAACATGTCTTTTAGCAATATGGGAACAGGAGTAGGCAATTCAGCCCCACAAGCCTGTTCCGCCATTCTGTTGGATCATTGCTGAGTTGTACCTCAACTCCATTTACCTGCTTTTGCTTCAAATCCCTGAAGGAGTCACTTAAATAACATATTTGGCAGACCTCTATGTAATTTGACATAGGTCTAATGCTGCATGTGCTTTGATACTTACCTTTAGGGTTGTATGTTGTAATCTTATACTGTCACAAAGCATATGGGTAATACATTTATACAAGCATTCAACATGATGAATCTGCAGTGAATATTACACTGATACACAGGTGTTGTAAATGCTACTATTGATTTTATATCTAGCTGTACTTCTTAATATTTCATGGGGTGAATGATGTAGAAATCTTTTCATTGAATTTCATTTATATGACATTTGGGCTTGTAGCAATTTTAATATTTGAATGCCATTAATTCCACCCAGAGTTCCTGATGACTGAAAAGGTGCAATAGTGTGAAATAGCTGAATTCTTATGAGTCTTAGCTACCATTTTTAGGGTCTGCATCATTTTATAGACAGCACATAAACTTGCTTCCTCCCAGGTCTCTTGCTCCTTCCCTCTCCTCTTTCAAGTACCTCAAAACTTACCTCTTTGACCACACTTTCAGTCATTTTCTCCTCCTCGCCTTTCTTACTTGGCTCCTGCTAACTCTAACAACAAAATTGCATTCATATCGTGCCTTTCACTTCGGGAGGACGTCCCAAGGCGCTGTACAGACAGAGTTATGAACCCGAGTTGAAGGTCGGGTTGGGAGGAGGGCGGGGGGGGCGAAGCAAGGAAACTATAAACCCAACTGTGACTGCTAAGGTGGTCCTAGCTGGACAAGCAGTGCAAAGCTTGCCAGACAATGCTCTCAATTGCAAGCTATGCGGTTTTAGCGGGCTAAGCTCCAGCAGTTACTCCAGCGCACATTCTGGGATCCCCCAAGCCTTGGCTCTTGCCAATCTGCGCTTAATACTCTGTAGAATTCAGTAAGTAGGGTGCATCCTCCAGGAAACGAATGTGCATTCCATTCCAGATAGCATTACTGTACTGTTTTGGGTAACATTTCAATTTCATATGTATGCATCATGATTTTCAAAATTGCACATAATGTTTCAAAGAACTTGTTGGACCATTTTTAAATTTGCCCAGAATATCACATAGTATCTATTGATTCCTATATATTTATCTAAACAAAAATCCTGATGGAATCTCAGGTGATAGGTAGCCTTACAATTCTCAGCAAAGTGTTTATAATGTGTAGTTTTCCTTGTCTTCCCCTCTCTCCTTGCTTGTTCTGCTATGCACCAAATCTTGCTACAGTTCCGTGGGTTCAGTTGCTCTCTGGTATCTTGCCTTAGTGGCCATCCTTCTCATGTGAGCCTAGACAGGAGGTGCCTGAGGACTATTTGACCATGCCATACAATACAAAATTACACTTGTATAGTGCCTTTCACGTCGGGAGGATGTCCCAAGACGCTGGCCAGTCAGGGATTTGGACCTGAGCGGGGTGGGGGTGGTTTGGGCAATGCCATAGCATTGTAGCCAAGCCCAACACACATCCATTGTCAGCAGGGATCCCTGAGTAGCAGCCCAAAATGGGACCACTGCCTTAATTTTTCCCCTTCCTTTACTAATCCCAAGGGCATTGAGGTCATTTACCACCTACTACCACCACAGATTTAAAAAAAAGTACTGAATTTATATAGCCTGCAGCTTTTCCAGTGTGGTTTTACTGATTGAGCCAACAGGGTCTCTTCATGGTTGGGAGTTAATATTTATGATTCTGTAGCTCTCTCTATGAATAGTATTGAAAAATTTCCCTGAACGATTTGCACTTAAATATTCAGTATCAATGATTTTCTTTCCTATAGTTGTGCCTTATTGATTGAGATTTAATAAATAGTGCTAATTTATCAGATATCTACAGTACAATCTATTTTTTAGCTCTTTGGTTCAAGGTGAGATTCTTTTGAAGTTTTTTTCTTTGAAAACTCAATGGATTCATTTACTGAGTACCCTGTCTCATCTGTAGACCCAGAGCAATACTTTTAAATCACATTTCTTATAACGTCATAATTCCCTGAAGAAAGTTAAAAGCTATGTTGTAAAAGTTAAGTTACTGCAGATGATTAGCTACTGGTTGGCTGCCAGTCCTATCGTCCGATATGAAACTGTTAAATCATCCAGATTTATGTTTGTCTGGAGCACAATGCATACTTCATCCACATTATGCACTACAGTGAGGATAAAGACTGCATTGAATGTTTACAACTAAATTACAAGAAAGATCGGTTGAATTTTAATGAAAGAATTGACAAGAGTGAGGGAAGAAATAAATGGGGGGAGGGGTGGAGGGGGTGAGTGTGCATACATTTTCTATTCAATTCAACAAAAATTCAATACAGCAAATAGTATTATTAGTCTGTTTATTTTGATAACTTGTGTTAACACTGCATTTCTCTTTTGGTGTGCACTTAGATTGTAAGCACTAATAGAGCTGCTGTCTCTGTGCCAACCATTACTTTCCTAATTGATTTTTTTGAGAGAGTAAGTGACAGTTTTTAAAATTCTATTAGCCTGCTTGAAAGAATGCTGCAAAGTGCTTTATTGTTTCCCAGTTGTTTCCAGTAGATTCTAGGATTTTTCATCAGCCAGAATTGCGCATTATACAACACAAGTTGCATTTATATAGTGCATTTCATGTCAAGAGGATGTTTCAAAGCGTTTTGCACTGCTGGTTGTGCACTTGAGTCGGGAAGGAGGGGGGCTATTTGAAAAGAGAAGGGAGTTTTTCCTGATGTCCTGATCATCATTTTGGAAATAAATACATTGCTAAGAGACCAGTAGAGTGCAACATGTACAGACCTAAGCTGCAGGGAAGCAAGTGTAATATTGCTTACTTATCACAGGGGAAAATAAATTGCCATCGAAGGCACCAAGAAGACATTTCACTGAATATCAAAAGCGACTGGTACAAATTTAGCTTTGCGTAAGGTCACGCTAATTATTTTATAGCCTGGAAAATGTAATTATGCCAGTTGGTAGTAGCGTACAACAGTAATATTGTGAATATTCAAAGCAACAGATTGATAATGTTTAAAGTTTTGCATTTTTTTGCAAAAGTTTTGCAAAATGTGCTATGCACGTTTTAAATAACAACAAGTTGCATTTATACAGCGCCTTTCATGAGAAGTAGCATCCTGGAGCACTTTAAACTAACTAGCCTCCATCACTTGTTGCAGGTTTGAATTCTCTGAGGGTTAGCTGATTGCAACCTGTGCAAAAATTGAGGACATTACAGTTGATCTAAACCCCCTGGATATGGGAGAACAAAATAGCCTGCCAACACTCCTTGTCGAGAGACATGAATGAATAATAGTCACTTTATGTCTTACCAGAGAATTCATATTCCAGTAGAAGGAAAAAGTACTCAAAAACCTTCCTGGGGTGGAGGGAAATATTGTCTGATTATAGTTTAGTTACAATTATAAATAGGAGTGATTTGCATCCAGAGAGCCTCATCTTAATGTAATTAAAGTAATCACGAAAAGCAAATCTCGTCTTTAAATATTCAGATTTTTTTTTAAAAATCCACTCACTACAGCTTTGTTCTATCACTTACTGTAGAAGCGTTGCCCACATCTAAATTTAGTTACCTTAATTATAGATTTGCCTTATCTTTCTTGCCCCGCTCTCGTTGACAGATTAATTCAGTCTTGCATTCATCTGCACGTATTGTTTCAGCAGTGTGTGATCTGAGTAATGTAAACTGCTCAGCCTTTGGTATATGGTCATATAACCTGCTTAGAAATGCATCAGTAATTTTTATTGCAATCCAGCTTTCTCCTTTTACGAGTCCTACATTAAGTAATTGCAAAGTTACTCCTGGTATATTGACGTCTAATCAATTGGATGTTAAATATAAAATTGTCTACAAATGCTTGACAGCATTATCAGTGAGGTGCTTTGAGTCTTTTGGACTTTAAAGGAACTATATCAAATGCAAGGATTATTGTACTTGGTTTGAAACTCCTATGTGAGAGATGAAAAGGAAGCCTCATTTTGACTTGGTGCTTTCTTTCATTATTTCTACCCTATTTAAAGATATTCTTGTACAAAAGGAAGACTGGAGTCTGCAATAAGTACCAAAGCCACTGGATCTGTGGCCTCAATAGTGGTGGTGATAAATTGGCGAGACTTGTACCTTCAGTGATTCTGTTGTGTGCAACAACAAAAGCTATGTGACCTTAACAATGTGGAAACATCTTTGTGCTGCTCAGATGTTGTGCTGCAGCAAATGCAAGAATTATCACATTGTCAAGATGTCTCAAAGCGCTTCACAGGATTTTACTGTGAAGTGAGGTGACTATGTATTTGTGACTATACTGAATTATGGCGAATGTAGCAGGTGATTTATACGTGGCAATGTCCCAGAAATGGCCAGGAAGTGAATGACCAATTTGAAACGTGCCTTTCCCAAGTAAAGTTCCTGTGGGTCAGTTTTATGCACTTCTGGTTGCAGCAGCTTTTTGAATCTGTTTAGAAATACAGAGTGTGCATTGAGGTACTGTTGGAATTTAACCAGCTAAAACTGCATTAGTTTGTATGTAGTTGGGGAAGGTGGAGGCGATGACAGGAACAATGTGTTAGTATTGTAGTTTGAACCTAACCTATATTGTGTTAATAGCATGGCTTTACCGTTGGGACGCAATCCCCTTCCTCCTCCACGCTACATATGTTCCAGACTTTGTACAGTAGAAATAAATATAAGCAGCAAATTGCCAACTGAAGGAATGGCAATGTTGGTAAGTGGAACATCATTGGTATTCTCCTCCTGTTTGCACAAGAGTCCCTGGCCATGTAGTGTAGCCCTCTAGTGAAACAAGAGGCCCACAATATCTCCTCAGCAGTACGATGCCTTCACAGACGATTTCTTATTGAGACTTCACTTTACTTTGTCCTTCAGTATAAAGTTTTCTTCATTGTAGTTGGCTTTGTGTTGGACCAAAATCTGATTCTTTTAAATGATTCTTGGGCTCTGTTCCTTCAGAGCTTTTATTATCTCCTGATTATATAATGGAGCCCGAGTGCAAAGCAGAGAGTGCTTTAATTTATTACACTGATTTCTTTGTTGCAGTACAGAAGAGGTTGGCTTTGGTTCAGGACTGGTTTCCAGCACTGGCCTATTTTCCCTTAGCCTATGCATGCAGTTGACGTGCTATGCAGGGAGTGTGTTATATAGCTGGAGCGACCAAGAAATCGATAACACATTTAATATCAGTACTGGCTTCTGTTCATGTGGCTGCGGCATACTGCCTAGAACGTGCTGCATTGCAGAGCCTTATGAGAGCAGGTTAACTCTTTTCTGAGTGTTTAATATTAATTACAGAGGGCGTGCCTTTCCAGCGCTGCAGAATCAATTCTGGTCACCCTGATGTGCGTTCCTGATATTTAACAGTACCACAGTTGGTAATGCATTATGTTGAATGAAAAGACAACCCTTCTCATTCAGACCGACTGGAGTATTTGTGATGGGTTCTGTGGTGTAGAAAAAGCTTTTTAAGTGCAAATTGGCACCGGTTTTGCAGTTGCTGATAATTGTTCCCAAATCCAGCACAGCTAGAACCTAGTTAGTTTGACTTACGTTAAAGGTGAGTTGGCCATGCAGCATCACAGGTAGCAAATCCCTTTGAATCCCATCTACCCCAGTTATGTACATCTGTTGTAGAAGTACAATATATGGGATTGCAAAAGTAATCCCAAAACAATGCTTTCAGATAAACCAAGACAGCAGAATGAAAGGGAACAGGTTCACAATGGCAAAAGGCAATTTCAGGACGGACCGTGAATTCAATGATCCCCAATTGATGCACTTCTTCGAACAGCCTGGGGGTATGGCAGGCATTTAGTTTGGGTAAATGCTGAAACTATAATATTGCAATGTTATCAGATTGGGAGCATCACTGTAGAGTGCAGCCTTCACCTTTAAAGTATTCTTCCCTAATTATGGCAATTGGAAACTTTTCTGCAATTTAAAATCTCTTCCTGTGCATTTTCGCTTTGCAACCATTTCGCTGCCAATCCGCATTAAACCCCAGAAGTGAGGTGTTTCAAATAAAATGTCAACTACCCACGCCGATGCCTGTTTCTTTTTAATTGTTCTTTTTATTGAATAACTCTTTGGAATATTCCATAGCAAAGACTGGCTGATAACCATCTGCCTTGGAAAGCATTGCACAAAATCGTAGCAATAGCATCCTCTGCTGGTGATCATATGTTGCACTATTTCTCCACAACAAAGCACACTTGTAAAGCCATTTCTTGGAGAATGTGAGGAGATTCAGCAGACGAAGAGCACTGGTGTCAAAGCCCAAAACATGTCCTCCCTTGAAACCAGACTCAAACTGCATTAAATCAATGTGAAAAATGCAATATAAAAGGGCACATTATTACTTATTTTTTACTCGTAATAAACCCCCCTGTATTTTTCTTGCCCTTGAAATATCTAAAATGTCCATTGCTAATACTTTATACAGGTTTTAGATGAAAATGTTACACGTTGAGTGGGGAAATGACCTGACCCCAATCCCTTCCTACTGTTCACAACAAGCTGAGTCCAAAGGCAGCGAGAGGTGTAGAAACTATAAAATCTGTGTAACCCGAAATGTACTTGTTGGGAGTACGTGGTTCATTAGTAAATTTATAGGAACAATTTTTTTGAAAAAGGCCTGCAGCACTTTAAGGTTGTATCAATATAAAAGCCACCTGGGACAGCCACCACAGAATGCACTGGGCTATAACCTACTCTTGGCTTTTAGACTTATGGCCCCACATAAATGGAACCATAAATATGGATTTCCTTGTTTATGTTGGAGCATTAACTGTGAGTGTCGGCCAACCATTCAACAAAGGGAAGACAATATCAGAGCGCAGCCCGATCTCTTCACCCAGCACATGTGTATCTTCCAACATGGCTCTTGAGAATGGGTACCATAGCTATCATTCCTCTCCTTGATGCAGGAACCCAATTGCAGTACATCAGCTGCTGTCTAGTTGAGATCAGCTAACTGAGCACAAACAAGGCTTTGGAACCTGTGATCTGATCTATGTGATCCAGTGCTGCACCACACTTTCCTTTTACTCATCAGCCCATCAGAGGAGTTGTGAATCACCAGATTTTTATTAGCAGAAATAGAATATCATAGGACTTACAGGAGGTTGAATTATATGTTATCCTGTAGGGAAGAGGAGATGTTTCAGCTTGTAACCTGTGCACTGCTGGTTCAGCATTCAGCGTTTGTCTTTGTTTAACCTCCAGGAGAATGCAATAGATTTTTTGGAGAAATTAAAATGAAAGGATATTCACCTGAAGACTCAAAGCTGTTGAAGGCTTTTTCGGATCAGTACTAAAAGAACAAAGCTTAATGTTACCCGTGTAATTACATGCTTTAATATTGGAATATTATTTAGTAATTTATATTGCTTACCATGACCTTGAATACTGATATATTCCGCATGTTCTGATAGTTTGAGATGAAATTATTTTCAAATTTAAAAAAAAAAGCCTCACCTGGGTACAGAATGTGCAATTTATTCTGCGTATTCTTCTAGTTGTAGAAATATTAGGAATCTCTCATTGCATGTCATTCTCCTCACTTAGAATCAATTAGATGCTCTCATATTATTTTCTCAGTATCTTGAAATAAAATATTTTTATACTATTTGACACGGTATATTTTAATTGCACTTAGCTAATGTTGTCTTGCATATTAACATGATTCTGAATGGCATTCTGGTTCCTTTCTCTAGAATCTGTGTGGCATTTACTATGGACACAGACGGCTTTGGAGAGCTGCTGCAGCAGGCTGAGCAGCTAGCAGCCGAGACTGAAGGCGTTTCTGAACTTCCGCATGTAGAACGAAACCTGCAGGAGATTCAGCAGGCTGGGGAGCGCTTGAGGTCCAAAACCCTGACTCGGACATTACAGGAAACCGCAGATGTTAAGGCGTAAGTTTAAAAAGCTTGCATTTTGTCAGAAATTCTCTGCTTGACATATCATTTTTAACCCTAGTTTAAACATAATTTCCCACTAGATACATATAGATAATATACATAAATCGAATTTTCGACGTTTGCACTTTCACTATTCTTTATCAGAAGGCATTCAAACTGAAGGAGTAATTTTCTCTTTTAGGAAGGCAGGTATTTATGAAGAAATGCCTTCAGTTCCATGTGATGTGTATGCTATGGTTGGGGGGTAGGGGTGGAAGGTCGGGCTGGATCTTGAGATCAAAATTGGGTTCGGATTTCCAGGGACCTCACCGGGATTCTTGGATAATTCTTAGAGTTACTGGCACTCAACTGGCATTGCTACTGAGGCTCGGGGTTCAGAAGGAAAGTTTCCAGATTCATCAAGGGTTTGAAGAAATCCTGTTAGTTTTGGATGTCCAGCTTTGTAGTGAATATTGAGTTGCAATTTGAATTGGCTAAGTGTCCTTCACTTCTGGGACATGGATTGGAATCAAGCTTAGACTAAGTCCCTTTACCTTTTAACCTTTCAAGCACTTCTACACCGGGTATAATTGGGTTCAAGGTATGGTAAAGCTGCCTCTATGTTGCACAAACAGTGTGCTGACAGCATGGTGATGGGTTTCCGTATGTGTCGGACACCTGGCTCATCTCCCCCCAAAAGATTAATTGGTTGAAAATCTCTTGTGACTGATCACTAAAGATCCTGGAAGAATCCAGCTTCTGATTAGTGTGCAGGACAAACGTGACCTATAATGTGGCACTGCATTCTCTCTCTGCTGAGAGGGTGTTTTGATGGCTGATGTGGGAAATGGAAGATTTCACAGCGGTAAATTAGGGATTTCTTCTAACAGTATTGTTGATTGTATTTCAGTAAAGCATAATGGTCGGTGGGTGAAATTTTTACCCTGTCAGAATGCAAATTAGTTCTTTTTTTCTCAAAGGGAATTCAGGAAAGGGTAAAGGTGGGTGTTTGAAATGTTTATACTCTGCCCAGTTGAACTGGCAGTGCAACAATGAAGAGACTTAAACGATTTTTTTTCTCTAATGCATTTCGCCACCAATACTCTATTAAGCTGAGTGACAGCACTGTTTGAGACAAGACTCGGCATATTGTTTGTGCAACATAGAATCAGCTTTACAATGCATCTAACCCATATTATACCTGGCATTAGAGTTTTTGACTCAGACACTGAGAGCACGGAATGGAAAAGAGTGACATCGAGTGTGTTCAGCTTAACAAGCATGAGGGAGAAGGGAAGAGACAGTATGGGTAAGGGAAATAGGAAAGATAGAAATAGGGGATCGTGTGGAGTACAAACACCAGCACAGACATATTCGGCTGAATGGCTTGTTTCTGTGCCATATTGCTCTGTGTAACTGTGCAAGCACAGAAATTGTCAAAAGTCAGAAAATAGGGGAGTAATTTTTCAATCTATACTTTTTATTTAAATATTGATCAATTTTGGTTTTCGTGATAAAAGGCACCTTTTAGCTCATTGATTTCTGCTCTGCTTGTGAACTCCATTGCCTGGATCTTCTCTCACAACCTCAATAATGATCCCATCTGTTGTCCTTCTGGAGCTTAATGCCTGTAGTTGGAAAAGCAAATGATCTTTTTAAACCTAAATGAGTTAATTATGACAGAATATGCTAAATCACTTTTCATTCAGATTTGTTTAGACACTACTTTTGTCTTTAATGAAATCCTAAATTGTAGGTTTTATATATCCATCTTTTTACAATTGCCTTTCTTTTACTTTTAAGTCATCTTGTGCTGCATACACTGCTGTTACTGAGAGAGCAGCCAACCTGCTTACAGGACTCTGCTAGTGCTGTGCTATAATTAGCAGCCACAGAGTGCAATGAAGCAGCCTGGGGTGATCCACACATTAATTCCCTCTCCATCCCAGCAGTCACCCAGTGAGCCATCATTTCAGAGTTGGAGGATTTTTCCTAGTCTGGGTTGTGCTTTCCTGTGGGGATTCGTGGGCCAGATTGGGTTCCAAAATCTCCTCACAGTGTCTTGGTATGCAAATATGTTGTGCCAGGGCACTGCTGCCAATGCTTCTATTCTGTTTTGACAGCATATAATGAACCACTTATTGTAACATATGTGACCCCTTTGCACGTGTGCTTGCTTGATTAGAAAATCCAACGAGGAAAGAAATTGTCAATGTTTAGTTGCCAATAATAGCTAACCAATTACGTGAAAGTGGAATGATTGGCGATTGTTGATTTGGAAGTTGTGGCAAATGTTTTCCTGTTTTTCTCCACACAGTTCCATACTTCTAGGCTCCAAAGGGTTAGATATATCGCACATCTCTCAGCGATTGGAAAGTCTTAGTGCAGCTACAACCTTCGAGCCCCTTGAACCAGTGAAGGACACTGATGTACAGGTAAATGGAAACGCGTTATTTGATCTACCTTTTTACAGCAGTTGGAAAGTAAATGATCACTTTAATAATAATAATAATAATAATCCTTGCATTTGATATAGCGCTTTTCACGTCGGGAGGACGTCCCAAAGCGCTTCACAGAACACACTGTAAAGTGAATTGACTGCATATTTGTGGGCGAACGCGGCAGCCAATTGCGCACAGCAATGTCCCACAACCAGTCGTAGATTGAAAATGACCAATTTTTATTTTTGGTTTTGGAGGGATTATTATTAGGCTCTGTGTGGAGTAAGGAAACTTGCCCAAGGTTTCGCCCTCTGCCTGGAATTAAACTCAGGTCTCTCGCTTGCAAAGCGAGTGCTCTAACCACTGAGCTACAGGACTCTGTGAAGAACTTTTGTGGTTAAACGACCACAACTTGCATTTGTATAGCGTCCTTCAGGGTGGCGTCTCGGAGCGCTTGACTCGTTAAATTTTTTTTAAAAAGTGCTCAGTGTCTTTCCTGGTTGATGTCTAAATGCTTATTCATCAAATGGGCAGTCTGGTCTGCTGCAGAATTCATGGGCATCAATGTTCTCTGAGACAAGCTGACATAATGCTTTCAGTCTTTCCTCCCCTGCTGAGGTGTGGGATGGCTCGCTTATGCATGGAATTTCATTCAGTTGCCCAGCTGAGACTTAGAGAATTGCTCCAACTCAGACAAACTCAGGTTGTGGGCAGCCCTGGGACTGCAATGTATGAGTGTTCTGCTTGGGACCAAAGAATTCAGGGATTTTGATCTCCGGAGCTGTTTTATACGCAGTTTAGAACTTCACATGTTTTGAGGCAAATTTTGCTGTTTTAAAACCTACAACTTGAAACCGAAATTAAATTCTGGGACTTTCAAAAGATATTTCAGAATGGTACAGCTTTTGCGCAGAGGGAGAATATAGATACCTGAAAGACAGTTACAAATCTGTGGTCTGAAAACAGGGGAGAATGTTGAATAAGCTTAACTGTTTTGTAAGTCACCTGAACGCCTGAGATGAATTAATTGACCCTTAGCCCGGGGCAGATTCAGTGAATATTCTTTCCCCTGGGTCAACAGTTTTGTAAGCTTCTGTGTGATTATGCTGAAAATAGCACTAATAATATTCAACATCAGGAATAAGCTTTATAACTAAGAATAATTCTAAACAACAAAACACTGGCACAGATTTTAAAAATAAATTTAAATACTATTTGAACTGCCTCCCTTTCTCTTCCTTTCCTATATTGCCTTTACCCAGAGGGTAGTTAATAAATAATACTTGCATTTCATATAGCATCTTATCATGCCATTGAGACGTCTCAACGTGCAATTTACATTTATATAGCACCTTTCACATTGGGAGGTCTACAATCCTGCGAACTGCTTTGAGATATTTTGATTATGTTTTGAGGAGCTATAACAAATGCAATCCAAATAATAATAAAAAACAACCTTACATTTGGTATATTAATGCCTTTTACATCAGGAGGATACCCCAAGGCGCTTGACAGTCCTGGTACTGAGCTGGAGAGGGGAGCTGAAGGGGTGGGCATTACCTAAGGCATAGTCAAAGAGAAAGATTTTGAATCAGAACCTGAAAGAGGTGAGGGAGGGGGCAAGTCAGAGGGACTTGGGATGAGGTTCTAGAGAGTGGTGGCAGAAAGGCTGAAAAAGCCTGACTTCTGATGGTGGGATTATTATTTTATTAAAGTGCTGGAATTTCACACTGAGTCGAAATGGAAAGATCAATTGCCATTTTGGGGGTAGCTCTGCATAGAACTGATGCAGAGTGTCACATCTACAACGTTATGCTTTCTGCATATTGAACACATTCTGATGGTTTTATAGCAGTGTTTAGTTTTATTGCTATTTTGTGCTAGTTGAGAAAATGATCAGTACAAAATTTGCATTGAATTATAAACTGGATTATTTGATGGATATAAATTCGAATAAAGGCCTCAATAGTGTTTAAATTGACAAAAGTAGGGTAATGGACCTTTCAGTCCGTTGTTTACAAGCCCAATGGGAATAGAAAATCACCATGTCCAAAATTTGATGTATATATGGTTTGTTTCCTGTATTGTGATAAACTGGTATTTGTAGGACATAAATAAAAAATGGAACAAGGTGATTCCTTACCCAGACAATAGCCTCTCTAAGATTATCCAGCCATTGTATCAAGGTAACCTATTACAGCCTATAGGGATGTTGCTGGATATTGACAACAGTTAAAGTAAAGAGGAACCACAGCCTGCTTCCAATGGTGATCCAATACAAATGGCTCTATGCTTACATTCATATTATTATTAGATGTCTTGATTAAGGTTCAGCTAATATTTCTTATTTTAGGATGAATTGAGGTGCATTGAATTGGAAAGAAATCTAAAACTCATTGTTTATTAAAATGCCATTATTACAGAAATTATAGCCCACGATGTGCCATTGATCCACTGAACTAATGTTTTTCCAGAGGAGTTAGATGCCAAATCTTTGCTCATTATAATAATAATAATCCTTGCATTTGATGTAGCGCTTTTCACGTCTTCTAGACGTCTCAAAGTGCTTGACAGAATATACTGTAAAGTGAATTGACTGTATATTTGTAGGCGAAATGCAGCAGCCAATTGCGCACAGCAGTGTCCCACAAACAATCTTGGATTGAAATGACCAATTTATTATTGGGTTATTTTCTTGAGCATTCCCATGCTCTTTTATATTCTAGTACTTAGCCAATTCCTATTTAAATATTATTATGGTCTTTGCTTAAGTAGCCTCTTATATCTAAGCATTCCTTGTTCTAATAACCTTCTGCATAAAATCATAATCCTTGCATTGGTATAGTAATCCTTCATGTCAGGAGGATGTCTCAAAGTGCTTCACTGTAAAATGTCGTGACTATATTTTGTGGTGAATACAGCAGCCAGTTTGCACACAGTAATGTCCCACATACAGCCATGAAGTGAATGACTATTTTTCTCACGGGGATTTTTGCCCAGACACCAGGAGAAATTTCTTTCTCTTTTCTGATGATGATATGGGATCTTTAGTATGCACATGAATAGGCACAACCTTGGTTTAACATCTCATCCGAAGGATGGCACCTCCAACAATACAGCGCACAACCCCAGTACTACATTGGAGTGTCAGCATGGGCGATATGAGTTCCAAGTCCCAATGTGGGGCGTGAAGTCTTAGCTTTGACTCGGAGGCGAGTGTGCTACCAACTGAACTAAGCTTCCAATGGCAGGACAGTAATAGCCTGGGTCAATTGGTACAAAATGTTGCTACTTCACATGATGGGTCCAAGCACTTTATAAAAGGGGGCTCTATTTCTAGATTGTGATATCTAAAGTCAATGATTGTAATGATTTTGATAGGCGAAACACCAAATGTTGACACCTGGTGTTAGGTTATTTCAGTGTTTGTGCACTGCTGGATTTTGCCAATAAAACGTGTAATGATTGGATAGCAATGTATGTGACTGATTGACATGCAGGACTTTGACTCAGGGAAGAATAGAAGCACTCACAGACAATGCATGGATTAAGAGTCAACAAAGGCAGCATGAGACCTTCCTGGAAAAGCTCTCAGGCTTTCACATTCTGTAACTCTTAATAGGTTTGCAGTAACCTCTGGAATGTGCCAGTTCCAGTTTTAATCTGATTTAATTGATTAAAATTTGGCAGCAATCATTTACTAAAATGTTCTCGTGCCATTTTACATTGCACCGAATAAAGTCTCCATTAATGTTCAAACATAACCTTCATTGGGTGAATATCAGCAGTTTTCAGGCCAATAGAGCAAACAAACATTAGAGGAAACAAAATGTCCTGTCTGGAGTGCATCTTGTGTCAGCTGACTTCAATGTTAAACGCTTAAATTGACAGCAGAACAGGGCAATTTCAAGCTTCCTGGGATGACTGATTTCAAAACGTTTTAAGCTAACGTTGTGCTTAGACAAACATTTCTGTTGCAATAAATTTGGAATCTATATTAGCATTGCCCTTATTCTGTGCTTCAGGTATCAAGGAAACAAACTCGGCTCATAATGCTCTGTCACTTGCTCCTTATTTCATGAGTTTGCCAGATGCACTTTGATGAAAGGACCTTGTATGTTGAGCAGATGGAGTATCATTTTAAGGGCTTTGTCATCATCTGAATCTTTGAATTAACACAGCACTATACCCAAGGACAGACTTCAAAGAGCACATTCAACACTGTGGCACTTGCTGCACGGTCTATACACAGCTACGTAATCAACAGCCTTATTTCGTTGCTTTATCCAAGACCTCAGACCATGATCCAGTTAATAAGAAGGTTGCAAAAAGTCTTTCATAGTTTTCTGCTCTGGCCCTGCAACAACTTCTCACTGAACCTCAATAGAACTCCAGTGATATGGGTGCTCTCCATGCTATGTAAGTCATATTTGACAATTAACCTGATCTCAGCAAATTGTAGATTTCTATTGGGGTCTGACATGATCTGTTATCTAGTTTCTTTTTTTTTTGCTGTATCATGTTTTCCTAGAGTTGGAAATAAATAGAAATTTTAAATTTCAAAGGGCTTTTGTGTTTCTATAAATCTACTCTGTAGCAAAAACAAAAATCAATATTTTTTGTTAATGCCTGCAAGAGTGAATTTTGAATTCAATTATATTTCAAAAGCTCATTGCTGTAACAGAATTTCCTTTTCCATTTTTTTTCTTCAATGAGATTGCACCAACCTTTTAGTTCCAATTAGATCTCAGGCTAAATTACATTCAGCTTGTAAAATATGTGTTGTTAAGTTGCTTTCTGGATGCTCTTTGGCTATGTTTAGCTGAAACTCTATCTTGCCGATCTTTTACATAAAGCTGTTATTCCTTTTCATGAGGGGATTTTGTTTCGTCAGTTCCGTAAAATGTAAACTCCGAGTGATTACCCGAATGGTCTGCTGATCGATTGGAGTCTTGAGAATATAAAACAGCACTGACTTTGATCAGTTTTGAAGT